ATTATAAAACAAACTTTGCTGATTTAGCTGCATTTTCGGCCGACTCAGCCCTAAACCCTCTAAAGGCATTAGAATTATGAGAATCATTTATCGAAGATGATGCTGCAAGTTTTGGGGAAATGAATGATTCATTAAATCTCCATGAAAACCTTGACAATCATCTATAATGACTATTACTTTAATGAAAGACGAACTACTTAAAATACCAACAGTTTCTTCCTGATACCATCTATTGTTTTGTAAATCCTCGGTGAAAGATATCAGGGGGCTTCTTAGAACCGACACCGTGCAACTTGGCGAAAAACAACAACACTTGTAACATTTCATTTATGCGTACATTAGTTCTCTTTTCTCCTAGTTTCCACTAGCTTCTATTTACGTCTACTTCTCTTTGCTCTCTAAAGGTTTTTGAAAGGCCGTTAGCCATTCACAACTATCTTTTGTACGTCAAAGGCGAATACAAAAACCCTCAAACCGTTTCCTGTTTCATGCGCACACAGGGATGACGCCTTTTACTCATCAAGAAAATATGTGCCCCCAGGCACGTAAAAGATAATTGATGTGCTTGGAATGATGGCAAAGAAAAACGCAAGCCAACGGTGGTGCAAAAGGTTTAAAAAAGAAACGAAAGAAAACGTTGCCTTCAGTTAAAAGCAAACAAATCTGCACGTCCTTTAAACTCAATGGTACATTTTTTCTTCATCGCGACAGCAAGGCCAGGACGTAAAATTTCCCAACCAGGAATTTATTGAAATACATATACGAAATATTATGGAAGCGGCACAATAGGAATCAATGATCTGTGGCAAAACGGTCGCTGCGTAAATAACAAGCACTCTTCTAGCGGATGCAATTTAAGGCGCAGGTTGAAACTGTTGTTATTCAGCCTCTGAGTTCAACTGAAGCAGTGTTAAAGCTCTGTATTTCAAAGGAAGATGTGGCTCGCACATGTATATTTCGTATTGTTCATTTGTGCAAACTCGCTTGGTAAGTCTTTTCTTTTCACTTTATTTTTGCAACTCCCAAACTAGAGCTGCATGTTTACATCCAGAGTTAACATAAACTTGTTGCGTTCTCAGTACCCTGAATACTGATCGTCATGCAGCATCCCGAGGTACAAGTCTTCCATATTTACCGTTTGACAGCCGCGTAAAAGTAGTTATCTTTGGCAGGCTTCCGCCTGAAAGGCTCCCGCTAAAAAACGAAAATGAAATTTTCTTGATTAACGTTTTCGTTTTCTTCAAATCATGACAGAAAAATCTGTCGGATTTCAACGCTTGACAAAAATTTGTCCAGCCCCGAGGCAGGACGACAGCGCCTTTGAAGATAAGTTAGGCTTGACAAAACTTGTCTCCCGTTTTCGCAAAATTAACAAAACTTTGGCCATTGCGCCTAAGCCATAGGCTTCATTTATCCTGTTTGTGCAAGACGTTGTAATTTCATGAAGGAGGTGGAGAGCCCTTCAGATACGGAAAAAAGAGATTTGACGATAACAACTTCCGCAAACAAGGTCTAAACATCTACAAATTAATCGCAATTCTTGATAACTAAAATTAGAACCAACTGAATATTTGCAATTTGCTGAAGGGTAATTGTGTAAACTTTATTTGTACTTTATATTCAAAGCTAAGATAATTTCCGTAGTAACATTCAAACGGAAACGTGATATTGTCCGGGAGACGGTGAAAAGGGAAGGTTTTATTCATCTTTTTGTTTCTGTGAAGTGCTCGTACAGGGGCGAGCCACTGAAGACTGTAATTCTCCTGTGGCACTGATCCTATTTCTTGTTCCGAGTTGGAATCAATTTGGTTTTATATGTGACAAATTAACATCGGTAAAGAAATCGGCACTGGATTATGTCAAAATTTGTCAATATTGTTCGACAGCAATCGCCATGAGTGGAATTTATTTTCATGTTCCTTTCGACAAACTAGCTTGCTCAAATAAACGCAATACTTTGAGAACTTGTGAGTAAAGCCAATGGTCTGCTAGAATTATTTGATATTTTGATCTTACAAGACCTAGAAATGGTATTCCACCATTTCGACGACAGATTACTTCCAGTTCATACGTATATTTTACTCTCTCCTTGCCGATTGGAAACACATAGTATCAAGCACAACAAATTTAAGGATCTTTATGCGACTCCTTCGCCGACAAATTATTACGAACTTAGTATGCAATGTTTTTCTTGCATGGGATCAAAGCGGGCAATCCTGAATGGGCAAAATGGGCTCGGGTAGCCAATCAGAACACAGGTTTCGCCTCATATTGCCCACGGGCGCTACCAGCGATAAGATAAAAGTATTTAATCAACATTCGATTGCATGCATTTATAAAGTGTGCCGAGCAACTTCTTAAAAATAATAATTGATTGATGAACTTGATTTTAGTAATATTAGTAATTCTATATTCAATTCATGTTAGCATTCACAGTAGTTTGTAATTTAGTTTTAAGCAGTTCTTTGTGAATAATGTATCGTAAGTGATGTATTGTAGGTAATGTGTTGTAATAGTGTTTATGTGTCGTAAGTAATGAATGTCGTTGTAAAAAAAAAGTGATTGTACATGAAATCTATGCTTCTAATGGCAATCCGAAAAGTGACCGAGGTAAGGACATGCCTTAAAGGGAAAATAGGAAGTTTCCATAAGGGTGTTAGACTTTTTTGTTGACAAGAAATTCAAAAGTTGATTTGAAGCAAAAACTTAGTGATAACTCAAAATGCTACTCAACTGTTTTGCCGGCAGGGTAGCAGTTAATATGAATTTGTCTCAGAAACAGTGCGGTAAACTGAAATTATTGTGAGTTATTAAACCTGTTCTATTTTCAAGCAGTGGTAGGGCAGAAGCACAATATATCACAGTCAGTAGAGTATCGATTAAGGAATGTCCTCCTTTCTTCGTACGACAAAATGGTACGTCCGGTGTTGAAGCCGTCAGATGTTGTTGAAGTCAAATTTGATGTGCAGTTCTTGGCCCTCACCGAAGTGGTAAGCAAAACCTTACAACGGTGTTTCCAGAAAGTGCATTCCTCATCAACTGCAATTAACTTGTACCGGTAACCTAGCAAGGCTAAAATATGCATCATAACTTGTAAGACTTAGGTAGAGGTGCTTTTTTCTTGTGGCAACATGGGTAGACCTTAATACAGGGGGCCCCACGTCAAATCCTGGATCCAGAATTTAACTCCTGTACCCTTGTTATTTGTCCACCTCGTCAGACCCACATCAAGTTGGATTACCCACACGTCTTATGTTACAATGATTTTATTGACCTTTTTATTTTCCTTAAATTTTGTCTCATCGAGAAGCACATCAGAGTTCGATCTAAGCCTAACACACAAGATGTTGAACACAAATACATCTTCATAGTTTGACCGTAGTTCTGCGTCCGTCATTCTGAATACAACCACATGTACCTCGTCATAGCCAAAAAATTCTGTAACATCAAAGAATAATGTTCCAAGAAGTGTATCTGCTGGCTGGCTTAATTTTTTTCAATTCCGATTTTCGGATCACTCTGAAACTAAACAGCCGTGGTATTTTAAAACGTCAATGGTACCTCCATTCTCAGTTACCCTCAATTTATAGATAAAATGTCCTCTCCCAGTAAGAACTTTTTTATCTATTGCACACAGGACAATAAAGAACAAACTGTGACAACAGATACAGTGATCACGCAGGTACGTTATGATTCAAATCAGGAAAGTGCAACCTTACAAGGGGTCATATGGAGATCCTCACTGCTAAGAACACTACTGAACTAGTAGTAGAAAAAAAAACCGGCTCCCAGTTGGTTTGTTAGCTCAGTTGGTAGAGCGCTGCACCGGTCATGGGTTCAAATTCCGTGCGGGACCGAATTTTTTTTCAGGTCCTATTTTCTACTACTAGTTTAGTAGTGTTCTTAGCTGCGTGGATCTCTTAAATTCGTTTCTTCACCGTAGTGCAAATATATGAATTTCAAACATCCAAAATCATTATTCATCACTTGGATGGTTTATTTGGACCCAACATAGTTGGCTTGTTAGCTCAGTTGGTAGAGCGCTGCAGTGGTATCGCAGAGGTCATGGGTTCAAATCCCGTAATGGCCTGAGTTTTTTTCAGGTCTTATTTTCAACTACTAATTCAGTAGTGTTCTTAGCTGCGAGAATCTCTTAAATTCGTTTCTTCACTGCAGTGCAAATATATGAATTTCATATATCCAAAATAATTACAAGTTATTACGTAGCAGAAGGAATAGGAAAACGCAAAACAAGGAAAGACACTTACAAACGTTGTGTGACTTGCGAGCACGAAGGACAGAAAAACTAAAAGATGATCGCAGTGAAGGAATCGATGTTAACCTAATGGACTCTGATACTCCAATGTTCAATTTTTTTGAGAAACTTTTACGAATGAAATTAAACAAAGCAGAATTATGGGAAAAATCTAACAATACAAATCGCCACGAGTGAAAAGAATGCGAAAACAATAAGCAAAATGTGCGTGCAAAAACACAAATGTAATTAGGAACGTAGAAAGAAAAAAATCACAAAGTGGGAATGCCGCAGTAACAGAAACCTTCTAGTAGACTTCATTACTTTACTTCGTAGAAGATCCAAAAGAATTTTGATTTATTTGTCTCGGTATATCTAAAGCAATTGGAGCGAGGTTGAGACAATCGTCAAACCTTTTATTGATTCTCCCTGACATGCATTATTCAGCCATTCATCCCTTTGTCCATCGTTTCGTTTTTGTCTTTTTAGCAAATATTTCATCACATCAACCCGTAAATTGATGTATCCTGTCCCTATCGTTAGTTAAGGGTAGTAAAATAAAACTGAGTACATTTTAAACCTGGCTTGGTGACTGATTGCAAACAAATGAGGGAAAAGGGTTGCAAACGTCATTTTGATTTAAAGTAACCAGATTTTAAATAGGTCACATAGTAAAACTTAACAAAATAAGTAACTGACGCCAAGCTGTAGTTGTCGGTAGGTCAACTGGAAACAGATTAAGCTCATGACCAAACATGAGTTGTCACAACGTCTTATAATTTTATTCCTTGGCGTACAGGAATGGAATAATCCTTACCTACGTTGGGATCCTTTGAATTATGAAAACTTAACACGGATACTTGTGGATCCAAGAGAAGTTTGGGTACCTGATATAGTACTAGAAAACAAGTAAGTTGAATTCTGTAGCAGTTTAAGTAAATAAATGTTGCCTTTGGCTGATCAAGGATGAGGCTTTCATGACACTTTGGAAGTATCAAGCATTAAGCTAGTGTCCTAAAAGAAACCGTCGGGAAAGATTGAAATGCCCGAGTGTTCATACCAAGTAACAGGAGGTTTGCACGTGCAAGTATTATTCAGTTGATAATCAATATTGAAAATACACTCCAAATTTTTTAGACTGCGAGATTGTTTTGCATCGTATTCGGACTTTAAAATAAAAGATTAAACGAAAAATCAAGAAAAAAAAAAAGAAACATAAAAAGAAACTGAATGTTTTTTTCTTACTTTTTATGCAACCATGAATTCACTCCACAAAGCTAGCATTGAGGACTTCCTATTGGAGCATTTTAACTTTCATCACGAATAAACGGGCATACAGTAATGCGGTGGTGCGGCTAGCACATTCCTCTCTGGGTCTGATTCAAGATACTGGACTCAAAGTTGTTTTAAAACCAAATTTAAATTTCGTGAGCTCATAATGAGTCGCAGTTCTTTAATGGGTATAGGTGTTATGAACTACTAAAATTAGGAGTGTTCTGGCCATGAGTTTGGGGATTGTTTAGGCCTATTAGATTATCTTGAAATCATTGTGCGAGTCTAGTGAGCCTTGGTTTTTCATGTTCTGCAAGACCACACATTACGTTTAGAGTGATGTGTTCTTGACCATTATAATGGGTCTAAGTTATTTTACGATAATCGTTGTTGCTTTTTGTGTTGAGTTTGTGCTGGACCTTTTTCATTTCGAATGTGAGGTGAAATCGTTTTTTAACGATCTAAAAATATGATTACTCTTGCAAGATCAGTTGTCCCGCAAGTTCAAACATGCCTATTGATGGAATATTTAAGAGCGCGTACTCAGGGCTGAACTAGAGAGAAACAGAGACTTAGTCATTCAGACAAAGAGCCATTAAGAGTCTGTAACCCTTTAATTCCCAAGATGTCCTTAGTAATTCTCCTTACTGTCTGCCATACAGTTCTTGTCATGTTAGTTTGGAGAATTTGGTATTGGATCAACTTATGATCCCCTAATTGATATTTTTCTTCATTTTCATCACTTGTCTGCTTGATATTGTGTTAATATTGGAAGGAGAAATCCTGTTTTGGTCATCATGTGAGTTAGGGGACTCCGTTTGTGCGAGTTGCTCGAGCTTCTTTACCCTTAAAGTCTAACATAAGCATTACTGACACTCTCTACAAATCCATTTCTTCCAACCTCCAGCGCCGACCATGGGGTCGTTCAAGCGGGGCACGTGGAAAAATTCCGAAGTTGGGTGCGTGTGAACAGCGTTGGTCAGAACACGTGGCTATCTCCAGCAACGTTCAAAAGCAAGTGTGCGCTTAGTTTCAAAAACTTTCCCTTTGACATACAGAAGTGCAGCCTGGTTTTTCGTTCAGTAACTGCTGATCGTACCCTTTTGAACATCGACACTACACCCATCAAGAACGATGATCCTGAGAAAGGTATGATTACATGGCAATATTTGTGTGACAATTTGAAGAAAATAGGTCCTGAGTCAACTCAAATAAACTATTGCCTTTGAAAAACAATAAGGAGTGCAATTAAATATATCCTTAATTGCCTTATTTTTCATGACTTAGAGCTTAATCTCGCGGCATCTAATGGTTATTGGACTCTAAGAAGCTTTGAGATCAAGATAGAGGATAAAAAGCAATCACCGATTTTCAGCAAAGTTGAAGTATCATTTCGTATTGGACGTAAACCCTTGTTCTTTGTCCTTTTCACCATCGTTCCTTGCATGATCATTGGGCTGCTGGTTCTTGTGAGTTTCTTCATTCCCACGGAGAGCGGCGGAAGGATCGGACTGTGCTCAACGATTCTGCTGTCAGTCAGTGTGTACCTACTCGTCGTCGTAAATCAGCTTCCGGAACAGTCCGACGAGTTGCCCATTATTGGTGTTTACTACATTGTGATCATGTTTGAGATCGGTCTGGCGCTGACTGTCACAGTTGTTGTTATGATGGCTCATCACGCGACTTCCGAGCCACCCTGCATCTTGACCTGGATAACAGGTGAGGTTAATAACTGAAAATCTGTCCATCTCAGTAAAATAGAAAAATGTGAACTCAAAGTCAGTAAGTGACAGTAGTAATCTCAATGGTAACTCGTGACACGGTGAATTTATCACATTCATGAAGATGACGATGGTGACGATGATAACGACGATGATAACGACGATGATAACGACGATGATAACGACGATGATAATTAAAGCGAGAAAGAAAATTGCGAATAGTGACAGACGTTGTACAAACAACACCTCTGATCTCGATCATGACAATAATTTACAAATGAACTTAAAGGTGGACGTTGCATCATACATCTTTGATATTAGTGCCCGGCGGTTGACAGGAAAGAGGTGACTTGGAAATATTTCCCCACCAATTTTGCGAAACTAAAATATTCCTTAATTTATAAAATTTCAGTGGTTAACAGGATTGGTTGCTGCCTAAGACACAATAGAAGAAAACTTCACTTTGGCTCTACTCTCGGTGCATCTCCTGAAGTTGGGGAAAGAAACACAAACATTGAAATGGAGGAAACTGCTAATGTTAAGCAAGGAAAGGTTGATAAGCAGATTTCAGAAGACACCCACGGGGAGGAAACACCACCCACCTCGGTTTCTAAAGAAGAAGTCGACAAGAAAACCTGGGAGGACATCGCTCAAGCACTCGACCGTATTTTCTTCTGGTTGTTTTTGGCGCTGGTTGTGTTTACTTCCATTGCAATCTACTCATACGCAGGGAAGCTTTAATCGCTCGGTCAACGTAATTTCTATCAGGCTTTAACTTTAAATGCTGCTGAGTTTAATCCACTCTGGTTATTATTTTTATATCAATCACATGTCTGATTAGTTTAAGCAGTTTTAGTTTTTCGTTACCCTTAACGTTTCACAGATGTAGAATCTGAAAACCTCTGGTAAACCCTATTGATACAGGAACTGGTTAGGTGGTGCAAAAACCTTTTCTTTTAATACATAACAGCTCAGTGTGTCAAGTGACTGTAATCGATTAAGGTGATGTATCTTATCGCGTTTGTTCAGGGATTATATACCCTTTTTGTACTTTTCTGTAGCCGTGTGCGAACTAATAAATCTGAGTCTTTTCTTCGAGAAACCCTTGCGAAGATTTGCTCATAAGGCTTGACTAATTTGCGTTCCAAAAAATTCTGAAAATTGCCAAATTACTGGTGCACGCTATTGTCAAAGTGAGAAAGGGCCGCTGGTTGATTCGTACCCGTCCCAATATTCATTCTTTCAAAATGCCTCGCGCGTGAGCGCAAGTGCAAATGTCGATTGTTGCTTATGATGTTAGTAGAGTCAAGCGAGTCTTACTTGTGTATACCCATGACCTCCTTAACAATAACAACTAAATTACTTCTTGGCGTAAGACAAGTGCCATATTTTATATAGAACAGGCTAGTTTATATATTTGTGACTTTATTAGCAATAGCTGGGTCTAATAGCTCATTAGTGCCTCACGAAAGATAAATGTAATTTTTTTTTTTTTTAGAAGTATATTTGTCGGTATTCGCGATAGAAGACAAATTCAGTTTCATGATTTCTAAAAATTGAAACTTTGATGATGAAACAGTAGTTTGCATTTTAACTTCATTAAGGTTGGAAAATATATATCTAAGTTCGCAACTAATTCATTATGCGAGTGCGCTAAAAACTGAGGTTTCGCATGAGAAAACCAAGAGAAGAAAAAATGTCGAGAGAGTACCTTTCCTCTTTCCCTTCATTTTTCGTGTTGTCTTCCCAAAACCAATAATACCTAATGCAACAGAGATTAAAGAATTGACCGCCTATTGCGATCCATTCCATTATTGAACTTACAACTTTCAGGCCTCACAGTCACTTCTCTTGGAGACGAATTAAAGCGACATTATGGGAACGTTTAGAAAAGGCTTATCCACAATTAATGAATAAACCTGTCCACACAAGTGACTGCTTTGTGCCAGTCTTGAGGCAATCCTTCACCTGCCCCGCCCCTAAACTAATCTTAAAGGTATTTCTAGGGGGGTGGGGTGGGGGGGAAGAACCTCGATTTTCGCTTTGCCCGAAGCCTGTCTTCGGTTGTTCTCGAGGAAAAAGAGAAAAAAAAAGAAGCCTGGACTCACTTTCTAACTGGCGGCTATTTATCAAGCCCATTCGAAACAACTGATAATTAAGAATAACAATATAAAAGTGCTTTTATTTCAGTTATGCACTACATAAAGCTTTAACTTAAATAGTCGTACTTTTAAAGTCGGTAATAACCTCCACCCATCGATTGTCATAATATTCTTGTTCGTGAAACAACTTCCAACAGTCTCGTAACGTTTGGCTGGCTCAGTTGATTAATTATTTCATGACATGTTTTGTGTTTTTCTTTTCATTTTGTTTCGTTTGCTTGATTTTTTTAAACGTTCTGAATTCTTTAATGTTTTATAGGCCTTGTCAATGTGCCTAAGAATACAGACAAGTCCGATCGCTAACACTTTGTCTGTAAAAATGACAAAAAAGGGTATAGACTTCAAATTCACGGGGAGTACTTTTTCTCCTTCATAAAAGAACTCTAGCACGACGATTCATCAGGCTGATTTTTGAGACAAAAATACGTTATTGAATGGAGAGGGAAAAGATTAGACGAGTTTCTGACCGAGAGGATTATAAAGAAAACTACTGTACTTCTTTGGGTAAGCGTGACGGTGGTTCGTCGCGCAGTATTACGATTGCATGACAACCCGCACGACTATTACAACAACTGGTGACCAATAGTGGTGAAGAAACTAAAAGAACAAGACTCGCTTCTCTCTAAATAACCAGAGACATAATAAAACCGGCTTTGCACAACTTTGCACAGCTTTTCTTTCTCGATTTCGTTTGCTCCTGTCATGAAATACTCGTTGCCTACATGACAGTCCTCGACAAAACCCTTACTTTTGTGAACCGGAAGTTCTCTTTCTACCTTCGACTGTAAAGATGTTTGCCTACTTGTCAAAAGGCATTTAGCTTCGTGTATTCAGCCCGAATGAGAAATAATCATCCAACTGATGACAAAGTAAAACAAGAATATAGGATAAACTGTGAGAGCTTTCCTGTTTGCCGGCTGGCTATCACCAAGGAACTTCACAGAAGCTATAAAGGAAAAAAAAATATGTAAATCGGTGAAGGGGAGAATAGAATGTTAAGTTCCTATAGGGAGTTTATATATAGCACATGAGAAACTGCGAACGCTTTGGGGGATACGATAGTTAATCAATACCTCATCAAAAGAAAAACAAATATAACATAAAAGGCTCGATTCTTTCGAAGAAAAACTCTTGACGTCTGACCCCTGCAAAAGTGTTGTACTTGAGTTTGAGAACTTTCTATTGCATGTTCTTGATCTTGCTCGTTTACAACCCTGGAAAGCCTTGAATTCTGGCTAACCTCCCTTCCACGCATAATTAGTCGTTCGCCGAAAGGCAAAAACGCCAGAGCAAATACTGTGTCAACATTTAAAAAAACACTGAAACTACAAAAATTATAAATCAAGCGTAAACGAGACCTATGGAAAGAAAAAAAAATAAAGTCTGTAGAAAGCGGACTTCACGCTGCTAACGATTTCTGACCCTCTTCACGCTGTGAGACACGATTGATTTTCTATTCCAGTTTATTTGACTTGTAGGACTCTAAGCAACACTGTAATATTCGAAAGGAATCTGACAACGTATTTACTTTATATTCAACGCCGCTAAGAGTTGATATAAGACATATCGTTTCGTACTTATTCTTCCGCATTAGGTCCTCCAGACTCTCAGTTGTGATAGTCGAAAAGGAAAATATGTCGCACCGAAGCTAAAATTGCGACTCTTTAACGATGAGAAACTTGAAAGAGAAATTTATGCAAAACAAGATGTCGCCTGCCACGTGTGAATAATGCATATTTTTCACCAATAACAATACGGAACCTGACAATGACACGGTTGTTTAGCTTTACACTAGTTTCGAAGACTCGAAAGTTGTTATTATGAAAGGTTTTGTTCGGAAATAGAGCGTAAAATCAAAACATTACACGATCATGTGTTCTAGAAGGTTTCTGCCTACGCTTGGGCTTTCGGTAGTTCTGTGCTGTGTAGCGTTCGGAGGATATTACTCGTTTCTTAAAGCCACCATTGATGGTGGCTATACGGAGTGGTCTGTGTGGAGTAACTGCTCGAAAGATTGCGGGGAGGGATTTCAAACACGATATCGAAACTGTGCGCAACCACCGCCTGGGAGATACGGCAAAGACTGTTATCGTTTCGGCCCAAACAATGACAAAAAGCCTTGCTTCTTGAAAATATGTCCCATCGACGGAAAATTCAGCGAATGGAGCCGCTTTTCGGCATGCGACAGATTGTGTGGCGGAGGAAAGCAATTTAGAACTAGGCAATGCAACAATCCACCAGCGGTTTTCGAAGGGAAGCCTTGTGAGGGACCATCGCGGCAAGAACAACCCTGTAATACTCATGAGTGTCCTATTGATGGCGGTTATACGCAGTGGAGTGAGTACGGGCCGTGCTCTGTAACATGTGGAGAGGGAGTTAAGACCAGAAGGAGGACATGTTCAAACCCGCCGCCGAGCAAAGGTGGAAAACCTTGCACGGATCCAGCAGAGGAATATACCCAATGCGGCGGTCCGTGTCCTGTTGATGGTGGTTACACGGAGTGGACCGAATACGGACCATGTTCCGTAACGTGTGGCAAAGGAACTAGGATCAGAACGAGGACATGTACAAATCCAAGGCCAAGCGATGGCGGAAAATACTGCGATGAACCCTCCAGCGAATACATTGCCTGCGATGAGGGAGCGTGTCCAGCGATTCAAAAACCAGAAGAAACACAACGAGGCGATCAACTCGCACCACAACCTGATCGACAGGCGCCGGCTTAATATCACAAGGACAGAATCAGTAACACGACTGTAATTTACTTATGTCCACAGGTAATTAGAAAAATTATTAATTATTGATTTTTTAAGTAGTACTGTTCTGAGAGGAACATTTCGTGACAATATTAGCGTGTTGGCAAATGACACGCTACAATAAGCAAATATCAAGGATGTAGAACACCTCTCTGAGTCAAAAGAGATGTTCACAATTCTTACTCGTATTGACAGATTGATATTCGAATGACCAGTTTGCAAAGCGATGCAGAGTAGCAAAAGGGGAAAAACAGAATTCAATTTTATAAAATTTATGCAGAAATAGGGCTGTTATTAATACTTAGTAAAATGAATGTATATCAAGAAACGGGAGGGTTATAAATTTTTATCAGAGAATTGTGGTACGGACTCGAATCGTTAGAGTTTTGCTTTGAAATTGTGATTCGCTCAGGAAAAATCTTTCATATCTCACAGAGCATAGGGAAAATAACTAGGGATAGGAAAAAGAAGAAGAGAACAAAAACAAAACAAAATATATATATATATATATATATTTAAAACCAAAACAATAAAAAATATATATATATATATATATATATATATTTTAGAACCAAAACAATAAAAAAGTGAAGTTAATACAGTGAACACAGAGAAAGAACAAAGTTGTTGTTTCAAAAATCCTTGTTAAATAGCTGACCTTCTTGCAAAAGAACATTGACCCCCATTAGAGATGTTACTTTATACAGACATGCGAAGAAAATGTGTTCCCTTATGATTGCTAGATAGCTTACTTTCCCCAAAGTAAAAATTCCATCAAGTGGTGGAGCAATTTTTTATCAGCCCACATAGGCTACAAAATGTCTTGTTTCCTGACCATGTGCTAAAACGACCCTATTTGTATTTTTTGGGTTTTTTTTTTTTGAAGAAGTGAAAAATAATAAAAGTTATTCTAAATTTACATTCCCTGTTTTACATATTAAAAAAAAATATTAAGGTTTTATTTTGCAAAAAAAAAAAATTCATGTCTGATTCAGTAGTCATAAAAACATTTGATAGTTAAAAAACATTTGGGTTGGAAAACATCAGCATGCACATGAGAAAGTACAGCCTGGCCTTCTTACTTAGCATCCAGGATTTTTCCTGGATTTAGGCTTCCCTGGCATTTTCATTCCTTTTTCTTCCCTTTTTTTTTCTTTTCTTGTTTTGTTTGTTTATATTCAATTCTTGGCCAGCAATCAAATCACTTTTTTGAGAGGGAAGGCTATGAGAAATGAAACATTTTAAAGGGATGGTCTAATTACATCTAAGTACACATATAAACAACGTTTGCAATTATTTCATGCATCTGTGAACACCTTATTACACATTACAAATTCAAACACCACCATTGACTTGGGCATCACCTTCTTTTTTTTGTCCAAAGACTGCACAATGTTTTAGTGGTATATTAACTCTATTAGTGATAAGCATGTAATTTCTCCCAATTATATCACCCCTACATCAAACATTCCAGTCATGAGAATAAATAAAATGCTTCCAAACTAAAGAAGCTCTTGATTGTTAGACAAAATCTCCTTGTAAGCACTATAGGAAATGTATACAGAACAGTATGGAAAACTGGCATACTGATTTTAGGGTAAAAAGGGTTGAAACATGTTGACTGGCAATGTATAACAAAGCTACAGAAAGGAAAAATCATGTAAAATAACAACACCTCACTCACCAAATGTCGACCAAGCAAATCCTAATATGACAACAATAAATCGAACAGCAAATAAAGCCAGTGTCTGCTTAGTGAATAAAATCAACCGACACACAGTCAATGCTATATCCAATGGGAGAATACAATATCCTAGAACACAAACACTCTGGAAAAAGGATCTGAAAAAATAGGAAAAAAGATAATTAATATTGTTGACATTGCTTCTGATAAAATTCTATTAGAAAGTGTGGGAAATTCTGTGGATGAGAATGCATGTTCTTACTTTTTTTAAAATCATTATTTTAAAGGCACAAATGATATTTCAAGGGTTACTTAATTTATAAGGGAATTTCTCAATTATCACTCCTTCAGCAACAAAGTGACCATAAAGCCACCTGGCACAATACGTAATAGTAATTAGATTATGTCTTAACATCCAAACTATCCTCTCCCTAATTTCCAGTTGATCACTGGTTGATGAACAGCTTGGCAAAAATATTTAAAGTTCATTCAAACAGATGAAAAGCCTGACTTAAAGCAGACATTCCACAGACTGGTAGACTCGCATAAATTTTTTTTAAGTAGAATGTGTTCCTTTCCACTAGTCTATTATCAGAATTTTTGCTTTGCTTGAATTATTTTTTTAATCTGAAATATTCTATTATCCATGGACAAAAAAAGGGCCACTTTCACTGTTCCTAAAGTTTTAGTAGTGGAGAGGTTTTGCTGTATCTGCTCTGCTTCATTTAGAAACAAGGTAAGGTTAATAAACTTAATCAGACAAATGAACATTTCTTTTAATGCACTGAGATTATCAATAACCTAAAATAAAAACAGGACAGTGGCCAGGGTTATAATTCATCTTTATATATAAAGTCACTTCCTGTTTCAAACTTTTTTTATTCCAGTGTTTGGTCCGAAGACTTCTATAACAGTTTTCAAAGTTTTAAGCTTGAGAGCTGAAGTACTTTACTCAATGAAATAACTTTTACCTAGAGAATGCCTTTCTATCTAAATATAAATTTCAACCCAGGTTGCACTTCGATTTTCAATCTTTTATCTCAAGAGGCTGGACTAGCTTGTACTTACATTGTTCCACCAAGTAACTTGGAATTAACTGTAACAACCAGAGCTCCAACCCAGACCACCACAAACACCTCAGCAAACTGAGGTCCTCCATCACTGTAACTGTCAACCACAGTATGGCCTTGCAGCATCCTAATGGAAATTACATGAAAATAGTAAACAGCAGAAATGAAACACTTTCAATGTATGTTAACCAGCAATGCTTGAAACACAAGCTTTAGAAACTCTCAACAGAGGTCCACTTTACATCATCAACTCCTTTAATAAAACCGGATTACCTTGTTATACCCTCACCCCCAACTCCTGCCACCAACACAGCACCAAATTTTCTTTAGACATTTACCTCCTCAACCCTTTAACTCCCATGAGTGACCTAGACAGAATTTCTCCTTACAATATCAATACAATATCAACCAGATAAGTGATGAGAATAAGGAATAATATATCAATCATGGGATTACTAGTCAATCTGACACCATATTCTCCAAACTAACATAATGGGAATCCTTTGGCAGACAGTAAGGAGAATTACTTATGAGGTCTTGGGAGTCAAAGGGTTAATCATTAAGCTGAGTACACAGAACTACAGCAACCTAACCAAGCATATAAGAACAAACTCAAATTTCCATTTCATTCATTGTATGTGCCTCACAATGCATGGTAAAAACCTACTCAACAAGTATAGCTTTAAATAAAGAACCAAAAAATAATGTCAAGATTATATTTGACTCTAGAGTTAAATTATGGTAACTGCATAACAACAAGAAATCTATACACCTCTATTGAGAGGAAAAATACACGTCAGGTAGCCTCCATGGTTACTTCAAGTTGTTGCAAGTATGCTTATATCATATTACCACATACAAACATGCACATGTAGCTAAAAGGACGGGATTAATCAGATATATAAGTTCATATTTAGCTTTTGAGCTATGATTTAAGTTCGTAGCGTTTAAATCTTCTTTCTTAAAAAAGAATGATAAAAAAGACCTTTACAAACACTTTAACCGCTAGTTGCAAAGATAAATTAAATGCAATTTAAGACAAAAGGTAAACTTAGATAAAAAATTGTCTTCGAGTGCATAAATTACTTACATCGCCAGAAGAACACAGAGAATTAAAGGACCCCATAGATCCCCTGAAAATAGAGGAATAACCAGTGATTACCAGTCAGCCTTTAATGAGCGTCGCAAAATATTAGATAGTCTTAATGCTAAGTGATATTACGATCGGATCATTCATACGTGACAGCCATATATAAAGTACATCTTACAATCACGCAGGAGGCTTTTACTTTGTCTTGGAACTAGTACATGAAGGAATTTCTTGCCAACTGCGGTCAAATCTCGCTTCTATATCGAAAAGAGGAAATCAGAAACGAAAAAAGTTATTTCATTCAGAGCCAACCTCAACAATCGAACTGAAAACACGCTACAACTAGAATTTTCGACACCAAATACGAATGAAACTGTTTGAAATCAAACTCACTAAAGTAACAGAAACAGGTTCATCTAGAGTGCTAGGTTCTTCGTCTTCCTCTGGGGCACCAGGCACAGTTATATCGCCTTCAATTTCCACATTCACAGCCGTCGGGACAAAACCAGGATCCGACGCCATTTTGAATTTCTGCTTTAAGCTGGAAAGTCGCTGACCGTGACATCGCGGGCGTTGTGAAAATGTGAGATAAATATATTAAGATTATTCTGCATTTGAGGAGGTCGTGTTGTCTTCAGCCAGCCCGCGAAGGAGTAGGGTTAAACCAAACAAAAGCTTATAAATCCTTTGCTACAAAATGGCTTTTGGCTACAGAGAAAATAGAACGCATCGACATTTCATATTACTTGAATCCAACGCACTGCATGATGCATTGCCTCGGCTGCTGTCCATGAACGCAAGTGTTTCACCACGTCAGTAGGTGTTATTTATGGGTTAATCATTTAATGTTCCTGTCATGCAGAATGGGTTTGTAATGCCTGAATGGTGCTACAATAAATCAAAGCTGTTAACAATCGATATTCCAAAAACAAACCGAACAGCCCCACCGATTGCTTCAATAATACAATTTAATTCCATTTCAAGTTTGATGTACTGCGTATAAACAATTGATGCAAAAGCTGGTGATTATCGTTACCGAATAACTCAGTTACGTATTTACATACATCTCTGAATAAAGAGACCAAAAACTCAGCCTTACGGTTGGTGATGAAAGAAATGCATCACTTAAAACTCAATCATTCCTCATATCTCATTTGTAATTCTCCTTACTGTCATGCATATAATTCTTATGTTAGTTCTGAGAATTTGATATTGAATCAACCAATAAACACATTTTTTAATCCTGATTTATTCCACAGGCGTAAGTCAGGAGCCCATTACCCGGAGCCTCCATACCAATTGTACCCCTGACTCAACCTTGTCCCGTATCTTTCTATTTTTAGAACTGAGATATGTGGGGAGTTCTTTAATTTCCCGCGAAAACACGCTGACGTTCGCATAATTGTAATACTTTCGTGCGGCCCGCATGTGACGTAAACAATAGAGGACCACAACTCTCTTATGTTTGGCTATTATGCAAACACCCGCGAAAAACCCCGTGGGAGGTGCTTCTAAAAATAAAAAGATACGGGATAAGGTTGACTCACAGGGTAAGTATGGAAGATGGAAGGGCTGGTTAATGGGCCCCTGCGCAAGTTAATTCTAGGACGAAGTTTTCTTAGGAGCTTCCATATCGCTCTGCTCTAAACATTTGATGAATGTCTCTCTTACTACAGCGGCTATAACGACTGATCGAACCTGACTGAGTAACTGCGGCGGCTTTAAGTCCTACTCAACGCAAAACTTAGTTGAGAGCATTCGCAATTTTCCTACAGTATTAACTATGCCTGGGAAGAACAATCGTTTGGGTACAACTACCCAGGAGAATATTCTTACATTTATTTTCTGCTTCAGAACATGAATACTACTGCGACCAGCAAGGAAAAGATAGTGCTCTTTGGGTCTAGAATAGAAATTTGCTGGAAAGATTCTTGTAACACAACAAATATCGAGAATCAGTGCCGATTAGTTCAACGCATATATACCTCACGAAGGGAAATAGAAGAGTAAGTCGGTCAATCATTCAAAAACATGTTAGAATACAAAAAAAATAATAAACAATTTAAAAAAAATTGGAGCGTTTGCAAATTCCGCCACACACGTCGATAAAAAAATTGTTACTAATCCTCAAATACGTTCAATGTAGCGATTTTGTACTGCCGTATACGGTGACACGAAAGGGAAAAATTTTTTCGTTCCTGTGTCTGCCTTCCTAAATTTTTTGTGCTGCATTTATTTCCCTGAATTTTCCATTTCAGGAATCATTTTGCATAACTGCCAACCTTTCTCCTGACCCCCCCCTCCTCCCTCTCAAGAACGGAATCAGAATAGACCCTCGCCGAAAAGGATATTGTTAGAAAGCAGACACATTTATATATCAATGCTTCGTATTTAATTTTCGATAAATAATGAAAGCACTATAATTTCTGTATGATGTATTCCGCGCTTAGAATAATCGCTACGCGTGACATATGATGAGTGAGTATTACCTTGGCCGTTATTAAGTGCAACATTAAGTCATTTTCCCGAGATACATAAAGTCACACATCATATACCAATATAAGCCTCTATAAACACTTCACTTAAAATAAAAAACAAGCCCTTGAAGATCATTTATCACAAAGGAAAGTCCAAGAGACATTTTCTATGCACGTCGAAATTTCCTATTCTCGCGAAACGCAGCGTTTTCACAATGAGATACAACACGGTTATGGCCGCGAAACCTGCGCGTTGTTCGACAAAGTTCTGACGGTACTGACTGGCGTAGCTGGTCCAAGAGTCAAGGTTATAGTGGATGGGGTTCCTGTGGTAGGAATAGTTCCAGCTCCAGGGGCAGCGAGACGAACATTCGCCGGTACCTGAAAACCTACCCTCAGAGGCTGATACGTCAAACCAGGCCGAGCAAATGACACCTGGGAAGCCTGTGGGGCCGGCGGAAGAGTCGTCTGCACGTTTACTGTATTCTGTCCGATCTGGAAGCGCTGTGCGGCAGGCTGTTGCGTCATGTGTTGAATGAATCGCAGTTCATTCTGCCGGCGTATCTCGTCCTGCTGTCGCTGGTGCTGTTGATACAAAGCGCTGTGGCGCTGCTGGTACAACCGTTCCTGCTCTTGCCGTGCACGTTGCATGCGCTCCTGCATCTCCTGACGTTGCTGAATCTCCTGACGTTGCTGCATCTCCTGCAGCTGTTGAATCTGCTGCATCTGCTTCAACATCTCCGAGTTTATTCGGATTCTCTGTGCCACTTGCATCTGAGTGTGGGCGTGGCTCCCCGGTGGAGGCTCCTGGTTGCGGTTGTGTGCTGGGACTAAGAGCAAGAATACAGAAAAACTTCATATGAACTGACACTACATCGAATGGAGTAATAAGATAATAGTTTCATTTTCCCCCAACCCTATTTTCTCTCAGTATTGCATTTGGAAGCAATTATTTTCCCTTTGCGACAAGTCACAACCTTTGCCGGGGATTCTCTCCGAGACAAACACTTTCGGGACTCGCGAAAAAGTGTGTGCACTGAAAAAGAATCCCTTTTCAAGAGAGGTGAGTGGTGGAAAAATCAACCAAGGTTTAATTTAAGACTGAGTGGGAATAAAGGAGGATTGAGGCAGGCTTTGTACGCTTTTTCGGGAACAAATTTCAAGGAATTTTCCAGAACTTTCCCGAGACTTAGATTTAATTTTCCAGGGTTCCAAATTTTCACCTTAAACTCTTCATCAAAAAAATCAATTACTTTTATGTCTACATACACTTATAATGTAAATTCTGAAAACTTCAGCGCTTGAGTAAAGCAGATTTACACGATTTTCCACGACCTGTAGTCTTTTTTCCAGTACCTCCCAGTCCTGGAAAAAGTCGAATAAAATTCCACGACGTCGCAAGTTTTCCAGGACCCGTGCGAACCCTGTCGAGGATTAAAGACTGAAGGACTGGCTGGGTCAGGACAAAAGAGAGTAATACGCACAATTTTGTAACCCACCCCAAAACGACAATGGCAAAAACAATTTGACCCCACATGATTATAACAGACATAATTTTAATGATTTCACTGGCGATAATGATTTCTGTTTGCACAATCCATGACCGGAAGAAGGACGGTTAGCCAAATAAATCATTCGTGTCATAGGAGGTCAACTCCAAAAGCTCGTTCCATTTTATCTCCATTTTGAGAGAGAAAATGGAGATGAGTGGAATGACAGACAGTATAGATTACATCACACACCTATTTGGCCAGATCTCTCAGCTTCGTAAGCTTCCCATGCCTGCTTCATTTCTTCCGGAGTCAGTTCTTCAGACACGATGTTCTGTAGCATGGAGTCATGCTCGTGGTACTTCACTATCCATCTGGGATGAAGGCGTGCGATCAAATCTGCTAGTACAGCGTCCTACAAAACGATCATCGTGCGAGTGAGTTAACTTAAACCAGGTAATGCAATTTTGTTGTGTGTACAATATACCACCATTCTCATAGCCTGCAGAGCAGGCGAGAATTTTGGCGAGCGCTCAATGTTTTGTGGGTGAAATTCATACTATCATATTCGGTTTTTACAGCAGCGCAAGGCTGAGGAGAGAAAGAAAATTGAATCAAGGGTAGAGAGCGATGGTCAAAAGGAAAGGCAGGCAGGGTGGGACGGGCTAATATCTGTAAGATTCCTTTCTGAAAGACATGTACCTTCTGTTTACGACAATAAAAGCTTGGTTGATTATCACACGGAATGCAACTTCAGACTACACTACCTTAAATATACGAAAGTCAGCAAAATTAAAATTTCTCTACTTAGAATCCACTGGGTGAAAAAAATTTGCAAAGTTAGCCCTATAACCCCTAAGAGTGATTAGCACCTGATTTCTCTTTACAGTGTCATCCCTGAATCACACATTCAGGTCACAAGAGTCAAGGAAAGGATCATTAACTAAAAGAGCTCTTGATTGTTAAACAAATTCTCCTTGTCAGCACCTTAAGAAATGTATAGAGCATAGTATGGAGAGTTTGAATACTGATGTTAAGGTGTAAAGGGTTAATGAATACGTTGAGCTTCTTTGGTGGCTGGTAATAGTTTGCTTTTCACGTTTACTGTCAGTGATTTCATTTTCAGCGGCCATGTTGGATAAGGGACGATCAGAGTCATTTCTTGACGGGCTTTTTACACGAAAAGCCACACAGACAGGAATTATTGCATCAGCGACTAGATGTCATTGATTTGTAAGCAGATAACTTCAGTCGAGGATCAGTAAGATTGTCGTTACCTTTGGGAGAGGCAAGGAAGGTCGCTCTTCGGGCTTATCGCCTCCTTTTGCTTGCTCGCTTGCACTGTCTTTTCCTCCATTCCTTAAATTTTCCCCGTCCTTTCCTTGCTTCTCTCCATTTTCTCTCTCAGTTTCATTGACTCTATCGCCCTCCTTTTCTGTCTCATCACCTTTATCATTTTCCTTTTCCTCATTAGTCACATTAGCTCCTTCTTCCTTTTCTTTGCTTTTCTCGCCGGCATCCTTCTCTATCTCCTTCTCCGCCTCCTTATCCTCGTCAAGAACATCCGGGGTAAACGTGTACAGCTCGCGTAGATCAGCAGCAGTAAAGTGCCGTTCAATCTGTTGTTCATCCACCACTCGGCTGGACAAAGATAACTTTGTCACCTGAGGGAAAAAAAACCCACTGCAAAAACCGGATAATAAAAACAACTTTACAGGAACGCAAGAAATCAAAAAAAAAAATGAGCTATTACGTCCGCATGGAATGAAAGAGAACGAGAATGGAAGACTGAAACAATTCAACCAATCAGATTTAAAGGCTCGTTTGAAGTGACAAATTAAAGCCAACAAAAGCCATTCAGATTGTGTGGCGAATTCTACAACTTCTGCTGCCAAAACTTTGCGTTGGAAAATAGAAAAACAACAACAACAAAAAAAAACTGACAAAAAATTTCAAGCAATTTCAATCTGCGATTTCGAATGGATCTAATAAATAGGAATCAAATTTATTTTCCTGTCTTGCAGTGTGCGATTATGGTCCAAGATCACCCTTCTACCGCTTTCTAATCGACCTTGCAGATCAGAAAATCCCGCGTATGATTTCAGATCGATGAGCAATTCACGAAGTTAGATAAACATCGCTCCTTTTGAGAGAAGTATAGGGGACTGAATGTTCTCCTAATATAATGTGATTTTTAAAAAAAATATTTTCTTTCTATTTTGTTAAATTAATTATTTATCTACTTTTTTTTCACAGCTGCAACAAGGTCAGCAATCCTGCCATAATACTTATCATATCATACTAACCTGTCTATCGTATATCTTCTCCTCCATCGTTCCCTGACAAAAGATACTAAGTGTTAAACCCAAAATGGATGTTATAGATCACCACTCATCAAACAATACATGTTATTAAGACAGTGTCATTTAATCAAGTTCTGCAGTGCCAAAATTGCACGCTTAGCCACTCTGAAGTAGACGCGAAAAGGATACACAGTCGCGAACAGCGTGCGTGGCAACTCGTCAACCAAACATTTCCGTAGTAAAATGATTTTAGCCATATGAAATTCATATATTTGCACTGCGGTGAAGAAACAAATTTAAGCGATCCTCGCAGCTAAGAACACTACTGAACTAGTAGTTGAAAATAGGACGTGAAAAAAATTCAGGCCCGTACGGGATTTGAACCCATGACCTCTGCGATACCGGTGCAGCGCTCTACCAACTGAGCTAACAAGCCAACTGGGAGCTGGGCAATATGTTGGGTCCAAATAAACCATCCAAGTGATGAATAATGATGTGAGATATATGAAATTCATATATTGGCACTGCGGTGAAGAAACGAATTTATTTGGACCCAACATGTTAGCTCAGTTGGTAGAGCGCTGCACCGGTATCGCAGAGGTCATGGTTCAAATCCCGTACGGACCTGAATTTTTTTCAGGTCCTATTTTCAACTACTAGTTCAGTAGTGTTCTCAGCTGCGAGGATCTCTTAAATTCATTTCCGTAGTAGTCATGTGAACGAGCATCGCGCATGAGACGCGATACTCTCGTGTGTTTTGCTCCAGATTCCTACCGTCAACGGCCGATTTCCGAATCAAAAGATGCTTTGCGCTTCCCCAGACTCTGACTGAATAGCCATTAACACGAGTCAGAAAGTAAATCATGTGAGCAATTCTAAATGTCATAGGACGGCTACATTACGCTCTTACCTGTGCTATAAGTCTGTAAACAAACACAGCCTTGCTCTGTCCAAACCTGTAAACCCTGAAGATTGACTGTACATCGTGTGAGGGATTCCATGACACGTCAAATACCACAACTCGGTTGGCTGCCACTAGATTGATTCCCAGTCCACCAGCCTTGGTCGAGATAAGAAACAAGCGAGCCCTAGGGGAAAATACAAACGTGGTCAGTTCTATTTTCTATAGTTAGGTTCACTCGAAAGAACTTTTCAATAAACACTGTTCTGCGGTGAAATACTTAACTGAGCGCAAAAAGATACACGATAGCACTGCTATCAGCTTACCTTGCTCTATGATTGGTCTGGTAAAAATCGCACTACCCTCTCAAATAAGCAGATGCAAAACCAAAGGTAAACAGCACCTTTATGTTGTTTGCCCCTTTTTTCCTTTCTTTTTATTAATTTGCATATGGTTTCATTACACATGGAATAAAAAAAAATCTCACTTCAGAGAGACTCAAGAGGTTTTAATTAATTTGAATTGTTTCAATAAAACAGCTTTTCCTGGTTCGAAGGAAACCGAGCAATTACGGTTTGACTCCAATGTACCACGGTTGATTCCCAAACGCATATTTCGAGTAAATGCAAGAATCGACTTTAATGGCTACAAATTATAGTTTGACGTTAATATCCCACAATGATTGGCTGAATAGAGCATCTTTCCTGTCCAGAACTGATGGACGAAGCGAACGCTCATTTCAAAACAGTGAATAAAGGTTGCATTTGACAATGTATCTCGCTCAGAGACTTGATAAGGATTTACTGTCTACCACACTTGAAATAAAATTGCGCATAAGAGTGAATCCATCACTTATCTCCTACTAAACAAATAAAATTTAAATCAGTTATCACTTGTAACTTACGTTTTGTTATCATCATCGTTAAAAATATCAGCCCAGCGCTGTCTCATAGCCGCACTTGTGGATCCATCCATTCGAAAATAGTCACAACCTCGACACCAGTTCTCTCTATCGCCACCGATTTCCCCACCGCCAAGCATCTTCTCTATCAAATCAAGGGTAACCAGGCTCTGACTGAAGACTAGTACTTTATCATTCACCGCCTCTGCATCAGCAAGGATCTCCATCAGAAGAACAAGCTTGCCGCTAAGTTCCACGTTGTATTCGTCATCTTCCTGTAGGAATTCGTCGTACCATTCCTTTTCCTCCTCGATCTCCACGTCCGGCTCGTCTTTGAAAGACGCCCCCGACCGTGTGCTGCCAAAAACACTGCTGCTCGTCTCGCTATTTTGTATGTCTTTACTTGTTGACGGTGTCGCATCGTCTCTCACTGAAACATCTTTCTTGCTGTTGCGAGTATCGTTGTTACTAGAATTAGGTCCAACACGACTGGTACTCGCACCTTCGTTGATATCCACTATTGTTATGTCCTCTCCACCAATGTTCACAGTAGAGGAGCCAGCCCTGTTTGAAGCTGAAGAAACTTTGCTGGCGAGCGCAGATTTCTTCCTTGAGGACTGCGGAAGAACTTCATCCTCGCTTTCGTTTTCATCGTCATCACTTTCCTCCTCGTCTGAGCTTGAAATCTTCTTTCTTCTCCTGCCCTTAACTCGTTTTCTTTCATCTTCACTCTCAGATGAAGACTGAACTTCGTCTTCTCCTTCCTCTGAAGTTGTTGACTGAACGCTTTCTGATCCTTCCTCTTCTTCTTCTTCTTCGTCAGTGTGTACCACAAAGTCGTCCATACTGTCTGTATCGACAAACTGTTCTGGCCGTCGCAGAGCATCCAGCTTCAGGCACCAGGGATGAGTCCAAATACGCATCAGACACTGATAGTCCGAGAAAAGGGAAACCCCTAGGAGCGAAATTAAAATACCCATTATAGAGATTGAACATTGCGTTTACGGCAAAAGATAAAAAACTGAACTGCCTATGGTCTCCTCCAAGCCTTTGCAAAACTAAAGTGAAAATATCTGCTTAATGGAAACAATAATTTTCCACTACTCTTATACAGGATTGGTTTCAGAAAAGTGATTTAAATCAGAGTTGATGTTTAGCTTTTGCTGTTGATATACATGCAGGGCGTGAAATTAATTTTTTTTTCTAATAGCCACTTGGCTCCTAAATTTTTCAAAGTGGTAGCCAATGCAAAAAAAGTTGGTCGCCATTTTAAAGACAAACAAAACCTTTTTTTTCTTTTTTTTTTTAACACTGTCAGCGTTTTAGATAGACCCTCCAAAATTAAGTTCTGCAAAGTGGACACTAGGATAGCTGATATACAACCTTCAAGTTCACCTAAATCCAAGATGGCGTCTAATTATCGATCGAGATGCGTGTGCTGCGTTTTGGAAATTAAACAAACTTAACAAGGACGTTTCTCTTTGAAAATCTTTCAAATTCTCTATATCTCTAAATATGGTTATGATGAAGCATTCTAGTCGCCAATTTGGCGACTACTTTTCAGGATTTGGTCGCCAAAGTAAAAAATGTAGTCGCATTGGCGCCTGTATCAGGCGCAATTTCACGCCCTGACATGTTAAGCTAAGTCCCAACATGGTCGTATGTCAGTGTATAGGGGCATAGTTGCACACTCCTCACTCCCTAATTCATAGCGAATTAACAATATCCTAGTGATCTTTAAAGCAAAAAAAAAAAAAAAACAACAAAAACCATGCAAGAAAATTAAACAAGGTTATACAAACAGATGAAAAAAATTTAAAAATACAAGCCGTGTACCAGACGTTCAAACAGAGCGGTTTTCGTGACCATAAACTCAGCGATTTATTCAACTGTTGCTCCGCCAAGTAATCTGACAAACGCAAATTGTTTCAAACTTTCAAAGCCCCATTCCCATTTCGATCTTGGTGCTTTTGTAAATTATTCCGTTAACAGTAGCAACAACAACAACAACAGTGCTCAATTACGTCAAATACACCTCCCTACCTCTTTTTCCAACGTCCCCATCAGGAAACACAAATGTCTTGAGGTAATGTTCATACAGCTTCCTCTGGGATGCTGATAACCGAACCTTGATCACATACTCATGTTTACGTGGAAGAAAAGGTATCAGCGCCGCGTAATCTTTTCTCTTTTGGAAAAGAGAAAGAAAAGAAACGGTTAGGGAGTTTTTTGCGACTTTGTTTACTAAAAAATTCAAAGATTTTAAGTTTCGTTTATATCTAAAGGTAGAGTTTATCCCAACTTTTGATAATCCGCAATGAACATCGCGAAAACTGAGTGCGTCATTTTTGCTGTAAGAAGCAGTATATGGTGAATTTCAAATCTAATACGTACGGCACGTGATTCCACTCACCTGCACACAGCCTTCTAACATCTTATGAAGCACATGGCATCGTTGTTTCATAATCTGAACATCAAGAGCTGTAGAATCTGCACACTGGCCGTTTTGGATGGGATTGACAAACGTGTTCGTAAATTCTTTACGCGTACCAAGGAGATTTGGTTTCACAAAACTCACCATACAGTGATCTGCAAAATAATTTGTGTGGGATGAGTAATTGCAGCATGCTAGTACCCGATTGTCTAAAAAAATAAAGGTTGAAGTCATTCAAGAGTTACAGTCAAGAATTATCGTGTCCCTTAAGATGCAGTCACTTTTGATGTCGCAGTGTTTTGACTGCATAATGTTAGTCTTTTTAGGGAACAAGGTCAAATAATTCGGCGTTGCCTTACGAAGCGTAATGTTCCGCTTCGATTGGTTGGTTTTCAATTGCCATGAGTGGTGATTTTCGTTCCTCACTACTATACTAACCCAAATATTTTGTCAGGTTTGCATTGCAGTCTAACAGTACCCAAACTTAAAAACATGAGCCTGTCTTAAGACTTCCAAAGCTTCGTGATAACAATATGATTGAAATAAACTTCAGATTCACGAGGAAACCTACAACGTATCTGCTTGTAACGCGTAAAAACAAAAGTTAAAGGCTCAACACATTAACCTGATGATGGCATGAAGTCGTTTCGAAACATGTCTTTGAAAAATTTCCCCTTGAATCTTAAATTTATCTTAATAACGAGCCTGTCTTGTTGTTAAATACTGGAGGACTAATAGATTCATATCAAAAATTCAATTATTTGCTCTTTATTTCTACGCGTGGTAGGCTATTCGGACTTCGCCCTAACCAACTACATTCTATCACGCGATAGAAATCTTGAGCCCATAAACTAATAATTAAAAGGCAATTATTTCATGAGAACATACATTCAATGAGATTATTCTGCAGAGGTGTTCCAGTCAACACAATTCGTCGTTTTGTCTTTATGGCATTGAGAGCTTTGGAGATGGCACTGGCGTCATTCCGCAAGATATGACCTTCATCACAAACTACCAAATCAGGACCTAGAAAGTAAAGAGAGTTAATCAGCAAAACACCTCAGAGACACGTCCATAGCATCGCTCTATAGTAGTGGATTTGTGGACAACAATAGAATCGCATACTACTAATCAATGTGACGCATTTGAAATTGAGCTGTCTTGGAATAATTCTTAACTTTTATCAAGATCTAATGTAAATTAAAAGTTTTGTGCTTCCAAATCAACCACGTCTGCTATTTTAAGAAACCTTTTTTGCGAAAGTCGCTGGACCAACAACAGTAACTGAAGTCAAAGTTCACCGTACCAGGATCAACCAGAGCTTCCTGGAATAACTTCTTCTGGTGTTTGCTTCTAATCCTGTAGCATTGTGACAGGTTACGGTAGAGCGAGTATCCCATGATCAGCACACCACCATACCGCATCCAATGTGTGAGCATGTCTGCTCGACGCCAATTGTTTCCTCCAACTTCCTGAAGGATATAAACCTTGAAAAAAGACAATTATAAGGGGTCGTTCCCGTCCAATAGAGGTCACACTAAATTTTAATCTGATCACTTCTTTTGAAAAAGGTGTACAATGTACTAAACATTTTTTTCCGAGATAAAGTTCGAACACATCAAAGATCAGTGACTTCCTCTTGAGTCCATTCAAAAACGATTCTTATTCAGACTTTTTTAGACATTTGTCACGGTATTGTTGCTGTCTCCTGGTTAGTAATAGTCTGAAAGACACACCAGTAACGCTCAACAAGACAACTTGTTATTACCTCGAGCCTGTCATCCACAGCTAGCCACTTTTCAAACTCGACTTGCCAGTTCAACACTGTGTTGAGAGGAGCCACGACTAACACCCTTTGTAACTTGATATCTGAATGGGTCATCAGTGTATGGACAAGTGCAACGACCTGAGAGAGAAATACCCACGTTTTTACAACAACTGTAGAGATTCTCGCGGGCTCGCTGGTATTATGCTATAGTCGATATAAGCACAGCCAATGAAAATAGCAAAACTGCCCATACAGCGGATCTCGATTGCTTGTCCTTAGACCAAAATCAGATTAATCACAACGGCATATTAGAACAAAGGTAAAATAACGGAGGTGGCTAAACTGAAAAAAAGAGCGGGAAATGCGAGTGACCAAGTCGCAATTATTTCTGGTTTTGCATCTGATTGGTCGAGAAAAAGGCGCGCGTTTTCTAGACCAATCACATACTAAATCAAAAATGTTAAGTAAGACCGATGCAATCCTGGTTTACCTACTACTGTTACTTCAAAATAGCTCCATCAAAAGTTCTCAAAATACCTGCAGCGTTTTGCCGAGACCCATACAGTGGGCCAGTATACAGCCTCCACCTGGCTCTTCTTTCTTCCATGACTTTAACGACTCAATAACACAGTCATACATGAACTGTATCCCTTTGCTTTGATGAGGTTTCAGATGCTGCAGAAGATCCTCTTTAATCTGGACTAACGGCTCCTTAGTGTCTGGGTCAGCCTCAAGAACAAGTGTGGAGACTTTGGCCGACTCACTTGGCAAGTCATCAAGTTCACTGGCACGAGTCCTTTCTAAAAGGCGTTTCCGCCTCTCTTCCTCGAGCCTTCTGGCCTTTCGGGTTTCTTCGGCAAGTTTCTCGTCTTCAATTAGTTTCCGAATTTTCTTACGACCTTTCTTTTTCGATGGGCTCACCTCCTCCTCTTCTTCTTCTTCGTCTTCATTATTTTCCGAGTCGTCATTATCCTTACCAATTTGGTGTTTCTTTCGTCCTTTTTTCTCTTTCCCTTTTCCCTTCCGTTTCCTTTTCTTCTTGCTATCGTCGTCAGATTCAGAACTACTACTTTTAGTTTTCTTCCTTGATTTGCCCTTCTTTTTGCTGGCAATCTCTTCATCAGATTCATCACTGTCTTCTGAAGCTATCCTCTGTATCTTTCTGCTCTTTTTAGCCTGCTGTTTTTTCCTCTTTTTAGCTGGCACATCACTGTCCGATTTCTCCTCATCAGAGGAACTGGATTCCTCCTCTGAAGAAGTTACCCTCCGCGGGCGTTTTCTAGTTTGTTTTTGTGACACGCTTGCCTTTTTAGAGCGTGTCTTTCTTCTTTCATTGTCTCTCTCGTCCTCAGATTCTTTCCCTGAATCTGAAATGGCTTGTTTCTTTCCTTTTCCTTTCTGCTTCTTAACCTTCTTCTCCTTTTGATGACCGTCTTTAGTTTTCACCATAGAAACAAAGTCTGAAAAGTCTGAATCTTCCTCTTCACTTTTATCTTTGCGCTTCGTCTTTTTTACAGCTTTCGACTTTCGCTTTAAATCTTTGTTTTTCTCATGAGAATCTGATTCACTTGATGAATCTTTTCTAGTTCTATTGTTTTTCACTTTGCTTTTCTTACTGTCTTTTTTGTTATTTTTCCCAACTGATTCGCCACTCATTTGTGGTTTGTTTTTACTTGTACTCTTCGCTTGAACCTTTTTGTTTTTCCCTTTACTCCTTGAGCTGGTGACCACCACATCATCATCACTATCGCTGTCAACAACCACCAAAACATCCTCTTTAGTAGACCCATTTTTCTTTCCATTTTTCTTGTTTGCAACTTTAGAGCTGCATTTTCTGTCTTTCTTTCGATCCGAATCATTTCCACCATCGTTCTCATCCTCTTTACAATCATCATCATTGACACTGACGCGATTAGCAGCCGCACTCTTCTTTGTTGGACTTTCACTGGGTGACAATGCGCCATCAGAGCTCATTCCCATATTCTCACTTATACTGCACAGTCTGCTCCGTCGTTCCTTTTGGTTAGGGGTCTCCTTTAACGAAGATCCCTTTTTCGATTTAAAGAGACTTTTTTGGGCTTTGCGCGAATCCAGAATGTCCATTATTCGATTACATGCTTTTACTAGCTGCGATAAAGGTTTAGAATTACAACAAAAGCATAACCATTCAGTGTCCTCCGGTGCATCCACGATCTCTTTGAGCTTTGCCTTGCCTAGGTTACGTTTAATACAAGTTTTGCAAAATGCCTTCTCGCACTTGTCACAGCAGAGAAGCGAACCTCCATCGCCACACCATCGACACTGTTCCTCTACACCAAATTCGTCACGAGTAAATGGCCCAGAATTGAAGTACCGACTGCATTTCTATGTAAAAACAAAAAATAAAAGGAAATTAGAGAGAGACGCACTGGGGAAAAATTTAATTCGTCTTCTGTGATAAGTCTCTGCGCAACAGTAAATAACTGAAAGCAATAAGTCAAAGTGAAAGTTGACATTTTTTGCAAATTGTATCAAAACAAAAAGATACCTATCTACAATTTTTTTTTTCTGCTTTTAAAATGTTCATCTCATGGAGAAGTGACTGTGATACCAAACATGTGTATGTACTTACTTTACACACCAAGACATTCAAGTTTGGATGTCTACAGACAGTACCATGAGCAGGGTTCACTTGTCTTCCGCAAGCTGTACACTGAACTCTTCTGGGTAACTCAACTGAAAATTTAAAATTAAAAAAGGTTAAAATTTCAAACCAATATTATGTTTGGTATAGAGACTGTTTAGTGCTAATGACAATATAAAAGAGTAAAAATATATACCATCGAAAATAAGGTGAAACACATGTAACTGCAACCAGTTTATCGCCTGGTCTGCTTACGTTTAACATTTACTGAACATCAACATTTCACAAATTTACTGCCACTTCAATTCGGACCTTGTCCATACTAAATAAGGATTAAAACTGTTTTGCCTCTCAACCAAGTTAAGCTATTAACTTTGATCACTGAGATTTTTATAAATATTGCCCCAGAGATAGTGAGAAAATCCAAAAAAGCTAGCTCAGTGGTGTACTGTGCCGCAAAAGCAAAGCTTTTCTGCTAATAGAATGATCCATATAGTAAATGGTGACATTATCTGTCCCAGTTGCCTTTTGACTGCAACCTAATCCTACACTAGCTCCTCAGGCCTTAACAGAGTTTCATATTCAAAATTTATTTTGATTACAATTGAAACAAGTGGGTGAAAAATGTCTTATTCACCTTAAGGAGCTTTTTTCCTTCAACATCTATACATTGTTTTCAAGGTGGTGCCTTAGTCACAACTGTGCAAAGAGAATTACCATTACAAGCCTTACCATCAGCATCTGAATTTTCAGAAATCTGCTTCTCCTTTTTCTTCTCACCCCCCTGTTCCTTCTGCTTCTGTACCTCTTCGCTAATATCATACCCCAGCATTTTCTGAAGACCATCTAAGGAGTTCTCATAGTTTTCAACAGGTTCTTGTTTTACCACTGGATCATTATCAGGTGGCAACTCTTCAATAACACAATCTTCTTCAATACAAGGAACTTTCTGTTCCTCATCAAGATCCATGCCATTTTCTATGGCATGAGCTTCTTCATCTACCTCCCCTTCTTGGCAAGTGACTGGTTCCTTGTCATGGTGCTTTTGTTTTACTGCTGCTGCAGCTGCTTTCCTGTAAGGATAATAATTTTTTTGGATTCACCCAATAAAACATTCTCATTAACCAGGGTTCATTCAAATATACAGTGACAAGGGGATTGCATAAAATGATGGAAGAATGTTTGTTGTGGGTGTGAATATTCTCTCATCTTCAATGTCTAATTCCCTACAAAATCCATCTTTTAAGCACTGAGAATCAGCATAATTCAAACCTGGCCTTCACCTAGTTTTATGAAGACACCAGGAAAAAAAAAGTTTATTTTGTACATCTTTCAACTACATTTCTGACATAATTCATGATTCAAACCACAGAATACTGATGTATCTAACATATAGGAATCTTTACCTTCTTGATGACCTTGGAAGTGACTCTGCTGTTTCATTAGCATCAACATTTTCTTTCTTTGCATCATTCTGTAGGAGATAACCACTCATTTAAAAATATGGTGTGTACAATAAAATCTTATCAAAGCAGACTTTTTCTATAGGCAACTGCTGTTCATGTAATAGCTGGCTTTGCCTGGAAAAGGGGGTTGTAATAAAAAACCCCAAACAGGAGAGCCTACTCACAGACTTAACCCTTTAACTCCCATGAGCAACCAAGAGAGAACTTATCCTTACAATGTAAATGCAATATCAAGCAGACAGGTGATGGAAATTAAGAAAAAATGTAACTGGGGGACTATTAGTTGATCCAACCGAATTCTCCAAACTCACATCATACCAGTTGTAAAGCTGAAAGTAAGGAGAGTTAGTAACGAGATCTTAAGAGTGAAAGGGTTAACAGACGACAAAAAGAGGTCCTATAGGTGGCTGTAGGCAACTGGTAACTGCCTTTAATTGAAACCCTTGAAAGTGGAGAGGCATATCTTTCACAGTAAAGGTAAATAACAATGCGCAGATGCAAAGTGTCCTAGTACAAACAAGATTTATGAAACTTCCCATTTCAGCATTTAGAGTTTTGTAATTTTAATCTATTAAGGGGAAGGTAATTAAAAAAAACTGTTGCTTTATTTCTTTCCTTTAAATATCATTACAAATATTTTATGTGTCAAGATAGAGTCAGAGAGCATTGTTAATTCCATCAAAAGTTAAAACATCTATTAATTGTTATATAATAAGCTCAGTTATGCATGCATTCTGATTGGTTCTCACTTATGATCTATTGGAGGGCAGACATATAGATGACATCATCATTAAAACTTTTTAAAATTATTTATTATATAAAACAAATAGATTCCAAGTTGCCATGCGTCTGTTCAGTAATAGATCACAAAGGACGTCAAAATGTGGTAAGAACAGATGCACAGCAACTTGGAATCTATTTGTTAAATGGACAGATGCATCACCATTGACACTTTACTTTTAATCAGATCAGAAAAAAAGATTCCATGTTGCTGTGGGTTTATACAGTAATAGATCACAGAGACATCAAAATCTGGTAAGAACATCAGCAAGATACATGTAATTGCATCAGCTTCCTGTGACACTCTTTGCTCTTATCACATTTTGACATCTGCTATGATCAACTACTGAACAGATCCACTGCAACATGGAATCTGTTTGTTAAATTTATGCAGTTTTTAATTAAGCACATTTTATTGTAAGTTTTACCTTAATAACATGAAGTTACTAAGATTTCAAACCCACAAACTTTTCTTTCAATAGATAACTTTTAGTAAAACCTCTTGAAGTCTCCACTAAATACAAGATTAATAGCTGAAAAATTCTCAAATTTAGCATCTACTTCTAATTAATAGGGGGCTTCTCCTCGATACAGTTTGTTGAACAGTATGGAGGGAAAGACAAAATGAGAACATCAGATGTTCACTTTGTGCATAGTGGCTGTCTAATCCAGTAATCTACACATTTAATAACGTGCTGACAAAGAGAATTTGTTTAACAACCAAGAGCTTCTCTAGTTAAAGATCATTTCCTTTATTCTGATGACCTTGATGTGATGATTCAGGGGTGATATTGTAAGGAGAAATTAGATGGCAATCAAACTAAAGGGTCTAAGAGTTAATTCAAAGTGTCAATTTATTTTGGTGTCTGTTCAATATAACACTGTAGTTTGAATACTGCCTCCTGCTGTCAAGAGGGAGGGATAAGTGGGATTGACTGGTAATGATCATGGCAATTACAACCTAATATCAGTATGTATGTTCTCTTCACCATATCATTTTTAAGATTTTACTCACAACCTACAAGGCACTCAATAACTTGGCACTGCCGCACATGTGCTTACATCCTTCACTCCATTATATCAATTAAGTTCATTATCCAAACATCTTCTTTTTACTCTGTCATACAACTTGAAAAGGTTTTCCTCTGTGGTAGCCCCACTACTATGGAATGCTTTGCCATATGACATTAAAAACAGTTTGTCAATGTCTTTTTTTAAAAAAGCCTATTGTAATTACTTTTAGTTACTTTAGACCTTTAGTTCCTTTTTTTAATAAATGAAATATATAAATATTTTATTTATCATTATTTTTAAGCATACTGATGTTAAGGGTGTGAAGTGAAAAAGCTTAGTAGGATAACTTTATTTGGTAACAGCAAAATTATCTATAGTACATAGAGAGAACTATACATATGTAGATATGGAATTTCTCTTCAAGCACTCATATTAATAGCTCATGAGTGAGCACAGCAAACATGTAAGGTATCAAGTTGAACGTGAGATGAGACATTCCATATCCAAAAGCAACCGTAAAGTATTTTGCTTATCTTGTTAACACAAAAGACCTTAACTGACAAGAAAAGTTGACCTCGTTGATGAATGAAAAAAAATAGGACCCACAATCTACGAAAATAATTTTAAAGTGCATTGGCAATAAGCATGATAAGACTCAAGATGAAAAAACTGCATAGAATCATTACAAAAACAAACAATAGGCATAACTTTCAATTAACAAAATTCTAAGTTATCGACTTTTTCCTTACAGAGAGAAGAAATATTTTCAGGTACACAGCCAAAATCAGCCAATGGCAAATCTTTCAGTTATCAGTTTTCATTCCCAGCTGCAAGAAATGCCATTACCAAAGCCAAGTATGTAACTTTTTGATTTTTTTAAACATATTTTGGTTTTCTTCTGCCTCTAGGAAATTTTGAACATCATTGTCTGTAAGCAAAATGAATTTGTCAGTGATTGTAGCATTTGCATTTGGTGAAATCAAACACAAATTTTAATAAAACTACGTAATTTCACATATATTCTGTTATGGCTTTTCTTCAGGGCTGGAAATACCTGTAAAACGCCGCAGTTTATATGGTAAATACAAATCTTTCGTTTACTTTTTAGATCCAAAAACATTGATCAAAAGTGGAAAAAGAGGTAGGTAAAAGCTAGGCAAATATATGATAAAACAACACATATTTGTGCCATTAAGCCCTAATTTGCTCTACCTTTTTTTTTTCTTTAAGGCTTACGAAAAAGTCTCTGAATAATACTGCATTAATATTTTAGACAAAATGCAACGTTCGCATAAATGTTTGTTAATTTTCACAGTTTACATTTTTAGCGATAAATTTCGGTACTAACAACTTTTCACAGCTCTTAGTTCACGACTTCTTTTGCAAACAAAAAGTGGTTAAGTTTCAGGTTAGCCAAAACAAGGAACTATTAAGTACAAAGCAATCTTTTATTTCTATTCCGGTTAAATCATGTGAGTGTTTTTCACCGAAGCCTGTAATCGATCTTCGAGTTAAAAAAGCGAGTAGTGCGTGGAATGAAATCTGCTTCGCTGCTGAAGGACTTTTATGCTTCTTCAGTTATCATTTCACCTATGGCACAGCTTTAAATAAATCGTTCCATTAATTCGACTCTTAACTACGACGAAATCGAAATTGTCTTAAGAACAAAAACAAGTGTCATAATTATGAATCAAACAGAACACAAAGTACAAAATACCATGCCAGATATTTTGAAGACAACTCCAGTTAAACTGAACAACAAACTGAAAATATAACCCCCAGGAAACGTTACAAAGACAAATTTTCCTTAATAGCGTACCGTAAAATTGACCATAATGTTAATCAATGCTTGATATGTAAATAGTGGTTGGTATTCTGATGTCACATAATCGTCGATCACACACAAACATACTCTTGCCGGCACGAAAATTCACGCAACCTGGATAGCAAAATAAACATGTTACCTGCTTTTCTTCCCTTCCTGTGCCCTCTTTTTCCGATGGATTCGTCTGATGCAGTTTACTGATTATGGAATCGAGCTTTCGTCTAAAGGATAATGATAATCGAAGGCGGCAAAAAATTTTAATGAAAAACTTGTCACGGTATAATCGTAAACTACAGGTAGTCAAACACATGGTGCCAAACGTCACAGAATAATAGCATTGAAACCAACCGTTTTTTCCTCACTCTTTCCTCATCTGGCATTTTCTACTTAGTGCAAACAAAATGATTGGTATTATATCATAGATAAAAGTAGTCGTTCTCCTTTTTGTCGAATTTCTTTCTTTTCGCGCCAGCCTGCGCGACCAAGCCTCTTCCATTCCCAGTATACTTTGCGAGAACACGTGCTCGGCTGTATCCTTAGCAACGTAAGGGAGTTCTGAGAGACTGTTACCATGGCTTTCACCATGGCAACTTGTAATTTTTTTTCAGTTTCTCCTGTGTCTTGGATTTCTGTAATGTTTTGTTGTTTAGGCGAAACAGGTTTCTTTGATCATTTTAGTGCGGTTTGCTCGGACTTAGGAGTTTAACTTAGCTAGATCGAAGAAGACCATGACTTGCTCCTCATGGCTGAATGAAAACTTTGTGAATCTTTAAACAACCAGGATCAATAGTCTTCATTTCCAACTACCTGCAGCACAGCGCAAATTCAGAAACCTTAAAGGCTGACGCAAGTTGTCTCCTTTGCCCTCCGTACACATAACAAAAAAAACAAAGGAAAAACTAACAAGATTGAAAGGAGCAAACAGAGAGACTAGTTAAGCTTGTTTTTATTTAAAACTAGTTCAGATGATTCCTCAAAGTGTGCGGTGCGAGAAATTCCAAGGATATTTTATACTTCTGATTAAATCTACACATATAGCGCTTTTCGATTCAGTGTCGTTGAACCAAAACCAACGTTATTACAACATTCAATCAGAAGACAGAAAAATACCCTCAAAAGCCCATGAGAACTATAGGCAAAAACAACCAAACTGCCTAAAGCGCGGGAAAACGCGGGCAACCAAGTTGTGATTGGTATTAGTTTTGCATTTGATTGGTGGAGAAAGTTTCGCGACTTTCCTAAACCAATCAGTGCTAAGTAAAGCAAAACCAATACAATCTCGGATTACTTTTGACACTCAACGGAAGATTGGTCTCAAAACTTCTGAGAACCATCAGTGATAAGGAAATCGAAAGGCTTTTTACTGCTGGTTAACAACCTGAGTTAATGATTGTCTAATTTCTAATAACTTTGTTTCTCGGTTGAAAGATGGAACATTTGAAACTAGAGAAAAGGTAAAGCTATGAACTATCACTATTCATTGTGCTAATTGCAATGAGAAAGTTCAATATAAACGCTAAAACTTCAACCATGTTCCGTTTGTTTGGCGCAGAAGTTAGCGAGAAAGCATTTATATTTACTATAAATCTTGGTTAGTATTTTTCCTATGACAAAGATGAAGGAAAAACAAGAAAAGTCAGCAAAGAAAAACGCATTTTAAGTTCGCTAACTTGCCACAGTCGTCAGAAGTTTGTATTTGAACGTAACAAAGCTCCAAGGTCTTCCCAAATGTTCAAATTCAGTGAATCAAGAGTATTTCTACATCGACGACTATCAATTACTGATTCTCTCTCGGCAAACCGACATTGAAGTTCTCTGTATGTTGCATCAGCAACAGACGCAGGCCCAGTTATTAGAAGCCTCAGGTGATCAGCGAGATTTGTAAATGCAAGGTGTCCATTTTCAATGGCTTGAAGTCTCACCGAACGTTCTTGGACCTGGTATCTGAAATAGGAAAGAAACGAAATGACCCCATTACAGAAAATTTGAAACTGTTTTTATTTCTTCAGGAATCGAGATAAACGCAATTTCGTTCACCGAAATGATCCATAGAAATTACTCTCTAATAGGAGATACTAGTGTCACAGCGGATTTGGACCCCGCAGCTTTATACACCGCGGATTTATACCCCCTCCCCCGCTAGCGGATATAAACCCCAAAATAATTCTGAGGGTCCGTTTCCTTTAAGCCTGTAAAACAGGCGCAATTTTTATGCGTTTTTCGGGCGAAACGGAAACAAGAATGAAGAGAGCGCGAGGTGCAAGTCATGCACGAGGGGTAGGAACGCCATTAAAAATAATTTTCTTAGCTCTTCCCTTATTGCGTTACTTGCTCTTCGTGCTCGCCGCGCGTTTGTCTCCAATCGCCTGTAAAACGCACAAAATTTATGGTTTTCTGCAGGTAATTTTGGACTGAGGGGGGAGGGAAGAGGTTCCAAATCTCATTGGCCGAAATGAAACGGAAGTCACTACATGCGACAAATCGGGTTGATTAAAATGATAACCAGACCTAAAAGAAATAAAATATTGACACTGAACGAGTTTAGTAAATTTAAGTAAGACACCCAGTGAGAGCAAGGGTAGGGCACTTTTTTGCATACAACAGATTCTTACCTCCACTGAATTCCTCTCGGAGTGCAACACTTCTCTTCGTTGCTGCAGACATAGGGGGTCATATTCTCTGCCCAGCTCAGCAGATGGGACAAGTACAGTTCAAAAAAGGCAGGATACATAAAGGCCACTCTGGTGAGTATGTGGGGAGGGATGGTCATCAAACGAGGATCTGGTTTGCATCTGGCAAAGAACTCTGTTGAAAGTTACAATATAATTTGTAACTTTGTAAGATTTAATAAAAGTTTGTTCACAACTTGCAATGCGTGATCAAATAAAAATTTCAAAATCAGACACAGTAATAGTAAGAGCACTCATTCCAGTTTTGTTCCCAGACATACAACCTGTTTCTCCAAAGTATGGGTAGTTACCACTTGGACAAGCCTATTACTTTACTGCTGTCAGTTTTGTTATTTCCCCTTAAGAGCTTGGAAAATCAAACACTAACAAAACCTGGAATTGGACTGAATGGACCGTATTCCTTTTTTTTTTAGATAAGACCAGCACCTCCATGAGTAAGTTGATCTTTCTTATTCTTGATCCATACTTATTCCAGCTTTTCCCCTACCCCTCACTGCACATAAAACAACCCTCCAAATTACGGTTTGACCAGGAAGGACTACCTTTTGGATGTCAACTTCCACATCTCATTTTTTTTTTCACATACTATTACGTCTAATTCTGCCATCTCAACCTCTGGATGCCTTCGCTTAACACCTACCCAAGACCCACTCCAAAATTAGCTGAGTGACAGTCTCGGAGTCTTGAGTAGACTGACAGTCATCTGGAGTCAAAACCAGTGATGCAATAATGCTTGTCAGTCCATTGTCCTGCTTAGCTAGCTCTGTCAGCTTGTCACAGAGGACTCTCTTGTTCTTGCTGACATCTACAAACATCAAAACAAATAATCACGAGACTGAGGCAACTACTCTTGCTTTGTATCTATATTTCTGTACAGAACCTGCCTAATTACTTACTTAATATGAAATATTACAGTGTTCCAAGCCCAAGGTTTTAGTGACTGACAATCAAAAATGGTTGCCAGAGGTAAAATTTTAATTCCCAGTGGCTGGCACAGTGTAAATAGTTTTTATGACTTTCATGACATCTCAAGACTTCACACTCCCAGACTCACTCATGGAGAAGAGAAAGGCAACAGTGGAACATTTGTAATATTTTTTTCACATGTTTACATCACTTTATCATCAGGTCATAAAAATTAAAGAATGAAAATATTAAGACTATGCAGCGGTACATGTATTGAGTACAGTGCAGGGAGTAAAAGGTTAACCAATGCCATTTTTTTTTCTCAAACTCCAAAAAGGTTTTCAAGTGGTACCAAGATCTTGGATAATTTCATTAAAAACATCAAAACATAAATAAGAATGGCTACTAAATTACCTTTGAGTCCAAATTTTAACTGATGCTGAACATGCTTGAATAAACAATGTGCAGCTGCATTCATGGAAATGTCTGCCGAGGTAATTGAACCTGGAAATTCCATTAGACTTGTCGAAGAAGTTGATGAGTCACATTTCTTTAATGGTTTTCCTTGAAAAGATCTCATATCTTCAGTCAACCTATCCCTCATTTTACACAACAGTTGTACAGCAGCTCTTGTTTGGCTCAAGTGGAAAGAGTCAGTGAGAAAGTCCGAAATGTCGGTAGAATTTTGTGTATCGCCTACAGTTAAGCCATATAGTTTGAGTGTCAGGTGGAACTGACTCTCTGACAAATGAGGATTTTGAAGTAGAAACCTTCTGAGCAAGGACTTGGATTTATCAAGAACTGCCAAGGATAATCTAAGATCTCCTAGGTGTATTTGCCCAGATTTATTGAAGTTATCAAGATATTTATCCAGTTTTTCTGCTAATGAAGGCTTTGTCTGCAACTTATGATAAACCTGACAAAGAGACAGGGAGACAAATAATTACCAAAGAATTCCAAATTTCCATTATCTGATGAACAACTCTACTTTAACTTGCTTACATTTGCTTGTAAGTTAGTTCAGAGAATTTGATGTTTTCTCAATAAGACAGCTTCCAGCTGAGAAATTTATCACAATTCTCATCACTTATTTCATTTCCAGTAAATTTCTTTTGAGAATACTTGTGTGCTTTAAAAGGCCATAATCTGACAGTACAACGTTTGGTGTCTACACATAGATCAGCAAGTATATTTTCGTTTAAGACAGACAAAATGGAGAGTGGGATTAACAAATACGCAATTTTTACGTATATGTCATTGAGTGGAAACGTGTGCTGTGTATGCTATGCACAAGTAAATGACCGCTAGGTCATGGTTCTAGAACCCCCACAAATCCGGCTCCTGCCAAATTGTACAGGGTAGATCATTGATATTTTCTAAGAAACTAACTAGATAATGACAGTTCAAATCTGATCACATTAACAAATGGATTCAATGATGCTGCGTATCTGTTCAGTAATAGATGGCAAATGACGACAAAATGTGGTAAAAAAAAACAGGAAAAAGGACAGGAGATACAGCTGGTCGAGTATCACTGATGCTCTTACCACATTTTGACGCCTTCTGTGATCTTTTACTGTACAGACCCTCCATTTTTTTATGTAATGAAAAAGCAAAATTTTTTTATGGTGCCGTCATCTACGCATCTGTTGTCCAATAGATCATAAGAAAGAACTGATCAAAATGCGTGTATTCATATAAAAGCACAGTAATTTAGAACATGTAAACTTGCCTCTTCAAAGTAACCGGCCCATTTGAAAGCTTTTTCGAAGGCACTTTCGTCCCATTGCTTCACTTCGTCACTCCTTGCCATACGTAGTACATCCACAAATACATGGGTATTTTTCAAAACTTCGTTCATGATAGGATATTCCGAAGTTCTGGGTGATTACGGTCACTGGTTAGAGAAAGTTTGGGTGGTCAAACATGGCACTCAACCTTGTAGAACCCAGACTTCAGACCAAGACTGCTCGGTCAAAGCCTCCGTCTTGAGTTATTTCATTGCTTAGTGGGAGAAGAGATGTACATTTGGAGCGGGAGACGATCCGGCTACAAATAAAGTAATTCCGTCTCACGTTCCTCACGAATAACTTATTGACTAAATCGTTCAACTCATCATCTTAGCTTCCACACAAGACCCACACCTCTTGGTCAAAGTTACTTCCACCAAGACTCACATGTCAATATACAGCACTAAACCAGTATCTCTTACTTGATGACTGAGATAACCCTTCCGTATGTTAACGACTGGTAACACTGTCACGCACCACCTTCAGGTCCAGCGACCTGTGCCATGTAGGCTAGACTTTCGCTGTTCTCTCGAGTTCAGTCGATCTCCACGAGTTAAATTGTCTTCGAACGTCTTCGGATTATTCGTACATCGCGACTTAAGAGGGGTTTGGATTGAAGTGAGCTGCTGTAGAATAATTATCTTTGCAGAACGGGAATAGAGAGTTGAAGCAATAGCTCTTTTATCATTCCCATGTAACGTCTTCACGAAACGGGTGGAAATCAAATATCTGGAAAATTCAGTCGACAATATCATTTAAAACATTTTTTTAATAGGCAGAACCTACAATAGAGGGTTCAAAGACCCGAAATTACCACTTCACAGTGTATCACGTTAACATAAGTGATAAAATGGGACATAACCTTAAGCAACTGAAAAACTAAGAGAATAGTCTCTTCCTAAACACTCGAAGTTAACTTGTTTTATTTTGATGATCACTTCAATAAACCCTGTGATGTCAGTGATAACTTTAACTCAGCTTTATCTGTACTAGAAGGTATCCCCTTTACGTGAAACAAGGGTCTTGCGTTTTGTATTATAATTTCTATTCATCGTGAGGATCTTTCACAAACTTAGCTCTGAGGTGATCTCAACAGAATCTGTCTAACTGTACGTGTACAGAATAAATCTTCATTGCATGCTTGTGACATTCAAGTCACCATCTTCCTTAACTATTAACATAACATATTTTCTCTCACTTTTTTATCCTGAATCTCTCCATTCATTATCAAATTCTTTAATCAAACGCAATTAACTCAAATCATGAAATTGCATGCTCAATATGTCAGGTTACCAATGTATTAGATGAGAAAGGGCCTACTCATTCAATTGCTGCTAAAGAGATTCCTGTGCTTACACTCTGTAATGTTCAGAAGCAAGATGTTCATCGCTTTCTGTTGTAGAGTAAAGATTATCGTTAATATGGCTAAAAGTGATTAACCATTTCGCTCCTAGATCTTAAAAGTAATTCTCCTTACTGTCTGCCATACAGTTCTTATGATGTTAGTTTGGAGAATTCGGTATCGAATCAACTAACAATTGCCCATCTGATATTTCTCTTTATTTTTATCACTTGTCTTCTTCACATTGTATTGATGTTGTAAGGATAAATTCTGTCTTGGTCACTCTTGGGAGTTAAGGGGTTAAGGAAACAGATATCACCATGACATCACAGGGATTACTAAGTAACTTCATTAAAGGCTGGTAGCCAGAGCTTCAATCTCAGCACTCAGCTTCTGCCTCTTTGTCTTGTTGTTAGACTCGCTCTCCACATATCCTTGCTTGCTAAGGCGGCCAACCACCACTTTCTCAGCCAAAGAAATGGCTCCATCCAGTGCCTGCTTCCTCTCATGTTCTTTGCGCAGAAGGTCTGTAAGCTATAAAAGTTAAATGAGACAGAGGCTCCAGTCAGCACCCTGTTATATATGAATATCCTCCTCTGATCAGTGTTTCCCTGAAAAAATAACAGCTCCCAACGTACCCCCCCCTCCCCCACATATCCACCCCTTCCCCTCACCAACAAAGAAAATAACATGGATAAAATGCATGACAAACAAAGGCAAATAGCTCTGGACACCTTGCACCATTCTTTCTCTACCTGCAGAGTCATTTTGGAAACTACAAGACTAGTCCATATACAAGTGTTGTATATTCAAGTCTCAGGGGAAAAAAAACTGGTTTAAGGTTTCAAATTCCAAGGTTTTTTTTGGTTGTTTGTTTGTTTTGTTTGTTTTTCACACAAACCATTACTATTTTTCAGTACTTATAACCTGGAAATAATTCCTGAACTCCTTGGATGACTGAGATTGTAGTGACCAACAAATGTGAACTGAAAAAATAACTTGGATCATTGGATTTTGACAGGAATCTATGTTAACAAGGAAGTGAATGCATGGAACTGTTCACTAAGAAGCTTTCTGCCATGACAAAAAGTTCTGTACCAAGCTTTTAAAAGAACATTAGTCTCACCTTCTCAGCAACTTCAGGTTGTTCCTTGTTAAGGGAGTTCTGCACCTGAGTGATCTGATTGCTGATGGAGCGGTAATCTCCATCTAACTTCTTGCGTGCATTAGCAAAGGCGGTGGCATCTTTGCTTGATTTAAACTTTTGGATGGTGTCAGAGTATACAGAATAAAGGCCACTCTGACGGTCTACCAGGCGCTGGACCTCATCAATAAGACAAGCAGCACGCATGCGTGACTCATTAGCTTCATCCTTGAAGAAAAACGTGGTAATGTCAGAAATGGTAATCAGTACATGATAAGGTACACAGTACCATGGATAACCAAAAAATACACACAGCTGTGTCATAAAAGTTTCCCTACATATAAAAATGGATACACTTAACCCAGAAAGACTTGGTGGTGACAGTTGCCTCTGTTATTAGACCAAATATTAAAGCATTTATCCAGGAAAAACAAAACCTGGTATTGGCTAAAGGCACAAATTTCAGTGAACTTCCAACAACACATGTAACTAACATTGCTATACCCTGAGAAGCATTAAACTTTCAAGCTAAAGTTCTGAGCTCCAGTAGAAAAAGCTTCTTTGGAAGAACCCAACTCAAATTTTGTGTCTATCAATGACAAGGTCAAGTGTTAAACAAAAGCTGTTTCACACCAACCTCACAGCACTGATACCAAAGTCCACTGTGACACCAAGATGAACAACATCCAAATAAGACCATCAAATGCAAAGCTCATAATCAATTTTTTACACCATATATTTTTACAGCCTTACCTTGCTGATTGCAAAGTCCAACCTCATGTAGATGACAACAAGCATGAAGAGCAAGTAAAATGCACCAACAACTAGAAGTGGCTCTTGTAAGAGAAGTACTTTATTAAAGGTGTAGTGCAGCTGTTAAAAGACCAAAGTAGGGTTAAGGCACATAAAATTATAATGGCACAGCAAGGGAATTAATTCATTAATCCTGCAGTTCTTTGCTTGAACACTTATATGTACAAAGCCTTTGTTTAATTAAGGGGTACTTCACAGGGCATGAAATTGTGCCTAATACAGGCGCCAATGCGACTAAATTTTTCACTTTGGCGACCAAATCCTGAAAGTTAGTCGCCAAATTGGCGACTAGAACGTTTCATCATAACCTTGCCAAGAGATATAATGAATTAAAAAGATTTGCAAAGATAAATCTGCGGCAAACTTCCTTGTTAAGTTTGTTTCCAAAACATTGCATATGCATCTCGACCGATAACTAGATGCCATCTTGGATTTAGATGAGCCTGAATGTTGTATATCATCCATCCTAGTGTCCACTTTGTAGCATGTTAAAGATCTTTTCCCTAACTCAATTTTGGAGGGTCTATCTAGAACGCTGACAGCGTAAAGAAAGATTTTGTTTGTCTTTGAAAATGGCGACCAACTTTTTTTGAATTGCTACCACTTTGAAGAATTTAGGAGCCAAGTGGCTATCAGAAAAAAAGTTAATTTCACGCCCTGCTTTTGTTACTGTAACAGTTGACCAACCAAATGCCTACCTGATGAACTGACAACCCAAATAACTTAAAAACCAAATGGGTACATATACCTGAATTATTACCTCCCTCCCTCCCCAGATGTCTGTAGTAATTCTCTTTACCACAAACCATGCAGTTCTCATCATGACAGTTCTAAGGATTTGGTATTGGATCAACTAATAATCCTTATTGCTAATTTTTCTCATCAATTGTTTGCTAGATATTGTATTAATTTTTGTACGGAAATATTCTATCTTGGTCACTTCCTGGGAGTTAAAAGGTTTATGCTATATACCTCAAAGTCTTGAATGTGTTGCTCTACCAGGTTACTTTTCTGCACAACAACCACAGGACGTCCAATTGTATCCAGATAGGTATAATGCAATTCACGTTTTCCTTCCTCCATCGCAAAAGGAGCTTTCAATTCAATGTCTCTACAGAAAAAAGGATGAAAACCCAACATATCAACATCAAGAACAATGATATCATGAAATTAAGAAATACCAATTATTATCATCCAACTGCACAAAGCAGAGTACAAACAATGCAGGAATATAGTACAAATATCCTGTGATATTGAATGGCTAATTGGACAATTGGTTGTTTTGTACTATAAAAAACCTGTTTAACCAGTTGGCTGCACACATTATGCTTTTCTATCCACTTTGCTTTTCCCGCCTTATGAGAAATGAACAGAAAGACTTACCAGAAAAAAAAGCAGTTGGATAATAAATAACATATTAGACCTTTTGGTATGTAGTATCACTGAGAATTTTTACTCATTGTTTTGTATTTTGACTTGCCCTATGGGCTTGTCAAAATACAGCACAACTTGTCAAATTACTCAGCAATACTACACACCAAAATGTCTAATAGGATATATTTATCTCATTACTATGTTTTTCAATTCTTAGCTAACAAAGTATATAATCTTACGTGCATCCTTCTGGGAGAATGATGCGCAATGCAAGGTTGTCAACAACGAACTCATCATAGATGTGGTCAATAATTCTCATCTTTAGAACATATTTGCTACCTATAAAATTGGGAAAAAAGTAAACAAGCATTAATTTTTGGTTTATTACAAAATTAACACAACTGTCGCATAGTCATTCATACGGGAAAAGAATCACCACAATCCTCTCAAAAATACCAGTAGTTTTTCATAGATCAATCATTCATCAAAAAATCTTTGAATATAATCCATCAAATACTTCTGCTCATGGGCAATTGGTCCAAACACATCATGTGATTGAATATGCCCCAGCTAAAACTGGGGAATATCTGAGGATATCTCACAAGTGATATTCCCCAATTTTTAGACCTCATGTCTTGTTTCCCATCTTGATACAAATAATGACTGCAGACAAACATCCCTCATATTTTCGTACCAAATAGAGGTCACTATTTATAAATATATGTGATTTAGATTCCCTTTTATTACTACAATACTGCAAGAACACCCAGAGTTCCCACTAAATTAGGTACAATCTTCCAAACCAACACTAGGTTGGACAACTTTTCTAAACATAATTATTTATTTTGATGGTAAGTACCCCTTCAATAGAAGGGAGAAAAAAAATTAACAATAAATGATAACATGCAGAAAAATATTTTTTGCACAATAGATCCTGTTGCGATAATACAGTTCTTCCACTACAGAGCACAGCTGACGACTCACCTAGGTTGTATAGATACTCATAACTAGGAACATTATAACCCATGTAGAACCTTGTTTGCCAGCCACCAAACAGAGGAAACCTTGGTCGCAACTCCAACTCGACCGAATCTTCTTGAGACCACAGGTTACTGGTGGAGATGTTACCAATTTCATCCCGATAATACACATCACTGGCAGATGCTGGCAGAACAGACTTGAAAGACTTGATTGAAGAAGGAGCTGGGGTACGTTGATAGTCATACCTCGAAAATGGACCCTGCAAGCCAGAGATGAGAGTAAAGAAAAATTATCCTCAGAACATCCTTCTGAATAACCACAGGTAAATATTAATGCTGTATGAAACCATAGAGATTAACCCTTTAACTCCCAAGATCTCATTAGTGATTCTCCTTACTGTTTACCATACAGTTCTTGTGATTTAGTTTCAAGACTTTGGTATTGGATCAACTAATAATCCATAATCCTCTTACTCATATTTTTCTTTATTCTCATCACTTGTCTGCTTGATATTATACTGAAATGGTAAGGAGAAATTCTCTCTTGGTCACTTATGGGAGTTAAAGGGTTAAGGTGATGAAGCACATGAACTATTATGACAAAATGCATGTTCAGCCCATGTGCATATCTTGGGAAAAAAAAAATCACAAGATGCATAAGAGACCAAAGTCTAGGATAAGCTGGTCCTTTGAAGTAAACACTAAGTCAAAAGTGATGGAAAAATCCTACACTGTACATTCTTAACTTACATAAGCCCACAGATCTCTTAAACAGTAAACACTCACCTGGAGTTCTGCTCCCACATGCTTCATATGAAAGGTTTCTTCCACTGCAACATTGCCCCAATGGGAAACTTCAATTGTCCGTGCCATGTGGAGCACCTGAATTAAAAAACACAAAAACTCACATTTACCCAACATGTACCTCCTAGTACATATTTACATGAATATCTTTCGAACTGCAGAAGTTTCTTTCTTAGTTAATAAGTTTCACAAACATTCAATACACTGAAACTTTCTAATATCTACTTGTTCAGATTTTTTCCATAATTCTCCCCACCCATCTGTTTAATGATCTATTCCACTTGAAAAAAGGATTAACAAAATGATCACTCCTGGATATCCAAAAGTCAAGATATTCAACCTACAAAAGCTTTTGAAGGTTCAATTGAAACCAAAAAACAAAAGTGATAAAACCCACACAATCCATGCCAGTGTCACCTGAATACAGATTTGTACAACTTGTCACAAAATTGTCAGTTATTAATTACTAAAAAAAATGTTGATCTGGGAAGATTTTAGAGCCTCAGGATGAAAGTTTGCTTTAAAAATTTGATTCAGTGATTTCACTCTAACATTAGCAGAGCATTTGACTAATCATACAGTACATACCGAGAGAAAAGGAGTGTTGTTTTCAAAATGAACTCTCATAGGACTAATCTGGAATGCCTCAACATCACTGTAAGGTCCATATGTTATAGCATTGTCTGACTGACTGGTGGGCTTAAGCTTACTGTGGGACTCCACAGAGGACGTTGCCAAGGAAACAGTTGCACTCTGTTTTTTAACAGTGTAAGGTGTGTAGTAATAATGGTTGGCAGAAAAGAGGACAAATTGTTTCTCAGATTGAGTGATCTTGGTTGGGAAGGGAGTCATGGCATGAGCAAATACTTCATCCACAGTCAGCTCAACTGAATGTCCTGGTTTCAGGCGAAATCCAAGATCTGCTCTGAAGAACTTTGTTTCACTAAATAATAAATTAATTGAGGAAAATATTTAAAATCACAAGGATAAGATAGAGGAAAGTCATTGCCTCACAAATGCACACATGTACACAGTGCCTGTACATGTTGTTGTTTAAAATGAATTCAGTCTAAATTATTTCAAACTTGTTCGATTTGCATTTTCTATCCTTTAAGGACAATAGTAATGCAACAAGAACAAATGGGAAAATCCAAATTACTTTAAAATCGAAATTTACTTCGAACTACCACAAACTAAATGTTATTATTTAGCTACATGTAGCAACCATTTCAAATGCATTTTTTACGACATGAAAATCACACATAATATGTGGTTGCTTCACGCTACAAAGCAAACAATTGTTGGATCTGTCCGAAATGTTCGAGAACAAATAAAGAAAGCGTAATACAACAAGAACGTCACGCACGTTTAAAAAGATGACTATACATTCATTACTATTTGTTTCGTTTATTGTGAAATGAAATTCACCAGCATAAATGCTTACCTATGTGCTTCGATTTCTACTTGTTCCATAGTTAAAGTCGAGTCCTCGTCATCAGGGGTCTTGGCCTAAAAATCCACAAGGAAAACGTGAGCTATAAGATAGAATTTCTTGTGATTCGATACGTGGCAGCAGTAGAACAGAATTTACAGACAAAAGATTCGTCTTCGCCGTCACGCTTCGAGCAATTTATCTGTAACATAGAAAATAAGCTTAAGAAAACTCACCGTAACTCCAACAAATGCAAGTTTATCGACAAGAGCTGGTTCGATTGCCAGATGAAAGTGTCCTACTGCAGAATCTCCTTCATTCTCTAGAGTTAAGGAAGTACTGACTTTAGTCAGCTGAGTCGAAAGGTCTATCTTTCGAGAAACCTCACTAATAACCAGTCTAGAGTCGAAATCATCTTTCCCAAAGATGCATGATGCAAGGAGAAGGGCAGCAAGAGCTGCTATGCAAAAAGAAAAACTATTCATCCTCAGATGGAAGAGGATTCTAGCGGACGACTACGTGGAATCGTCAGAAGGGGTTCCAGTGAAAGAAGATAGTATTGAGGTAAAATTTGAATTTGGATGCTCAGCGGACTCTCACGGAAATATTGGTACTAATCCCTCCCGTTTCTTCGTGATGATTACATCGCGTAGCAACACATCAATTATCTCGCTTTTCTGATGCACGTGGAAGTTGAATTTTGTCTCGTTAATCGTATTTTAGGTGCTTTGTTTGCTTTGATGCATAAGGGCGGTCGACGGCAGGCCCGCTGCACGTGATTCGAAACTTCCCTGCAGAATTAATTTTCATGTCACTGTTTTATTCGAATGAAAGTAAGGGTACAGAAATCAATTTGTAAATAATAAGCTGGATTAAAGAAAACTGAAAATTGATGGCTTAGATTTACAAAAATCTTTTATATTGCCTCAGAAATTAAAACGGGTTCCCCCCAAAAAAGTTTGATCGTTTAAGGTGATCGGCCAGTTGAGTCCTGATGAAGGGTCCCATTGGGGGTAATGGCTGTTACGCTCGCGTGCTGTAGTTTTGGCCAGTTCACGGCTAACAGTAACTTCCTTCCTTCGTGATTATAAGAAAAGTTTTACGGTTAACTCATTTTACATCTTAAGGTTAAAATTTGTAAACTTTTACGCCTAACGATTAAACTTTTTGGCCATTTTACGGCTAACGGTTAACCCATTGAGACTCTCCCGATTAGATGTGTGGTCAGAACTCGGCAGTAGGGAGCAATGCACTAGTCACCTAAGCTGAAATCTTCATGATCAACGACTTTACTCTGCTGATATTTTCCGCAAAGGTTCTCGAAACGTCAGTCACTACTACCAACAACAGTACTTTAGAGGTGTACTCTCTGCAGGAATATCAGACGACACAAATTTAAAAAAAAAGTACTTATGTCAGCAACCACGAACGTTTCATCTTTCTCCCATCAAAATCTCGCTATTACCTGTTTATCGTGACATTTCGACTGTTGTGTTGGTCTTTCTGACCAAGAGCTGATGTCCAGTTGTAATGCATCGCTATATCTTTATATGACTGGTGAACTTTAAAGCATTTCCTTGGAATGCCTCAAATGATCCAAGTTTGATTTTTTGATAAAACCGAGTGTTGTCTCAGAAATAGGCGCCCTGCTAAATCGGGTACACACTGATGACATAACGTAGAACGCGTGATCGGCGTAAGTGCACTAGATAAAAAACAAGAAATTCTCCTATTGCAAAATGCATTGCACAGCTTCCTTATTATCTCCACAAACTAAAGGCTGGCATTATAAGAGAGTAGAGGCCAAAGTGAATCTAGGATGAAATAAGCCAATGAAAATGGTCTCCTGGTTTCACGTGATCGTTTAGACGCTCCTGCCCTAAAATTGGCATATAAAAAATAGACCTGACGTTATCAACTTTAATATTGAATCTTAAATTTTATGCATCTGAAAACTCAACGGATAGAGGAGGTCAGGGTAAAGAGGTTCGGATGAAAATGAAGCCGTTTATTCATGACTGTAAATCGAGTCGCTGACTATCGCTTGATAGAATAATACAAGATGTGCCATGATTGACATCATGATTGTGGTTCAGGGCCAGTTTCAGCGACCTCTCTTTAAGTCAATGAGGTATGTTATGTTATGTCTGAGTGAGGCAAATGGAAAATTGTTATGGCTTCGTTAATTGTATCGGTTTCCAACCATGAAGCTATTCGGCAATGTGAATGAATACATAAAAAACACTGAGTCGATTTCTCGTCCACAAATTGCATCTGTTCCAGGCAACGAGGTCAGTGTTTTGCTTGAGGAACTGTCTGTTGTTTCCCCAACTGCAGTTTCTCCACCTGCCAAGAAAAGAGAATGCTTATTTTTGGAAAGTTTAAACCAATGTAGAATAGTTTCAATTGCAACTTATTACTAATCGTCATCGTAAACAGTTATTAAAAGATCAGTTAATGTCAAAAAGTTAAATCAGCCATAAGAACAATTTCTTTTAATTTGCCATGTACGTATCAACAGATTTCACTCAAAAACTGCTTTGGTACCTGTTACGTTACCTGCTATGAGACGGGGTACTTTTTATTATGTGCAATCGTTTTCTAGGTCACTTATTACCAATAGCACATTACACTGTTTTCTGCAGAGGAAAAGAAAATCGAATATCACACAGTCTTTAAAACACGGAGGAAAATTACTAGCCCCCTTTCCCGTCTCCACCATTCAGTTCAAATATAAGGACCGGAAAGGGCTCTCGGATTTCCCCAGAGAAAGTTGAAGCGTAACGCCATTAAAAAAAATAGAAAAACCGAAAAACAAAACAATACTATTTATGTTTAAAAATAAGAACAGCAAACAGAATGCTCTGTTGTGAAATGGGGATTCATTGTACTCATTTTCTGGAGTTGGGTGAAGAGGGTGTTTGGCCTGGCTTTAATCCACTTGAAAACAAAAGAGCAAAACCCCCAGCGAAGAACTAAATTTCATCGTTGCAATTGCTTGGGACGTTCTGCTTCACACTGAATTTAGCCCGCATCACCCTGGATTAAATCCTGTCAAAGACAGCTCATATAGTTACTTTGAAGCACAGTTAGATTAATGTTGAGTAAGAGTAAGCGTCCAGGGTCCTTTGCATGCAACAGACTGAGTTTATAATCTCAATATGTGATGGATGACCATTTGTATTTTCGCAGACTGGTGCATGGAGTTTAATCAAGGATACTTCCTCGGTGAGTATCCTTTTACACGGACTTTTGTTTGACCACCATGGCGTCACAAAGCAAGCAACCAAAGTAAACATACCGCAATGAGAGAAGTTTTCATCACCTGTTTTGCGTTTGTTCTGACGCTGAATGTTAGCTATGGAAGTGAAACTTATAACGATCAGGATAAAGCGTTTAGCAAGAGTTGGAAACAATTACGACGCACGATGGTGTCTCCTTTGAGGGAAGTCCTTTCGCAGACCCATTCTTTTCTACAGCCTATAGCAAAGAAATGGACAATTAGTAACAATGATCAAGCCAAATTTCCACAAAAATATCTAAGTAACGCCTTTAAAGCAAATGATGAGAAACAAAAAAGCGCGGAGATAGGTCACGATGCCGACAACTTACTTAGAAGTCATAATGACACGGGCTTAAATTTCGACCGAAAGCCAAGACCTCACAGCTCCCTTCATAATAAGGAAATAAAGCGCTTTAGAGAGGTTCTTCGAAAGAGAATTAAGGAAAAACCTCGTCAGGATATTGAATTCATTGAGGACAGTCAAGACAATGGGGCTAAACAGTACGAGTTTGGAAGTCCACTTTACGAAGAGGTTGAAGGAAATGGCAATTCAGAAAACGAAGACCAAAATGGTCTGTCTGGTCTCAGAAACAATTACGTCACAGTTATAGACAACATTGATGGCAAAGACACGGATTCTTATAACACCCTGGGTTCAGATGAAGCCAAAGTGGAATATACCAATGTGGCAAATAGTATAAACGAAGGTGAAAATGAAGAATTTCAAATGATAGGAAAAGAGGTGAACGACGTGCTTGGTGCACTGACCAAATCAGATTCCAGAATAAGTCAAGTTGTGGATACGCATCCACCCCAGGGACAAGGAGAGTTACGCGTTAATCAAGCTATGTCGGCGTATGCTAATAAACAAGTGGAAAACGAGACAATTATGAGAAATGGAAAACAGCAACAAAACAATCAGAGTCTACTGCCTGGGGAAGTAACGATCATTGAAGATGACGATGAAATGAGTCCAAATGATGAAGAATCGCATCCGGTCCTCAGCAAGCCTATATTGGACGCCATTAAACAAGCTGAGAAAAATGTGACGCAGCCATATAAAATCATTCAAAGTGTCGAAGCTCCCCAATATGTTGACAAACACTTTCCCTTTCCAATGCAGCTAAAAAAAAACAATACATTGCATAGTCCTGGAAACATCCAGCAAGTTCCCACAAACTTTAATCTTCAACAAAACACTACAAATTGGCACGCCAGAAATGGCGAAAACGAAAATGGTACGCTTGCTTATTTACCTTCCTCAGAAAGAGTCATTGAGAATAATAACCTTACCCTTGTTAGACATTTTGTTGGGAATCTAGAAAAGAATCTCAGAATTTTTTCGGGACTAGCGACAGATAACCGCAAAATGAGAACGAATCCTGAACCTCTACATGCCAATGTTAATGATCACGAGCGAAAATTTGTTCTGACGGGAAGTGCCGAAGAAGGACCAGATAAAGCATTAGCGGACAACAAAAATAATCATCCTGAGGATCTAGCTTCAGTGATGAAATATAATAACTTTACACATGAAAGAAACATTTTCCACACCAGATGGCATCCGTACAATCAGAGTGATATGTCAAAGTCTGGATCGGTAGGGAGTGGTAGCAGTCACTTGCCTCCAAGTCAAGGGACCTTTAACGAAAAGAATTCATCCGCTGTTAACACTCTAAAAACGACTAAAAATATTCATAAAATCGATGCGAAGCACCGGAAACAAGGCTTCCAAATGGCATTGCCTCTCAAGATAAATGGTCCCACTAGGACAAACGATGATGACAGAAGGGTTTCTGTTGGTTACTCGGGGACCCCGGAGGTGGGACGAAGGCCAAACAACGAGTATGTCGCGCAATTTCCTGGGGAAAAGATAAATGCTCGCCTACTCGCTGAAACAGATGGCCTCGACCATTTCCACATCAGTAAAACTAATATAACTGTTCAACAATTTGGTAAAAGCACAGGTACCGTAAACGATGTGGCGACTGTGACTGATGCAACGACTCTGTCTCTAGAGCCCTCCGTGAGAGCAAAATTTCAAGCAAAAGCAGAGGAGGCAGGCAATTCCGAAAAACCATACTTGGAATCATTACAAGCAACGGAAACAAAACTCAATGAGCATCTCAGCCTGAAAAGTAGCGCTAATCAGTTAAGTAACTCGCAATATGGTAGCAGGAAGTTTCCATGGAATTTAGCGAATCAGCAAAGAACTATGGAAGCTTCCTTACATGAGATGAACGAATCTTCAATATATAAACACAACAAAAAAACTCAACAACTGCAGTCGAACAGTTGGCAACGAAATCATGCCCGGCCCCTTTTTGTTGCTAACGAGGACCGCAATGAAAGCAAAGACCCTATCAAAAGTTTTGTTGGTGTACCATTGCAGATTGCTCCTCATCAAAATGTACATAATCCAAACAAATCTCTATCCAGATGGCACGAAGAGTATGAAAAATTGATTGAGAAATTAAGGGACTTGTACGGGCAAGCCCACGGGAATTTTCTCCCAGCGCATAGTGCTAGCTTTAAAAGCAACCCTGTATTGAACGATGCCCAGCAGATGATGAAGGAAGTTTCCCGATTTCATTCACTGTTTGATGACAAATATGGCGATAAAAAAGAAACTGGAAGAGAAAATGGAATGTTTTTCAAGAACCTGAAAAGTAACGTCGATGAACGGAATTGGAGAAACGGAAGACATATCACAAACCCACAGAATCCTTTATATAATTATGGAGAGGATCCTGGAAATAATAGGGATGTTTCCAACCAAGAGCTTTCCTCTCTCAGAATTGAAAAGAACAGAGAAGTATCAGGTCAAATAAGGAGTATCCAGGTAGCAAATCAGACCTTATTTGATTTATCAAATTCCAAGGAAATGTACAAACAGGCACCAAACAATAGTGATGTTATAAGCGATGAAATTCAAAACGGAGGAAGTGAGCTTGGTCACCAAAGTAACTTAAGCACTACCTACTTAAACCAAAGGCTGACCCCTCAACATAGAAGTATTCCTTCTACAAATATCATGAACACTTCTGCTTCACCAACATCGGGAAATGACGGCCTTTCATCCCATCAGGTCCTGATGAGCTACTTCGGAAACGAAACAGATCTTCGCAAACAGCTTCATTTTAATGATGACTATGGAAATGAGTCAAACAACTCCATCAACATCTCACAAAGCGAAGAAAATCAGCCTGAGAATAACAAAACAAGTACAATCTCAAATCCTATCGAAGTCATGACAAAGGAGTCAAATGCAAGTTTCATCATTCAGCATGGCGCAAGCGATAACATCTCTGGAATTCCAAAACAGAATAAAAGTGGGCCCTCGGAAGAAGAATCTCTGAAAAAATACTTAGAAGACTTTATTTCTTTACTGAGTTTTGACGGAGCCGCTGAAAGGAACGAAACGGCAAAAAGTGTCCCGGAAGGTGAACTAAGACTGAAGATGTCCAGTGGTAACTCAAATCCAATAGTGGCAGCCGAAGCTTCCAAAAAGGAAAACGTGACTGATTTGAAAGATAGAGTAATAATAGTAGTGTCGCCAAAGTCCATCAAAGAACTTATGAAAAATCGTAGTCATGATTCTCAGCAGCCAATGGTGCACAAAGGGGTTCCAGTCAAAGTTGCAAAAGTAGAGGATTCAACGGTGATTCTGAAGCCTAACCTTATCACAAACAAGTCGAAGGACGAATTTAAGGAGCATTTCAGGAATGTAACAATCGTGCAAAATGAAACCACCAAAAGCAAGGCTTCCAAACTTCCTTCCCTCTTGAAAGTAACAAATAAAACGTCGACGTCCTTCGAGGACAACGTTGCTTCCAAAAGTAAGAACGATGATTTAAATGAGCTCTATAGAGAAGAACTTAAGTCATTGGAAATATCATTATCACGGGATTTTATGAGTAGCTGGATTTATTACCAAAAATCACTGAACGAAATAGGAATCTCACCAGGGATGCTGCGGTCTGGAATAGCCAATCTCGGATCACCCCAAAGGTTGAAAAGAGTCTTTAAGAAGGCTCTCACTGGCAGTGATCTGAATGTGCTTGTGGTTGGTGGTTCTATTTCGGCAGGTGGTGGACTTGAGAAAGATCGTGGAAATGTTGAAGGCGTTTATCATAAGGCCTTCAGTGATTGGTGGAACAACACCGTAACACCGATCACAACTTCCGAGCTAAAAGTCAGTGCTGTTGCCATTGGCGGAACTGATTCTGAATATTTTTCGTATTGCATACAAAACTATATGAGATTCCTCCCTGACATAGTCATATGGGAGCTGGCAGCTAACGATTACAAACGATATGCAGGTCGAGAGTTCGCTCCGGCAAAACCATTAGAACAGTTGATTAGAATAATATTGAGTTTGCCATCGAAGCCTGCTTTGATACTTGCAAACTTCTTTCGCGGAAACTACTACAAGACAGCAATTGGTCAAGACTGCCCGGACTCCGAAGACGAAGGAGGAAAGTCTATTGCGCAATATTATAAATTAACCTCCTTAAGTTGGAGGAATGTGATATGCTCAGGCGATAAGGAATTGAATCTGAAGAAACTTTTTAGTTCGGACGGATATCACCCGAGCCTCCTCGGACATGCGCAAATGTCAACCCTTTTGATTTCATATATCAAGGGTGTCTTTGAGGAAACTATTTCAGAAGAGATGACTCTGCTCAGAAATCACACACCAGCGCGTAAAAATCAAGAAGTTTCACTATCTTTAGCAGAACCAATATTCGATGATCCCGTGAGCCCTAAGCCGTTGTGTTGGACCCTTTTGACACCAGATTATGGTCAAAAGTTGAGAAATACTCTACCCGATCTCGAGTTTACAGAAGCATCTGGGTTTCAGTTTGCAAACATTAGTCATTGGCCTATTCGGCGTGATCGCTTAAGATGCTTAAAAGCTATCCAAACGGGAGCAATGTTGAAGATGAAGTTTATTGTTCCTCCTTCAGAAAACCGAGATGGCTACAAGCGGGAGCTGGCGATAACAACACACAATTCATTTGGTGGAATGGGGTCTCTGTGGCTGGATGGCGACCAAAATACTGCGAAAACTATTAAGGAAGAGAATGGACAAAGACGGACTCAAGTGAATATCCTAACAAGAAGTTTAACACCGGGTGTACATACAGTCACGGTATCCGCATTGGAACCTGGGTTTTGTCTCTCTGCTGTTGCAGTGTTATAAAAACAAGCGTCACCAAGTATAGGGAGGCTATTGTATCTCCATAACACGACACCCTGAATCTGGCTTCATGACACCTTTTCATTTTAGTTCAAAAGAGAATAAAATAGTGTTACCGCTCAAGGTTTTCATTTAAGCTATTTCCTTCCGCCCGGATCGTTAAGCTGAAATATTTTCAATTATATGAACCAAAGTTGGTTTGCCCATTTTTTCTTGGCCGGACTTATGGCTCATAGACCGCGAAATTGTTCAAAAGCAAATATAGAACTGAAACACACTTTGTATGATGAATGCCTCATCGCTAGTATCAGATGGGATCTGTCAAATCAGAAGGTGCCTCGAAACGATATACTGCAGGCGTGCAGAATTAGTGACGCGTTTCAATCGTCAATAAAAACGTTTACAGTATCTGCACGTTTAAGTCCACTACTGAAGTCAACATGGTTTTTCCCTTGACGTTCAAATAATAATTGGACTTTAGATAAAATGAACGTTTTATGATCGATGGTTGATCCTCGGAATATGATAAACTGGCAGCGCGCAAAGGTCCTCTCGAATCAATAAATTGCCTCAATTTTCACACTTGCTTGCAAAGTTCCTTTTTTGGTTTACTACATCTACTATCATTTACATATATCCATATCTTGAAAAGTTTGTGGTTTTAAACATCACTGTGAATATTACATTTACTTTCCATTTGCCTTTATGGTGTGATCATTATATATCGCATCAATTTATATTTACTTGACATAATTACAGAGCTTTACCGTCATACGCTCTTTGCAATAGTCTATGAACAATGAAAGCGATAAGATTCTCGATTGAAATCACTATTTTAAACTGAAAAGTCTATTGTGGGGTGAGAGGAGTATATCGCTGAGGCGATTTTGAGGTAAGAAAGGTAGAGATAAATTGAAGTGCATTGACGGAGTGTTCGAAATGTGGTGTTTATCTTTAAATTTTTTTAGGGGCTACTTTGCTATACACAAATCTGAAGTGGTAGGATGTCAAGACGTCAATAGGTCATTTACGTAAGTGAACACCGTCAAAAACAAGTTTATGACTTTTTAATGTGGAGATATCGGATAGAAAAACTCTATTGTTTGAAAAATAATATTAGTAACGCACTTGGGTTTCATGGCATCATGCGCCACACAAATCCCTACGTATACCCTATAACTACTGAAATCCATTTCATTATTCAGTTATAATTAAATACAGTTTTTAGATCTTGCTCAGTGGGTTTTAACGCTTTTTCTTTAAAATTTAAGCGGCTGACGTCTTGGAAATCATTGAAGTACTTATAAGGACCAAGAATGACGTGAATGACCTCTCTCTTTAGACCGCTTGGATAACGTCAGTAGACATTACATAATGTGTTTATCAATTTTTTAAGTTAAGGATTTGATCACTTCTGCTACTTGTAACATGGCTAAAATTCTGCTGCTGAGAAGTGCACGACGAAGTAAAAACCGTTTCTGCAAGTTTCAGGACGTATCCAGCGCCCTCAGGATTGTAAGTCTCCTTCCTTGCTTTTTTCTCCCTTTTTTTTCGAAGTTTTTTTTTGAGACCCCAAGAATTATTAATGTAACAGAAACTGTTTGTAGTAGCCTATTCAGGTTAGATATTATGTCTTCAGTTCCGTTTAGTTGAAAAAGCAAGATAGATGAGGACCATGTGTACTTTGAAAATGCTCGCTTGTTTAATTATCTGCTACTTTCGGTTTAAATGGTTGTATACATGTAAATTAAGCAGGACATCGTCTGTAATCATTGGCTTACTTACACTAAAACCCGTAACCGCCCGATTAACTGAATTTAATATTAAAAGTATTTAATTACCTGTTGTTGATGAAAACATGTCTGAACGACAAGACAATTGAACACTCTCCTCAATTTGGCTTTGTCAAGATAACATTATTGATGTGTTTTACCGCGCCGAAGGCAAAAGCAGAATTGAATTGTGCAGCTGAACGTGACGTACAGGTTTCCTGCGGAAAATAGCAGTTAAACGAATGTTTTTCAGCCTTACGCGTTTCCCCTTCTTACGTAAGTAATTATTGAAATTTTAACATTCAAAACCGAACAACTACAAGTTTGTTTCTAGTTCTAAACTGTTATTTGTAATATTTCTATACCAAAAACTGAAAAACATCAAACAAATTACAACAGATGTTAAACTGTGAGAGAGTTTCAGTGTTTATTGCGTTTGACATGTTTTTAATTTTTAAAAAAATTTTTTTTTTATTTCACGTATAGATTGAAACTGAAAAGAGACTATCCTTTCATTCAAGATTATTAGGAAAAAACCATCCGACGAGACGTAGGCTGTACCATTTAGAAGCGATGCTAAACAGAAAAAAGGCACGTTCATTCTGAATTAATGACCAATTTTGTGGTATGAATCGACAGAAATCGAAAACTACGCCAGTAGAAAAATATTCCTCCGACGTCAATCAATTTTGCCGCAGGTGGTAAACAATAATATCTGCCAGATATCGGTGTTCGCATTCAAAATTCCTTATCATTTCATCCAAGCTGGATGGAATAAAGAGAACCTGTTTAATAGAAAAGACACCTTTGACGCTAAATAGCTCATTGAACGAACAAGAAATCACACCTTGTGAGAGGATTTCGCCTCCATAGAGCTCATCAGTTTTTCTTGGTGCTACAAAGTTTGCCATCTTAAGCGATTCTTAGTTTTGAATTATCTATTCCAACCAACAAACGGTGAGTGCAAAGCTGTTATATTACACATTGCATTTAGAGAGTGTTTCGATTCTTCATCAGTAACGATGTTAAAGATACGCCTATTAACAACATAGAAATCTAAAAACCTGAGCAAAAGTTAATACCGGCCAAAAAGAAACAAAAAAAAAACCAGTTAGGCGCACAATCATAAAGAAAGCAAAACTTTGGGAAACACGTTGTCAATCCCTCGCATTTGAGAATATAGATTGCATAGGATCAAATTTCTCGATAGTCAAATTTCTAAAATGAAAAAGAGGAATTGACCAAGGCAAGAGTTAAACTAATTGTGATTCAAATAGACCGTTTGGATACTTGCGATAGAAAATAAATTAAAAAAAAACGAAATAACGGATGAATACGAAAAGAAAAATAGTTATTTTTAGTCAGGATACAAAGTGAATGAGGAGTAAGTTGTCTTAAGGAGGTTCTATAAGGCTTTTAGTGAATGTTGGCGCGCGAGCCAGCGTAATGTTATTCTAGAAAATTTTTATGTGTTCGCTCTTTAAGTTTACTAAAAGCCGTCAAAAGGCAATGAGCACGGTTCGGACTATCATTTGCTGTGGTGAATATTATTAAAATGATTTTCGTTCGTAAGCTAGGGCTCCACGAAGGGAGGCGCTCGCCAGTAACAACTTGGCTTCGCCTTTGATTTTCTTCAATTTGATACGGTGAAATCTCTCAAAGTTTTCACAATTTGTGAAAATTGTCCTGCCAATCATTTAAAAGCCGAAAAAAATAGGGGTTATACAGGCAGTTTCCTCGCTATTTGAAATTTTGTGTTTTCTTCCTCTATCTCAAATTTGGTCATATGAATTGTTTTTATCAACAGGCACTAGGAAGGGCACAAATATGTTTAACGGTCCAGCAAATCTTAGGAAATTCCACCGAAGGAAACGCGAAAAATCTCACTTAAAAGATCCATGTTTTCTTTGTCGCAAAACATTACATAATGGAATAGAACTTCGCCAAGATCGATATCTGAGCATGCGTAGACTTTCGAATTTGTCGTCCTTTGAGAATCTTTCCCGCGGTGTTATCTTTCGTTTTACCTCTATTTCAGGCGTAGAGGGCCTATGAATATTACGGGTGTATTTGCTAGAAAACCTACATTTCATCACGTAGGTAATTGTATTGTGTTAAACTGTTTTTAACACTCCTTTTCAGGTAACAATCGTGCGATCGTATCGAGCCGCCATGTTTGTTTTGCATGTTGACACCTTTAAAGCTCGTGCTATGTTCTCACCCAGATCTCGCGCGGTCAAAAAAACCCCATGGAGCCTCCTTGATTTTAGATAAGCGATGGAAAAATTATGTCATTCTAGATCAAACTTTGGACTTTAAATTAATTTTTTTGTTTTTCATTTTTACTGACAATTTCTCCCTTTTTTTGTTTCTGAACATAATTAAGCTTTTGAGAAATGAACTCGTTCTTTTTGTTAATTATTCATTCAAAAACACGGAAGTGCAAGTCATTGTAAGCTTGAATTGAAAACACTTTTCAGAAACGGTCCGATTATCTCATGTAAATTGCGAAATGAATAATTACGAACTTAAAAAATATTGAACACAATAAACAGACGCCAAATCGGCCCTTATATCCAACATTGAAAACTGCTTATAATTTCTTAACAAGGAGACTTCCCTAAAAGGCGGCGTCTGTTTGTCTAACATCCATCTTAACAAAGCATTTGTCGAAAAATAGTTTTTTGAAAAATATCTACACTATCAACCTTTCCATAGCTACCATATGTAACAGGCAGTTTTTTTTCTCAGAAAGTGAAAACTTCTAATGAAAATGGAGCTTTAGACTCGTTAAAGCTTGTCTCAGCACACATAATTATTATTTTTTTCATATTTTGACATGACAAATCTATTAAGTTACGTCATCAACATATTGGTCAAGCTCTATTAATTAAAAACGTAAGTTGACGCCTAAGAGCCGAACTTCTCACATTTCAATCACCGAAAGAAGCATCGTTTCATGCTACGTTAAGAGGTTATACGAAAACTTCTTTATGGAGCGTATCCTGAATCAAAATGACGCTTTTGACATATTTTCAAATAACAAATTATTGATTGTTGGGCCATTTCTCTTCACTTGGGTATTAGCCGGCTTAGATCCGCAACACAAACTATTTTGACGAAGTTTTTCCTAAATGGATTTCTTCGGTTTTCTAGTTTAATCGTCTATTGGTCCCTCTTGAAAATTTCTCAAGTTGTATCGTTTCTAATGTTATCGTTTGTTTCTCCGTGCTTTTTTATTTTAGACTCGCGCCGAGGAGCGTTCAGTATGATTCATTCCAAAGTTCAGATGTTAAAAAGCGCAATTGAAAGCCATCTCACTGTTCGTATTCTCCAGCGGAAATTCAACCTCGCAGATTGTTCTTACAGAAGGCTTACCTCTCATGACCAAGACGAAATAGACCCACCTAAAGAAGAAGACGCAACGGCAAAATATGGGGAAGAAACTTTCCAATGTAGCAAACTTCATTGTGATGAAAACGATGATTCTTTTGAGCGAGTGAAAATACCACGACAAGGGAAAAAAGCTCAAGAAGGTAACAAAGAGCTCCACCTTGGAGGATCTGCCAGCGGGAAATGCTCAAGGGAGGAGGATCAGGTTTGTGTTCCGCATGAAAATCAAAAAGCACATGTTATAACGGGATTGCAAAATAACTCGAATTTCAAGACTAGACAGTTTCAGCGCAGCAAAAGGTTCTGCCATAAAATGCTTGACACTACCCCTGAAGTTAGAAAACAGCAAACCTCCAAAATGGTTGAAGAAGAAAGAACGCCCGTGAACTTTGACGGTTTTAAGAGTTTTTCGAGAGGAAGCTCGGACCCCTCTCCAAGAGTGGAGAAAGCTAAATACACAAAAACATCCCAGAACAAACAACTGGAATTTGAGTCAGAATTTTTCAACGACACCCAACGTCTTTGCGAAAAGGAGAAACATTCCTCTGCTGGACCAGTTGGAAAATTATTAGGTGCAGGTGACGCTGACAAAAAAGAGGTGGAAAGGATCTTTGACGAAAGTAAATTACGCCAGAATAAAAGTGTCCGGAAAGTGGACGCCAGAAATAACTGCTCTGGAATAAGTTCTCGCTTTGGTAGCTCGAAAACATTTCAAAGAGGAGCAAAGAGTCAAAAATTACCATTTAAATCACCAGGATTCCGTTACAGAAAACTGAATGAGAATGATAACGATAATCATGAAGTTAAAAAGAAGTCTCGATCAATGAAGTCAGCTCAAAAGGAAGGTCAGTCGGCTAAACCGCCGCTAGAACGGGTCCCTAGTTGGCGGGGTAGCAAAGTTGCCAAAGAAAGACTTTCTCAACGCCGCTCCGCTGTATGTGACAACATTGAGAAGCAGCTGAGAGACCAGTATGGTATCAGCTTACGAAACTTACGGAAAGGTTTGGTAATAGACGAAGTACTGCGAGAATATGATTTGATATGAACTTAAGGATTAAAACGGTTAAAATGTCAGCCAATCTACCGCTAATGGTTGATATCTTTCCATTGTGGTCACCAGAACTTTTTCTAAGATTAATTAACACTTTTTAACGACTAACGTTAAAATTTGGAAATTTTTACGCTTAACAGCTGAATTTTTGTTGCCGTTTTGCGGCCAACGGTTAACCCCCATTGAGATCCTCTTATCGAAGTAATTTTGCGATGAAATAAATATCCTGTTTTACACAGCTAATGGCTGGCGGTCCCGTGTTGGAAATTCAAAGCTGAGCAGCATAAAATCGAGAAGGAAAAAGGTAAGGAACAAAGGAAAAAAAGGAAACAGATAGTAACCAATACTTCATAAATTAATTACCTTAAATGATTGCGTGCACTTATGCACCGGGAGGAGCTTACTGTAAAGTCTATATCAACCGACATGGCATTCAAGAGGATTTCAATGGGGTTTACCATTGGCCGTAAAATGGCCAAAGAATTTTGCTGTTAAGCGTAAAATTTGACAAATTCTAACCATTAGCCGTAAAAAAAGTTAATGGGTTAAGCATGAAAAAAAAATACTGGTGACAACTACGGAATGATATTAAAAATTTAGCCATAAAATGGCCAAAATTTGAACCGCTAGCCTTTAAAGCCTTCAACCAAAGGGACATCTATAACTGAATCAGTCATACATGAAATCAAACATGAACTATCGATAATATTTACTTCCCATGTCCAATCGATTCCATGAGACAAATTTACTGGCTTGAAATTTTTGCGGGATCCACTTATGGCTTAATGCTTGTTATGGCCGCTAAATATAATAAAGGTTTTGAAAGAGGGTAGCATCAATTTTTGGATAAATTGTTTGGCACGATTTAAGTTTGATAAAGGCGTACTAATTGTTTAACACGGAAAAATAACCTTTCAAAAATATTCAAGCGTCTCTATGATTTAAAGACGAAAGTTGAGATAAGAAATGGCCTTTGTAGAATTTGGAAAAAAGAATTGATGTAAATTGTAAAGCGAAATGGATGAAGCTGGACCTTTTAAAAATGTCTAGACAGTTAATTTTGATGTATAAGTAGCCGATAATGACGCAATTGCAACGCAAAAACAGGCAGAAACAGGAATTATTTTTCAAAGTATTAGTTCAAACCTTAGAATCCACTGAATAATTTGCTTTTCTGAGCCCATATCCCTGTTGACTTCCGTGATAATAAATTATTAAACAGAAAAGAAGTCCCGGCTATATTTCTCTCTTCGGATCTTGTTAGGTCCACTTTCCAGGATTGAGTCAGAGATTCCGCTCACGTGTTTAGCGACCTACCCCTCGCTCCAGTGTGGAGAATTTGACAATAAATTCACAGGCAGTACTTGAGACCTAATACTGAAAAAGCGTTAATAAAAGCCGACTGAAAATCGATCAACCTCGAGATATCATTAAATTTGAATAGAAATTGACCATCCTCGGTGATACCTCAATTTCAACTTGTCAACTCTTAAAAGTCGTTTTGCTATTTGACACCTAGCGCTAAGATGTTAATGTGAAACCTTTTTGAAAATTTTTGTTAACATAAAATCTGAAATGAAAAATATTTTAGCAATACATATTGAACATTACACTTAAGGTGTCAGGATTTGCATTTTAGACGGGAAAAATATCCAACTTTCATATTTTTGTTTGTCGGTATAGAAGGAAAAATTTGGCCTGGTTTCTAGGTTTGTAAGAACGCAATTACAAAATTTTACTATGTCTTTGCGGAGAGCGCGAGAAAGCATTTTATTTAAATAATATTGGCTTCCGTCGGCAGGTGTGTCTATTGTTGGCGCTTTTTGTTTTATTACTATGTAAACCTGTCAATTTTAAACACGTTTTCCAATAGGATGCCACCGAGAATAAAGGGAAAGGATGCTTCTGAGAAAGAGGAGTTCTCTAAGCAAGGAACTGAGGCGCCTTGACTTCCTGATTCGATTAGGGATTAAGAGTTGCAAGGACATAGGATTCAGTTATTTGTGCGAAAATCATAGTAAGCACGATGAAAACTGACGGAGGGATTCGCCGAACTACCAAGTTAAACCAGCCGCTTGGCTACGTTTCGCGTCGGTTCAGCATGCGTTCGCGGCGATATAAGAAGCTCGCGTCGAATTCTAAAGAAGAAGTTTGTGAATCGCTCTCAACAAAGTCAAATTCTCTGGAACGAAACACACGAGCCGCATCGACAGAAGATTTCGACGAGTTCGCCATTAATCACTTCAAAGGATCGCGTGAAACGGCGGCAAAATTTAACGCAGCTGTTGATGAGGTAGATGAAAGATTTGAAGAAGAGAAAGAAACATTGCCTGTGCGTTGCAGAAGGCACGCTATTTGTGAAGAAATGGAGAGGAATATTTTGAACGAAGCGGGAGTAAGTCTCCGAGGCTACCGAGAGCTACTTGTTACGCGTCGTTTACTGTTCGAGATGCACCTGCTGTAGAGATAGAGAGAGAGAGAGAAGGGAAGCTGATGAGAATCACATAGAAACTTGCTAAAGACTTCGCCATGCCACATTGAAAGAATCTCCTTAGCTACGACAGTTTTGAATATAGACGGAAAATTAGTGAGAGACAATTCTATTTGAATTAATAGTGCAGTGGTTTCGACTCTAATTCCCCCAAGAACGACTAGAGAGATAGGGCAAGAGCATTGTTTTGAGCTTGGTGGTGAAACTAGCTGAAAAATGGTAAGGTCACCAAAGTGCGGAGCATGTGGAGTCTACAAAATGAAGAAAATGAAAAAAAAAACATTAATAATATTTATAAAGTCAAAGTTTTGGTAAAAATTAATTTATTAAAGTGTGATGAAGACATATACAAGAACCATTCTCATGTAAATGGTGAAATTTTCTCTCACGTCAAAACTTTAAAGCAGTGAGGTTTTAGTTATGTAACCTTGTTGCAACGAAATTGTGCAAACACGCTAATGATTCCGAGGTGAAGCATATTTCTTGTTTATACTTGGGTTTAACAGATGATAATAGCATTACTTGTAATTTTTCTACTCCCTAAAAACAGTTAATTTGACTGCATACAAGATAAAAATCATGAGAAAAACAGAGGCACATATTCACAAAGTATGAAAATGTGTTGTGCGCTTTGTTTATTGAAAATTTCAAAAGCATGAAATAAGAAATTTAATTTCACATAATTTTATGGTAAAAAAAAAAGGTATGTAAAAACACATTTTCAATGTTGTGGTCACAGAGTTGTCCACGCATACTGACCAGGTAATAAAATACTTTCCTAAAAAAATTTTTTTCGTTTTAATCCCCACTATGATAAAAGGCTGGAAATTCACGATATTTGCAGCTATTAGATAACTTTCCTTTCCCGCTTCTTTCTGTCCGAAGAACAATCCCTCCTCATCAATCCTCAGTTCAAATAGTGATGCGAGAAATTTGATATGATTGAGTATTTTTTTTTTATGGATATACTCCATTGCTATTAAAGACATCACACAGGAAACGATTATGGGCACATTTTGATCAGAAAATATTCGCATAAGGATGTATTTGCTCAACGTGAAACATTTAAAGGAGACAGGAGATATGACAGTGGGTTGTCCACGTTCTCTTTAGCTTTCCTTGATGGAGTTGGAATTTTTATTATTTCATCGGAAGGATACATAACGACGAAAAACTAACGTTTAAAGAGCTTGAAGCTACAAAATGCTACAGAACTCTTCAGTGGGTCTTTCTGGATTTCTGTGGCGAAAAGAATCAGTTTTTACAAGCTACTTAATCGTTTTCCTTTCCGCTCTGTAGGTCACTTGTCAGTGTTTTGATGTGTGAGACAAAACGTGACATATGAATTATATTAAGCTAAAAGGATTTGAAAATATACCGTTAAATTGTACTAATGCCCTCGCTTACTGCGAAAAACAAGTATAGTGTGCTTTTCCTGACAAGGGAAAGTTACATAACGATTAAAACTCACGTGTTTTCAGTTTATGTTGATCTTCACTAGCGAAACGGACTGGCCATCCAGCCGCGTGACTAATCACCAGCGCAAGGTAGATCATTATGCAAGAGAAAAAGAAACGCCGATAATGGTAGTTTTTTTTTCTGTCTAAAAAACCTTTTCACTAAGATTTGTTCTTAAGACATAATTGTGTACCAGAAAAGCCTACGATTGAATCAAAACAAAAAATAATATATAAACCAAGACGAATTTCGAGGATTGAGTGAGATTAACTTATGCAGATTAGCATTTTGTCTCAAGATTAAATTGTTACATAACAAAAAGAGATATATTTTTGTAGCACATCTTCCTCCGCATAAAGTTTTTCAAATGAATTTACTCCACAGGACTAGAGGGCAATAACGGTAAATAGTGCACTTTTTCTCAAGAAGGGACAAAAACGTTCCAAACAAACTAGCCTACGTTGAAATTGCTGATTAAGTTTGTAGCTACTGAGAGAAAAACATGTGAAAGATCAGTAAAGGAAGCTCTATCGGTGAGGGTGACAAAGTATTGTGAAATCTCGGCTAGATTTTTTGCGTAAGAGAGGGTTTTTTTTTTCTTTATCGTTAGATATTAATCTACTCGATAAGGTGTTCAGAGAGGAATTTTTTATTCTAGTGTTAAGAGTGGCGTTAAGTGCAGAAGAAATTTGGAATCTGATTCAAATTTTAGACATGTCGTCTGTGGATGAAATTTTCTCCTCAATGTAGTTACTATATCTGATGAAATGGTGGAAAGAGACAGACTGACACAACAAAGTCAGGAGAACGGATTTTGAAATAAAGCATTTTGCCCAAGTATCCGATGTGCAAGGAGCCTTTGCGATACCGACACAGAGATAGAAAAACTGCCGCATTCATTATACGGTCAGCTACATAGCGGCGACCATGTTAGACAAATAAAGTTTGTTCTTGCGTCCCAATACTAATTATGGATGGCAGCAAAATGTGAAATATTGAAAATATAGCCTCGTCTATAAAGTTAAGGCTGTTTATGATGCGCTGGGAAATTGGAGAGACCGAGCTCAGTAGTTGGCGGCCAGATGTCGCCGTGTAATGTTTACTTCGTTCTTCTAAGTTAAAAAAAAAAAAAATTTAGATGTTAGCATAAAAGGCTGGAAAGAAATGTAAATGTCGGACTGTTTATCTCTTGAGCCACAATACGCACTCCAAACAACCAGACATGGCGGCTAGAACAATTTTGCCGGGGGAATCATTTCATTATAATAAGAGATAGCCAATTATTATTCTGTCGGTGTAGAATGCAGTTAATGACTAGATCCTTTATCACACCTGAATATTGCAGCCGGCGTTCCTTAAAGCATATCCTTGAAAAAAACAAGTTAGATCAAGTAAAAACCTTCTTGAATCCCAAAAATACATCTTAACAAACCCATGTGAGATACGTCGAAAACAGTCTATCGAAACTTTCCTTAAGGGCATTCGGCATATAACTCTTAAGGAGTGAATTGAGTGGTTTGGCAAGCACTAGCATTCAAGTAATTCCGACAACTTTCCTTCAAAACTGTGTTCGGAGGATTCTACTACATCAATTTTAGCGAACCAAAAGCTTAAAAACGTAGAACGATCTCCTCCTTAGAAGAAATATTTCGGTGCGGGTTGGCTAGACACTGAAATAATTTACATTTCTCAGAGACAACGGAACCTACGATCAAAAGCTACTCGATCCGCTAAGACTTCCTCTGCAGCTACACGGAAGTTGTATCTACAGCGAAATGTTAACGTGTTCTTAAGACCTTCTTCTGTTTTCCTACTCGACTATACTTTGTAACTTTGTATGCAGAAGGGTTGAAGTGATCAAAAACAGATTGTGCTCTCGACGAAGGGTTGAAGATAGATTAGTTATTCAGATTTTTCGCTGAATTCTACAGACGGAGGGGTTGTAATAAATGTTGAATTTAGTTGGGCATCAGAACTAGGAATTTGAACTATTGACTTTAGCCGTTGGAGCCCTAAGTAGGAGTATAAGCTGCGCGGTCGTGGACCACCATTCGGAATTAACCGGCAACTCCTAAAAATTTTGCCTCACAGTAGACAAAGCACAAAGCGAAGGTCACTCTTGGTTGTCCCGTGCATCTGTATTTACACCAGATCAATGGAGATATTCGTTTCAAGAAATTTTGCCACAGAAAAAAATTTATGCGTGGGAGCCAGTTCCCGCAGAGAGAAAGTGTGTTCTCTCAGAGAACCATGTCCTAAAGGTATTTTCTTTAAGTATTGTTCGCTTAAGAATGAGTTTCAAACAATCCATTGAACTAAAAGAAAAACTAAAAGAAAAATATGTGTAAATGAACACTTGGTTTCTAGATTTTGATCGTCCCAAGTAAAAAGGAGGAGAAAGTTTCACAAGCAAAGTATCTTATGAATGCAGAATTTCAATAGATTGTGCTCTCGAGGACTTGTGCTCGGCAAAATGAGTTAACGTGTTTTTGTTATGGCAAAACCGAACATCTGCGAACCAAAAGATTGGACACATAAATTGCTAAGTAATTTCGCCTGAAGGCTAATATATGGAAATGAGATACAAGGGAGGGGGGGGGGTTGAATTTGTGAGGGTGACAATTGAATACGACATTTATGCCCTTGGAAAACGAAAGGAAGCTGGTCGGTTAGTAAATTTTCATCTATCAAAATATTCCTTGAAGGAATTTTAATTATTCTGAATGGCATCTTTAGAGCGCTTTTTGATTGAGCGACGTAAAACCAAAAGTAATCACAACGGCCGCTGTGATCAGAAGAGAGGAAATTACCTTCCAGAAACAATGAAAACTCAAAATAAAACCTTCCAAACTGCCTAAATCGCGGGTAAACGCGGTCGACCAAGTCGTAATTCCTTGAAGTTTTGCACCTGACTGGTTTAGAGATTGCACGTGGTGCGAATTTTCTGAACCGGTCACTGTGAGAGCGAAGTAAGGGAATTGACGCTCAATTGAAGATTGTTTTATTTTAAGTTGCTAACCAATGCGTCGGAAGGTTTTAGTTTGTCGATCTCAGGTAAATAAAGTTGTTATGCAGGCCCAAGTGCCAATTTATGAATTTCTGCAAGAAGGATCACACAAAGTAGTAGTCAAGGGTAGTCGGGGAAAGCCCAATTAGAGCGAACTTCTATCGATCATTCCAACACAAGAAACCACACAATCAGCAATCAGAAAGGCCATAAGCCGATCAGAAGAAAGGTTAACACAGAAAGGAACCAGTGAGAAATCAAAGAAAATACGCCTTGTTAACGCTTGGAAAAACACGACCGATTAAGTGATGTAAGTTGGGCGTGTGATTAGATGAAATCATTGATTCCAATTTACGAGGTCATAATTCCAGACTCTGTAATGCAAACGTTTGAATATTACGAAGTTCCCATGATGAATAAAAAGCAAGTAGTAACCCATCTCTAAGAGAAAGACAACACAACTGACAAAGTCGTTGTTGTGTACACGTATAAAAATCGAAGGACACTGAGGCACTCTCCTCGGGATGATTTTCCGGAATTTTTAAAGCCTACAAATTCGACTGTTCAAAAAGACGCCGCATCAGTAGGTCGCTGAATTGACTTTCATGATGGCATCATTTTTGTGGCAGATTGTTTCATTTTCCGGTCCTATCTTCTTAGTTGCTTTCTTTAGATTTTTAGCATACCGTTGAAAAGAACATTAAAATGAATAAACATGAAAATTGAGATAAAACAATCAACACACGAATGAAGTCTTTCTTAAAAGAATGAGACACACTGTCAATGTGACTTCACAATTTATCACTAAAATTCAATGAATTGATTGTTGCAAAGAAAAAATCCCCGGTACCCCATCAAGTGATGTCCAAGACGATACTCAAACCAGTGAGGCTTGAATTTTCAATTGGCAAGAACTACTCATCTCGCTTTTCGTTGAATCATGAATTTTTAAATAGGTATTCGATTGTGCAAAGACAATTTGGCTTTGCTACCTACTGTAATGAAGATCACGCTCTTCTTAGAACGTACATTTTAAACAGGCCGATATCTTGACGAAAGTGACGTGAACGACATTTTTTTAAACAATATTTTCAAAATACGATCGTCTTAAAGGCTCTGAGCTAGTATCACGACAATTGACGAATTATCAACTCTTCGTTATTCATGATATCTTCCTGACGTCAGAAGGATATCAGGAAAGTGCTCGGAAAGTTCGTTAGTGCACAAATTCAAATTTAAGTAATTTCGTCTCGACCCTTTGCATAAAAAAAATACCCAAAGGAAACTAATCAAATTTCAAGTTTAAGTCAAATTCAAATCATAGAGAGTAAGAGAAAAAAAAGACTCTCTTTCCCGGTGCACCAGATAAAGTAAATCTGTTTCTTTGGTGAATTTTTAACAGGAAATTTACCTCGTAAAAGAAGTAAGTGTTTTTTCCCCATTAGTAGATAACATCTATGACATGATAATGTGTCACTTTGCTAGTTTCCTAAATGATGATTGAATATGAGTTGTGTTCCATTGATTGAAATAACTCGGGATCAATTCAAGAAGGAGTTCTAATGCTCGTATAAAATAAACAATGTGTCACTTTGCTAGTTTCCTAAATGACGATTGAATATGTGTTGGTCTCCATTGATTGAAATAACTCGGGATTAATAGTAAAAAAGAGTTCTAATCCCAGTAGAAATAGAGATTTGCTATCTATTTACAAAAGTGACAATCGTGGATGTGAATATGAAGTCAGCTTTGATGGGCTGACAAATTTGATTTACATTGATACAAACACTTGTACTGAAACATATCCCTCACAAATGGATAAACTAAACTGAACGATGATAATAATAATAATATTGCGTCAACAGAGAACAAAGGCAGTCTCAAACAAGAACATTAAAAATTTGCTTTCAATCATAAATACCATTTTCTCCACCCAGTTTATGGCTCGAACAGACTTCACGCTTTTAGTTTCCTGACATCATGGGCATGTAAATACGAGAGCTGACGCACATTTGTGCCAATATTTACCTGTTTTTTAACGCCATTAGATGTCATATTAGCTTTCCAGGTCACGTTTTCAGCCGAAAAGACTTATAGACAAACAAACACGACACATCATTTCGTGAACCCGTACAGTTTTCAAGCGGCTTTCCGCCTGAAGCGGTTGCTCTTATCGAAACAGACTTCTTTTGATCAGTAGAAAGGAGGATTTTAATTCATTTTCCAGTGGGCGGATTTACGTAACAATCGCTCTCTCGAACAAAGCATCAGCACACTAATCATCCTTTCATATCACAACAGTGCGCAATATTTCTTTTGCAGTGGATAAATTGCATTGCCTACAGTCTTTAATCTACTGCGTCTTTGATTACGGCTTCAACTACATAGCACACAAGTTTTCAGTTGTTCTCACTCGATGGCGGAAAGGTTTCGACGATTGAGGGAGCGATTCTTGTCCAAGATTCACCGACCCTTTTGCTACAAGAGAGTTCAGAAGAACACGGATAACAGTGAATTCAGTGAATCGCAAGCCCACTTCGAAGCGACTTCGAAGAAAAAGATCTCATACGACTGCCTCGATGCGGATCAGGAGAACTGCAGCAAGACCCCAGAGGGCGCACCTTTACAGAGTGAGTGCGCCTCTCTTGAAGCATCCGTTTGTAAGGAAAACGTTACTGTGGAGATTACAGAGGAAGACGAAGTTGAAGAGCTTTCGCAAATAAAGCAAACAGAGTCGCAAAAGAGGAGGCGTTCTTCGGCTTTCCAGCGATTGGTTAGCTTAGTAAAACCAGAGAACAGAAGGCATGCGATTTGTGAGCAAATGGAAAGGGAAATTGAGACACGAGGCGTGAGTTTAAGGCAGTATCGAAAGTTCCTAGCAACAACCTACATCTTGCACGATTTAAAAATGCTGTAAAGAAGCTTGATTGTAAATACAACCTAGTGAATTGTGTTTATACCTCAAGTAAGAGAAGCATCGACAGACAGGTAAAATAACACCATTTAAATTTGAACAAGTGACGGTAAACGAGCGAAACTAATCTCCTCACGTACAAAGAGTGCTCACCAAAGTCTAAAAAAGAACGCATCCGGCCGTGGTGGATCTCTGAATTGGGAAATGAAAAGATTTGTCAATGCAGAAAAAAAGAGCGCAAATTTCCTAAAAGAAATGTGCGATTTAATTACCAATTTCAGAGATCATCATTCTTAACTAGGAATTGATAACGGAAAAGCGTGGGCCTTCAGCGAGAGAAAAAGGAAAACATAAATTTAAGACGTGCATTAAGGAGATACATTTTTAATTCCTTGTCTGTTTGCAATGAATCAAACACATGATCAAAACTGTTTTCGATGTCGCAAAGGAATTTTGGGGGGCATGTTGAAGCGTGCGAACTGTCAGGGATAAAATGCTGTATCTCGATCGGAAGTTATTCAAAACAAGAAGCAACTCAAGATCCTTACTGTAAACAGAGAAGAACAATATGCTAATCACGATTCGCTTTTCGATAAGTTCAAAAGAACAGCTGAGAAAACCACGCGATTCAAAGTGCGCCGTTGGTAGGCTCTGATATCGCGATTTATTTTTCTGTTCATTGTTGTCTTGTTTTCAATAAACTGCACGACTCGATTGAGGACAAATGTAATTGCTTTTTGAAATACTGCAAAGAATACACAAATCGTGCGCTCACTTGTGTCGCGGCAAATAGTCAAACAAATAATTAGTCCTTCTTACCCACTTTAATCTCTTGTATCTCTGCTAAATCCGCTAGATTCTCGTTTACTCTGTTTCCCGATGATAAATCGCAACGCTGTCGAAACGTTGCGCAAATAAAAATCATAATTGGGGCAAACAAATGATTCCAGTTTGATTCTTATTATAAGCAAATTTGTGAGGAAATTTCAATAAGCCATATTATTTTATTACTTGCTGGCGTCAATTTCCTGTGTTTTTACTTTCCAACATATTTTTATCGATCAATATATTGAGTGCACATATACAAATCTGGTTAATCGTATGGATTTCTAAGAATTCTATCCTGATATCGGTGTAAAAAAATACAAAGGCAATATATTTTTCTCTGTGTACTCCTGCTATCGCAAGATAAAAGGTAGATGCAATATTGGTCATGCTTCATCTAGTATAATTTACTGAGCGATTGAAAATTAATAACAGAAGATTTACATTAGAAATTAGATGTGTTTGCCAAATCGAATTTTCGAAAAAGTATCCGAGCAATTCATAGTTTTTCAGCCGCGGTCGTTTTGCCAGTCTGGCCTGGAAATTGAAAACAAACATATTTCTACACTGATTTCAAACACCTTGGGAGAAGAAACTTCAAGTATTTCTGGCTCGCTAAGAAATATGCTGAGCTCCAATATAATTTGATCATTTTTCTTCAGAGATGAGTAGAATGCAGTTCCTCCCTAACTACAGAATGTATATAATATTCTAGAGTACCGTATGGCATTCTTTAACCTACCTTTATTGGCTGTGTTACATGTTAAAAGATCAAGAATGAAATGCTAGTCGGGTAATTTGAAGGTAATAAAAAATTGTAAAGCTGGAATTATTCTCTTTTAATACAAGTGTGAACGAATATCTGTTTTTATTCAACGACTGAGCTTGAATGCAAAACACTCTAACATTGTGGTCGCACATCGAAATGCAAAATCCATGTATCCTAAATCTTGTCTTCGTGTAACGCTCGCGGCAAAACGATAATTGTCAGTTCAAGTACATACCACACAAAAAGCAAAGATCAGATAAACGAAAATTGATCGGAAAGTTAACTGTTGACGCGCGATTTTGTCTCTTAGGCTGCTCGAAGGTATATAATTGTTTTATTAAACTTCATCATATCCTGAACGTTTGAATATTTGGATCTTTTTTCAGCTCCGCAACAGATGGCGCAGTGTATTTCTTCATTAGGTGATTCGGAATGAGCTGATAACCGGACTTTAAAATTTATGAATATTACTCTCTGATCATTTCCATAATAAGTATGATAGTTTGCGGCCTTTCCACACATCTAGGCGGTTCGAAAATCTGCAACTCTTGAACAAAATTCATCTTTGAAATCGGCTCTCTTAATCCTAAGATATCAATAAGCGCTTTGCATTCAACCGAGTTGTTCTTGTTTTCTCGTCACCATAATCCCACCAAAAGCGCAGCTCCATTTTCTGCAAATAAACACACACACACACACTCACACTCCATTAGCTCTGACGAAGGGATAACGCTTGAAACGTCTGCTTTCAAATTCTTTACGGTGACGTTATCAACTCAGTTGGTAATACTTTATTAACCTGCACTATCCAATCAGCGCGTGCGAAAGGCAATATTCGCCTGTGTGGCATATACTTATTCTTCACAAAGGGAGACCCGAGCTCAGAGTTTGCCACCTCTCTTACTCATAGTGGTCGATAGTTCACCTCTAGACTTGCAGTGTTCAGTAAGAAAAAATCAATCGCGTACAAGCTCCCCGAGCGATATCACACGAGGGTTGTTCTCAAAATCATTTTACCTTTGTTTCTGGACCAAAAAAGTTCATTCACACGGTTACTTGCTACACGAACTGTTAAGGAAAACAAGAGTCGCGGTTATGTTGAATTACATTTATTTGCAAGATAACATTTCAATTATCAATTAGTCTTCTTAAATTTACCTTTACCCAAATTTCTCCATTGTAATTAGCGCAAAATTTGATTCAATTATACTAAGTAACGATTTCTAACAAGTAGAAATATTCCAGTTAAAAGAATCTCAAATTAATCTTCATTGAACTTTACAATGGTTGCTGCAGCAACGAACTGAACTGAGAAGTTCCTCGTTAAATCTTAATATATACCTTCGCTCTCAACCAACAAATGAAAAGGTACATGTAACTAGGGGTCTGTGAAACCAGCGCGTGTTGCTAAGGGTGCGCAGAGGGAAGTTGGCAACTACGCGACGTTATTATCGTGGTCGGGTTGCTAAGGTGCACAGAGAGCAGTCTTTTTTAGGGGAAGAAGCGTTTCTCAAACCCTGAGCACCTTTGACTCACATGATGGCCATCATGTTGAGATTTATCTCCCATTCATGTATTTAGATAACCAGACTGAACATCGCCCGAAATGAGGAGACATACCCGAGACTTTTAACGCCGCGTGTGCAAAAGGTGAATTCTATTATGGGGACAAATGGAAAGCTCTTTTAGCCTACCCCCACCAATTCCTAAAGTCCAACTTCAATCGTTTGTCACTCAGCTGTCATTCAGTAATGTAGTTCTCCCTTACAGCTAACTGTAACGTGTATTTACAATAAGACTAATTCATAATCTCGACTGATACACATATTCAACCAAAACTCTGCATGACTTTTCCAACTGCAGCTATTCGCTTCAGGGAACCACCAATGATAATCATTTACAGCCGAAAGTTCACCATGAAAATATTGATATTGATTCCATAGTAGCAAATACTAAAACTGTAAAATACTATTATTTACAGTGGCAAACCATAGTGTGTCATCAAATGAAACACGATAGCAAAATTTAATTTTGTGGCTAATTTCCATTCCAATCCACCGTTTCCAGGACTCCTTCAACCACAGCTCACTGCAGTGGGTTTTCAGAGCTTCGCTGAAGACAAGAGTTCTTCGCAGATTTTTTTGTAAGCCCAAGTGTCGCCCTTCATACGCTTTCGGCGTATACCTGCATGTGATTAATACAAAAGCATTCTCAATCGGTGTTCAATGCAAGACTTGAAACATTCAAAGTGAAGATTTCTCATAACGTTCTCCTCACTTCATAACTTACCTACAAATACTGTTTCCAAGAGGAACTTACTACATATACTTCACTTCACGATAAAATTGACCTTCAAAATTAAGTAATTTTATGTGTTTCGAAAATGATTACAATGTCAAATTTAAAACTTAACTTTACTCGAAGACATTCGCTTGCGATCTACGAAATCCCCATGTATGTGAATTAAGATTTTCGGTTGGGCGAGCGAAGCGGCAAAGATGATGTAATAATCGATCATACATGTACATTGCTGCTGTTCATAATGTGAAAGGAGGATTTGTGATTACATACCTATCATTTCCATTTTGGGAATAAGACAAACTTCCATTTCGAATTCGAGGAGGACTTTTCCTCTTTCGTCTATTGATTTGCATCGGAGAGTATACCTGCACAGAGGAGAGGGAAAAAAACGGAAATTATAGAGCGATATATAGAACTTTTCGACCTCGCGTTGCAAAACTAGAGCCATAGAGTCCCAGGGCAAACGAAAACATAACATGCCTCGTGCGCGAGAAAACGCTAAGAACTCGGTCTCGTCCGGTGCGAGTCTTACTATACATCTAAATAAAGGGGGCAAGTTTCTAAAGAAACTGTGGTGCTGCGCCGGTGGGAGAATGTAGCAGGTAATTTAGTGTTAACAACTGAGTTGGAAACGTAAATTGGTCACCATAAAGGGTAAAAAAGCTGATGTTTCGAGCGTTAGCCCTTCGTCAGAGCGATCAGCTTTTTTTCCCTTTACGGTGGCCAATTTACGGTTTTCAACGAGTTGTTAACACTAATTTACTGTACATCTACCTTGTTTTGAGAAAGGCGTGAGTTCTTTTGGGCCAATTCAGAGCGTCATTCCAGATAACTTTCGACAACCATTTCTATCTATTTTTTACATTTGGATCATTGAGCACTCAGATAGCGAGAGGACCTCATATACACACCCTTTTTCTTTGAAGAGGATGTCTCTTCCTTCCAGAACTCGTTTTAGCTCGTCGAGAACTTCATCTGAGCTTCTGGTCGAAGTTGAAGACACGTTATACAGAGCCTGTCAGGAGAAAAAGCGTGTACACGAATAAAGGTTCATTCAACGAATAACAACATAACTATGACAATTCCTACACACAAAGCGAAACTTCAGTTTGCGTAGTTACGTAATGTTTACACTGCTCTTTATTTGATACTTGGGTTCCTGAGTACAGCTCTCTCAAATCGTTTTGTAATCGATCTTTTTACGAGACTTTATCACGTGACTATTCACTCAACATGGTAAGTCCCTATGAAAGACATGGGGTTTTAAAAGTTCTAGAGGTCTGAGTTAGTCTAAATATCGATCGAAAAGATTAAAAGTATAACAACTGTGATAAACTTGTATAAGATCTTACATTAGTTTGAATTTCCTTAGCTCCTGGTACTTTAGAAATTTGAGTACACTTAAGCCTTTAAACTTTTCGAGGTGCAAAAAATGCATTTCTGAAAAATTAGGACGCACTTCGAAGCTCAACGGGTACAAACGATTCCTTTTCGTGCACGTGCTCAGTTGTTCCTGAGGAAGCAAACTTACCTTAACCTTTCTCGGTCCATGCCCCCCAAGACCTCTCGGTGTGATTGCCTCCACAATTCTGTTCAGACTATCTTCAATACTGCCCATAATGCCCTACAGAGCGAAAGACAGCTAGTAAGACTTCAAAGTTACCATAAATTGTCCCTATGGAGGTGCACGTAGGTGAAATTTCTTTACTTCAGATTTCTTTCCTTCAGAGTTACCAAAAATGTTCTCTGTGGAGTTACAATTGAAATTTCTTACACCCATAAATGTGAACATGATTGCATCGCACAGGTTAATGTTACTGACTTCACCGGAAAGATTAGGCAATAATCGCTAATATAAAACTGTCGATGCAATAGTTGTTCCTCCAAGAGAAAATTAATGAAAACATCAGTCAGCACTTTTTTAAAAATTCATTCGCTCGCAACAGAAATTCCCAAAGGGGCACGCCAGAATCTAACAAACTACTCTCAACTTGAAATCCATAGAGCCAGAACTGACGCTACTCAACCATTGTGAGTACCTTTAGTATAGCACTGCCTAGAACAAGATAAACAATTTACTTGCATGCAACCTCTCTCCTAAACTTTTCTTACAGAATACCAACCCTTGAGCTCCATTTGCTGGCACTAGAGGGTGTGTCCACTGAACCGAATCTCTTCCTTCCAATAGTGAATGGAGACTTGAATGGCGTTCTTCTGGACGTGGCTTTATCCAAGTTTGTGTCCAGTGATTGTGACCACCTACATGCACGGTAATTAATGTTTCTATCAGTTTTCATTCCTTTCACTTATACAGCTTGCGATAGAAGTTTCGCTGGCCTCACGAAGAAGCTGATCTTCCCCCTCCCTCCCTCATATCACTTCTCAAAGGAAACCGCCTTCTGAAATACATTCAAGCTTGAGCACTCCACTCAAAGTGAAATCAATGTAATATCCATCTCCTACCTTAGTGCATGAAAATTTCCAACGATTTAGTTTCAATAAAAATTGCCAAAAACAAAACTGTAATACCTTGAATAACGGACTTACATTTTTGACTGAGATATTGGTGTTAAGTTGTTGTTACCAAAATCATAATCTGAGTGTGACATGGGTATATCTGCTGCAGCACCTTTAAAACGACAAACAAAATAAACAAAGGTTAAACAACACAACGCACAGAGTTATAAGGAAGACAAAGAAATTTCGGATTTTTTAAAACTTTCTGCTTTGCCTTCCCTAAAAACACATATCTCACGCCGGCAGAGAAAGCGTATACACCTTAACAAGAGCTCTTGCCATTCTGCGTTGGTATAAAGAAAGGGGCCTTTTCAGATTGGTTTTCTGGAAGTTCAGTGTATTCATGCATGTAAAGAAACGTTGTCAACTGACAATCGCGACTCAAAACTTAAGTTTCAAACGGACCAAAGAATTAATCGAGAAAGTGACTTCATTCTTAAAAGAAGAATCATAACACTTGACGCACGATCTCTTTTCTATACAGCAAAACGTTCTATGTATATCTCTGGTACAATTTTCACAAGACTCGGGCGTTCTCTGATAAAAGGCACCGCAAACCCTCTCGCAGCTTTAAAACAATTCCAGAGCTTTTAAAATTGGCGTGCAAGAGCGACAGAACGTTTCACTTGTCTTGAGCATTTGGACATTCATGTATACCTCTTGCAGGTGTTTTCTTGACGCGTGGGGTAATTGGAGCTAACGGTGGAGGCATCTCTGTGGCTTCCTTCTTGGTAGGTGTCGAGGGAACACTGGAAGGTAAGGTCCCAGCTCTGGTCTTCCTTGTTGTAGGCTCCATGCCAGGTTCCGCCTTGTTAACTTTGGACTTTCTGGCCTGATGCTCAGAGTAAGGCACTGGTTTGGGTGGGGGGAGAATGTATTCTGTGTTTTCTTTCTTGAGTACATTGGGATGCTAAGAAAAAACATTTTGAAGATCACCTCAACTATCTCTAATCAGTACATTCTACAGTCAAACATTCCTTGGTTCACAACTCCATTAACAGCCACTTGAAACAATATCTGATAATCATTAGACCATTAAAAGCCGTAGTTTCCTGCTGTTGTTGTTTTTATCTCTTTTGTTTATTTGTTTCTTATCCAATGACACAAGCATGCTTGCTTTGAACTGTACCTCATTTTCTTTACTCTCAAGCCTCTTTCGTGTCTTGGCCCTGCAGAAAAATAGTAATTCTATAAACACATCTGTTAATTAAAAAATAATTAAAAAAAAAAAAAAACAATTTTACAACTTTGAAATTGAATTCTTAATGCTCAATATTACTCTTTACAATTTCAGTTACATTTCACAAGCCTCTTACTTGGAGTTTCTCGGCAGTAGTTCTTGCAATTGACCCTTGCTTTTCTTCTTACAGAGCAGGAAATACAAGGCAGTCATTTCATCGTACTTCCACTAAAAACAAAACAGCACCTTCATAAATAACTTGAAGTTAACACCTGTAGCCCTTTAACCCCTGAGAGTGCCTAGCATCTAATTTCTCCTAATAATATCACCCCTGAATCAAAAACTGAGGTCATGAGAATAAGAGAAATGATCACCAACTAAAGAAGCTCTTGATTGTTAAACAAATTCTCCTTGTCAGCACTTTAGGAATGTATAGAGAACAGTATGGAGAATATGCATACTGATGTTGGGTGTAAAGGGTTAAAAAGCAATTTCTGCTAACACGCATACATATGCATGAGAAGACAATTTACTTTTAAATGTACCTCCAATAAATTCTTCAACAGGGAATCCACAGGCATGTCATAATATGATGCAAGTTCTTGAACAACATCATGGTCAGGTTTATCTTTCTATAGACAAATTACATTCATAGTTTTAACTGAAAGTCTTTGCTACAGTAGAAACTGTGTTATGTAAATACACAATAACAAACGGTTAATCAATTTACAAAAGCACATTTCAATTTGAGCTTTGAAAAACTGAAACCCAGGGTAATCACAATGGCAAGTCAAAACAGAAAGCAATGAAAGCTCAAAGTAAAAAACAAGAAAAATGTCTTAATGCTGGAAAATATACTTGACCAGGTTGTCTTTGATCTCAGTTTTCTGTCTGATTAATCAAGTTCAGAGCAAGTTTTCTGCACAAAAAACAAACCATGCTTAGGTAAAACTAACAGAGTTACAGTTCACCTTCAACTTTCACCTGAAGTTGTGCTTTTAATGTTGGAAAAGTACAAACCTTTATGCGACTTATCCATCTGACAGGTGCAGCATAACCTTTCATCATCCATTCATGGTTTAACAGTTGCTTTATAGTGACCCTTTTCTTGGGATCAACCTGAAGAGAAAAAGAAGAGAAATTTCCAATTTTTTTTTTCTCAACATTTTTGCAACAAAACAAAAATCAATAACAAACAAATTGTTGATAGTTAAGTAAATTAAGCAACCCCAACCACAAGTTGATTCTAATCTATACAGTATATACAATTACTGTATAAAATTAAATAAATATCATAATTATGGTTTAATTTTTTTAAAAATTCAACAGAGGCTAAATATGGCAGAATGTTAGGACACATGTCAAACAGCACAAACTTAACTTCTCAACCTCTGCTATTTAATTCAAAGGCCATGAACAATTGAGATTGCTAGCACATTTTATTTTATTCAGCACTGATAGAAGTAAAGTGGATGAAATCATTTATAAGATTTGCTGATGATTTTAAATGGTGAACTCACCTGTAATAACTGGCTCAAAATTTTGGCACTACCTGAAAACCAAAAGTACATGTAAGATGTTAACACAAATATAAGTATTAGATCTCTAGTAAACACTTGCTAAATATCCTATATACATTGTACAACCAAAACAAAGCAAAAGTAAAAAGATGAAAAAAGAAATACTTAACCCTTTAACTCCCAAGATCTCATAAGTAATTCTCCTTACTGTCTGCCATACAGTTCCTGTGATGTTAGTTTTAAGAATTTGCTACTGGATCAACTTATAATCCCCGAATTGATATTTTTCTTTATTCTCGTTGCTTGTCTGCTTGATATTGTATTGATATTGTAAGGAGAAATTGTGTCTTGGTCACTCACAGGAGTTATAGGGTTAACCAGTCATATTAATACTGACAGGGGTGAATCACTTAATGATTATATGTATATTCCCTTTTTTGTGGTGCATAGGATAAACATCTACACATAACATTTACTTACTAGTTAACAATCAATTCTTCCACTGTAGATTATCCAGTTATCTCTTTTTTTTTTCCTTTTGAGTTCACCTGCCTTGTTAGTACACTAAACAGTGTAACTTATAACATCGGAAAGATATTCCCATAGTCCCTTTGTTGCAAAGTAGAGAGTATTTCCAAAGAATTTGAAAAAACTATCTGTCACTTATTACTTTCATTAAAAATGGAACAGAAGTTTTTCCCTTGCTTGATATACATTGTAACAAATATATACGTTTCTGACTGTTATATGGTAATGGACCTAGTGGAGTCCAATATGGTCTGTAATTAAGATGCAAAAAATCACAACACTATAAGACTGGTGTCCAATTTATGACTCACTTTTTTGGGATAATGAACTGATTTAGACTCCACAGGTCCTAGAACCTTTGCATATTAAATCTCCAAGTAAAATCATGCAAAGACAAAGTGCAAAGGAGAAGAATTTGCCCATGAAAAGATCCTACATAACTACCTGGTGAAAGCCAGTCTGGAACCTCATACTCTCCTTTCTGAAAAATCAATTAAAATACAATTTTAACAAAAAGAAAGCTAATATGGGTTTTAAAACTGAACATCTATCATACTTAATTAACCTTAATTAAACAGCTCTAAGTCTAAAATTAATAATCATGGTTTCCAAACCTGAATGAGCTTGTACAGCTTAAATGTGTTATCATCATCAAATGGCAAGAAGCCACAAAGAAGAGCATACAATAGCACTCCCATGCTCCACAGATCAACCTTTGAGGAAACCAAAAGGAAAATTAATCAAACCATCCCAGGTATTCATTGAGTGAAGAATATGCATTAAAAAAGCTGCTCTTACCTCATTCCCATGATAAGGAAAGCCAGATATAAGTTCTGCAAAGAAAAGTTTTGCCATATGGTTGAAGAAGTTACAATGTAAATTATATTTAGGGCATTCTTTATCTACACATGCATTATCGATTGATGGCTGGAGCTATTTTTTTCTCTTTTTTCTTTTTTATTTAGACACAGAGAACATTATTCAGTTATTCTAAACTCTTGTGTCTCATCTACATTTCTTTAAAAACTGCTGTGATATATATTTTTTTCTAGTTAACATGTAATTTGCATTTACAGGTACATGTACACAAACGTAGATCTGGTATAATGTGCAGCTTTTCATTTTGTTTGGTTTTGTTTCTTTAATTTTCTTGGGCCTCACCAACCAACTTTATGTTACACTGTAATTACCAAGGGAAACTTAACCCAAAGTATGTTTATTCTAGAGAAAAACATGCAAATCATAGCTGGTCTTATGATAAAGAGGCACTACATGTAGCAGGGCCTTCCAGCTGCTTTAAGAAGGGTTTTCAACTAAATCCAGTTAGTGGCAGTCTACTGCCACCTGTAACTCGTACTCTAAGGGGTAGACTATGTCTATATTTATGCACAATGACCCACCAGGAGCAGCATATGCGGGAGATCCACAACATGTGTCTAAATGATCAGTCATTCCACCTCTTGGTTTGGCAACTAAACCAAAGTCAATAAGCTTGATATTCTGCACAAAGAAAAACAATAACTTGGATCAAGAAGAAATTCATGCTCTCAAAATAGTGCACAATATAAATTGTTTTGCTTGTGTGTGTATAAGAGAAGGCATGTTTTTTATTGGTCTTCTTTTTCAAATGATCTAGGAATAGCTAAATTACCACACGCACTCTGATTATTCAAAATCCTATTATTCAAAGTAAGGGTAAAACTTGAGGTATTTCATTTTAGAACTCTAAGAAAGTTTTATTTCATGGAACTCCTGTGTATTACCTGATCCTCGTCAAGAAGCAGATTTTCCTGAATAACAAACAATAATACAAAAACTTGTAAGTTACTGGATAAGTTCTTTACTTGCCATTTCAGTCAGAATACATATATGTTATTTGCCGGCTGGGAGGTCCGTATGGTGAAAAACTGTGACCGAGGTCACAGTTTTTCACCATACGGACCGACCCTTAGCCGGTAAATAACATATTTATTGTTTTTAAACTTGATGAAATTCTTTCTGAAAGAACCCGAATGATTTAGGGCTGTAAATACGGCAAGATCTTCCATAAACTGAACAATTTTTGAGCGAGTAAATGGTAGTTAAAATAGAGGTGATGCAAATTAAAGAGAGATTCCTCAGCGAAACATTTTCATTTCCGTAACGATAAAGGTGATTTAAAAGGCTTCCAAACAAACTATGAAACATTATTTTTACAAGTATCTGTCAGAATCTGACACCTGTCAATTAGAGAGCGTAAGAAAAAAAAAAAAATCAAGAACATTTGAAAAACAACGGAACTAGTTTGGCAAGGACTGTCACGACAATGTTTTCTTCAAAATCAGTCAACGATCTAACGGAAAGTATTATTCACTCTCATCAACGATTCATTCATGTACGAAGATTTACCTCTGTTCATTAAGTAAACGGCGAGGAAAGTAATTGTGAGTAAATTCAATTTTTTTATTTTGAAGTTGTGAGAGTTTGCTCGTTTGTTTGCTGCAATGGCGTGTGTAAATCTGGTCTTTCCTTCACAAAAACTAAATTCGAACGGCACGCTCCAACGAGACACAAGGGAATTTAATGCGGCCTTTTCTCGAAAAATTCCTTCAGTTTCTGTTGTGTAATTTACGGTACAAATGTCCAAATTGAACGGAATTGGAAAGACTCACCGGGAGCCTATATTTGTTGTAGAACTTAAATTAAAACTTTGCTCGCTCTTTCACTACTAACAATTTTCTCGAGAAAATTCAGATATTAAATTAATGAAAGTTCCATAGTTCAGTTTAACTGTAACCAAATACCTCACGTTTTAACTTTCTGGGTACTTTTTGTGAATGATTAAAATTAATTGCAGACGGTTTTTAGGCCGCTTGTCAACCAATGTAATGACACTATTGTTTATACAAATTCATTCTGAAACCAATATTTTTCTGTCAACCAAAGTGATTTGAGAGAGAGAGAAAAGAGAGGATTTATAAGTTATTTATCGGCTTGAGGTAATGACCGACTTGTTTGCTTTAAAATACTGCCCAGCCGGAAAACGAGGTATATTTATGAAAAAATGACAACGAAAGTTGGGATGTACTCGGCGACTCACGAAAGCGTTACTGTGGCCCATGGGCAGAGATAGGAAAATACTGACCGGGTAAAGAACCAATCAGATTGCAGGATTCGTTACCGTGCCCTCTAAAAAAACAATAAATGAGTATAACACACAAGATCAGGATGAAAAAAAAAAAAAATTAGAAAAAAAACCCCACAACTGATTTAATAAACATGTACTATTTGTAAAACCTAACATCTTATTCAAAGATTACAAATTGACTACATGTACAGAATTGTCTGAGAGCTTACCAATTTAAATCTCCCCATTTCAAAGAAAAAAGATTATCTCACCGGTTTAAGATCTCGATGAGCATATCCTCTGTCATGGATGTAAGCCACTGCTGAAACAATCTGTCTGAAAAACCCTCTGGCTTCTTCCTCCTTAAAAATACAGTAAATAATTTAATGAATAAACAAATAATAAAAAATGCCAAATATCTTATGTGACAGCTCTTACTTTACTTCCCAAACTAATATTAATAATAATAAATTAGCACCGAAAACATCACACTCAATATACTGAAAAACCAAAAATATGAAAAATATTCTCAAATTGACTCTGTTTTTTAATTAATCTTTATTGTGCAAAGTATTAACCAACTCTAAGAAATCATTTGCAGGAGTGCTTCCCGAATAGGGCATTTCTGCTCATATTAGGATGAGAAGGGTTTGAGCTAGGATTTGATCACTTGGGGACAATTTGTCCCCTTAGCAAAAATTTTGGGGGACATTTTTATTTTTAGGGGGACAGACAAATGTATTTTTATTCAACTTTTTTTTTTCTTTTCACATTCATACTGTCAACGAAAGCATTTTTTTCTTACCTGATCCTTGTAATACAAGAAAAGTGATACAAACAAGAAAAGTTAAGTTATTGGTGTCAAGACTTTTTTTCTCTCATCATATTTAAACAGAGGATCAATGACTATGCTTTGTAACACAGTAGAATCTCGTCCTGGCATCCCCTTGTAAACTTCAATTCCTTTCTTAACTACTAGTAGACGTACATGTACTAATTCTTCTGTTGGTTCTCGCCCAAACATCAAGGGCTGTAGAAATGTCAAAGTCCTTGAAAGGTGGCCCCTCAATGTCAATAGTCATGCACACATCTAGCCTCTCAGCTTTCAATCTGTTTCTCAAAGCATTCTTAATTCAATTCTGTGTGCTAAAACCTTGTTCACAGCTAGCCATATCAGTAGGCAATACAAGTGTGACTCGACAAAGCTTAATTAAATTTTGGACCTCATTGCTATGATGGGTAGCAAGCATTTTCCATAGTTCAGCAATGTGGCCCACAGGGTAATGCTCTCTAACAAAGTTCCATTCAACAATTCTACATTTTCCACAATTGTGTTTTGTGCTTCTGTCAATCATCTCAACAGACCTTTAAGGAAACAACTTCGACGGGTTCAAAAGGTGATCGTTTGTGATTTGTGATTGGTGGATTTAAATCTATTTTTGTGCGTTTCTGTACTTCAAGGTTTGTTGCTTGTGATTGTAATTATGATTGATGGCGAAAAACACAATAGTGAAGGTGGCTTTTGAACTTTAGAGTTCCCATGTTTGTGAAAAGCACATTAAAGACTGCCAGGTGTGTTCAACACACTTGGTTGAGCAAGAGACGTGCGTGTGCAGTAGAGTATGACTGAAACGTGACTTTAGAATGAACTTTAAACGTGTGATAAAAGATACTCTCCACGTCCTGTTTTAGCTTGCAATTTCTGTACTGAAGTAAAACTCTTTGTGTGAGCTTCCTTTCAAGTTTTCCCTAAGTTTTGAAGGGGACAAACTGTCCCCTTGGCCGTTTTTTTTAAGGGACAATTTCAATTGCAGTGCAGGATAGGCGCAATGGCATAGCCTGGCTCAAACCCTGAGATGAGTACAGAAAATATGAGCATTTTTGCTCATATTTGAGTACATAGAATAGAAAATCTTAACAATAAAACATGGTAATACAGTCTAACTTATATTCTACCTTGAGCCTATCCTTTGCTACGATGTAGTCGAACAATTCTCCACCTGGGGCATACTGAAATAATGAAATTCAGACAATCAGTTAATCAGAGGACATTTTCAAAAGCAGAATCAACTCTCCTAAATACCAACTTCATAATTATCCAAGCACATTTCCTCAAAAATTATCCTGTACCAACAAATTTCCACTAGCTACACATGTTCCCAGATGCAGACTGGGAAAAAGTGTTCTTCAATGATTTTCAGTCATTTAGTTTGTTTTAAAACTCAAGGCATGTAATTTGACACCATAAATAGGATTCCTTCAATTCAACCTCTGAATTATGTGCCATCACAGCAATTAACACAGACTGGATAAGGATATGAGAAGTAACATTATTGTTATATATTTAATATCAAAAATACATGTAGTTAAGAGGAACATACTTCCATGACCATGAATATGTATTCATCTGTCTGGATGACATGATAAAGCTGACACACATGTTGATGACTAAGGTTCTTTAGAGCCTCTATTTCACGTTGGACTCTTGGCAGGTCAGACTAAATAATACAGTAAGAAAAAATGGTCTATTAATTATAATTAAGAACTTGGCCCATTTGACCCACAGTGACTTACACTGCTGTGAGTAGAGCAAAGCACACTATAGCTTAGGACTATTGCTATTATTGCTACTCCTACATTGTATTATTACACAAATAATAATAATAATAATAATTAACAACAACAACAACAACAACAATAACAACAACAACAACAACAACAAGAAGACTGGACAAAAAAAAATTAAATAATGGACAAAAAGGCAAGCCTGATATTCTACAGATACACTAGAAAGGAGTATATCTAGGACTGTTTTCCTTTGCTTACTTTTGAAAGCTACAAGAAATATGATGTTCAGAGAGAAACATGTACTGTTACTCCTTCTGGAGACTCAGTTATACATAAAGGTGTTAAAATATGATCAGAAGTGACCTTCAATGGATAGAAAATTATATAATTGTACTTACACCAAGTTCTTTCTTGTTCATAACTTTTATTGCAACCTGGTGTAAGAATGACAATACTTTAACTTAATGATGAGAAACACTTTTAACAGTAATACATTTGTTTCAGTAATGGGCACTAACCAAACAAATATTGTCTCATTTCCAAAAAAAAACTCTGGTAAAAGGACCCCCAAAAAACCTAAAAATAATTATTAATAAGTAAATGAACTTGACTGGATAAAAATACAAACTATGTATTTATTGTGAGAGATCCAGTCCTTCTGTGGAACACTAAACATTTGGTAGCAAACTACACTAACGCAGCCAAGCCAAGTCAAATTCAGGTTCATACACTTAAGATGTATACACTTCATCATAGATACAGTGTATTCAACTGGTTTGTCTATCTCAAGGGTAATCACAGTGTTAAATACATGTATGGACAGATGTACATACACGTAAAGAGTACAAACATTTACTTTGCTCATAAATAAAACTTAAAAAAAAGGAGGGGAAGGGGAAAGGGAGCTCTTCAAAGTTCAACCAGGCTAATTCACATTTAAACCAGCATGACAGCTGTGTGTAATTTTAGGTGTGGTCAGATTAACCATGGTGTTAAATGGATTCTGACTGAACTAGCCCTGGATATTTAGCAGGGTTGTGTTTACAATACATGCTTTGAGTCCTTGAACAATACAATTACAGGGTTTTCATTAACTTTTGAAGTAGAAGGGCACTGCCTTGTGAATAGGCGGGTACCCTGTAAAATTGAGAGCTGAAGGCCCAAACCGCTCAAGCTCCCTTGGGAAATTTTTAAAATGCAAGTCTCCCAGAACTGTATTTTCCTACAATTTGGAAAAGAAATCTTGCTATGACGCATACTTATTCTAATTATAGTAAAAAAGAATGATACTCTAGGAGAATTTTTTTTATTTCACTATACAGCTATAGCTAAATCAAAACACTACTGTTGTTGTCAGAGCCTCCCATTTTCTCACAATAACAAGCTAACATAAACTTGTAAACTGATAAAGGGTGTAACTGGCAAATTTTCAGCGTCAGTACAGGCTGAAGTAGATTTTCACATTTGAAATTTTTGATATGTTCTTGAATGCATTTCTTGGTTTAATCTTGAAAGAAAATTAAATTGGAAAAAAGTTTTTCAAGTTTCTTTCACTTGCTCAGAATATTTTAGCTTTGAAAGCCAAAAAAACGAGTTATTTAATAGCTACTGTAATCAAGCACTTCAGGAAGAATGTGATTATCGCGCAGAGCCTTCTCGTCAAAGTAAATTTTATTTCCATGATCTGATGGCAAGTTATTGGTAAATTTGTGCTGAAAAATGGTTTCAATCATCCTGGGAAGAGTTAATATTTATTAAGGTTGATAATTTTTTCTTGACGATTTTTTAAAAAATTTCGTACTTTAAGTAGCCAAGTACTTTGTTCAAAGGAGATGGGTGCCCAGGACCTGGCTTCTAATAAAAACCCTGCAATTATCTCAAATTATTTTATAACTTTTAAAAAACCTGTTCATTATACTTCAACTGTTACTACAATCCTTATACTGCATTGACACTGTCTAGTATGTTTTCACTGGCAAATGTGCTCATGAAAGGAGCCCTATAACTGATCAGACTCCTCTATGGGGAAAAAAGAAGCCATATAAATTTGTTTTGCTCTTAACATGTGGCTTTGTAGCTCACATGACAGGAGTGCTGAAATAGTACTGCAACTGGAGGTACATATTAAGGTTGTTGGCTGCATTGTGAGATGAGGGTTATCATCAAATAGATCACCAGTAACTTTGTGATCAAAGGCAGAAAATGAGTATTTTTCAAAACTGATTCTTCAGTCAAGGTCTCGCTAAGAATAGTTAGTCAAGTATGTCCCAGAATGTCGGAAATCCGCTTTCAGAGAGCAACACAGGGCCATGCTTGTGACATTTGTTTACCAGCATAATCCAATTCAACCAAGTTTAAACCATACATCTATTACATTTCCAAATGAAAAACCCTGAGAAGGTCACTGTTCATTCTCTTTATACTAACAAAGAAACCTGGGAAACAAAAACCACCTTGCTTTTAAAGGAGACGTTTGTTTCATACCTTCTCTCCCGTTTGCTGGTGAATTGCAAGCTTGACCTTTGCAAACCCACCTGAAATGAATAAAAATAGACAAAGAACTTTTCATCCCATTTAAAGACAAGAAAATGTTGAACCATGGTCTCTAACTGATTATTTAAATGCGATTTAAAAGTTGAAAAACATGATAGGGAATATTGAGGCAGCAAAAATTAAATCCTAAGTGAGCATTGTTTGAAATAATCCCTTGTATAACTGCAATCTTCCTTGATGAAAAAAAAAGCATTCACAAACATATTATCACTCTTCCTTGCTATTTCAAAACTCTTTTCATGTTATTTAACAAATGTATCACAAGGTTGGTATTAAAACTGCAAAACCTTGTGATAACAACTCAATCAAACAAATCTCTCAAAAGGGAAAGTCTCACTTATAAACAAGCAAATTTCTTGTAACAAAGGCTTTTGATAAATGCTCCAAGGATTATTTTTCAAAGTCAGTTGATTAGACACCTTAAAAGTACATTATCGTGTATTATTTACATTTACGTTATCAGCGACTGAATCCTGTAGATTCTGTTTTGGCTTCATACATACTTAAGAGTAAAACAAATTAAATTGAATGTTTGTCTTTTTTGCTCTGTGTTAGATTGTTATCTTAGATAAAGAAACAAAAGGAAGGTGAATGAAAAATATAATCTTGTTTCAGAACAAAAGTAAAGGTGTCATGCAGCTGCATGGAAAAATTTATGTTAATACATGCTAATTTTTTCAATTACCCGACACAACATCATTCTGATTTAACAATGTGTTCACTACCACATAGTATTGGCAGATTTATAATTTAAATTCAAGCAGACGACATTGATTTCTGAAACCATAATTTCTGAATCCAGAAATATTATGGTTAAGTGAACGACTATTTGCTAGATTTTGCGACAGTGGAGTAACTCATACAGATTTATCGCTTGTAGGACTTCGAACTCATTTGCAAATTACGGAAGTATTGACAGTGTGCATATACGGAATTTTCATTTTAAAACGTGCTTGTCTTTAGTCTAAACAAAAGTGTGTACAATTGGAAGCAAACGAGTTCTTTTATCTGCTACAGGATAGACAGCGCTGAGTCAGATCTGATTAAAAAAAAAGTAGTCTGATAACGTTCGAACAAATGGTATTGTATTTTATTTAGAAACCTCATATCCAACGCATTTCCATGCGTCGTTAAACCAAAATTGACCCGACGCTTATGCCACGCACGTAACTGACCACAATTAACAAGCTCTTCGTGACATACATGTGAATATAAGCTTACCAAAAGGTGAAAAAAGAAATCGAGCTGTATTCAGAGAAGACTTGTTTTTCAAATCTTACAAAAGGCAAATAGTTTTAAGTACATTCTCAGATAAGTTTATTATTTCACTCGATTAAATGACTCCTGTCAAACTGCGAAATTTCAACCTCGCATATTGGTTTTCGAGGACAAATGTTAGTCGCCCACGTTCCGTAAGAAAGTTAGGTTTTCTAACAGCCAAAGCCGAAACAGCAGTTAAAGCAATAGCTTCCTCGATTCCTAATAATAAATAAAAACTGCCAAACTAGACAAGATAATTCTTGATAGATTAATATTTGTGAAGTATATACCGACCTTCGTGAAAAATATGCAAAAAATCAAAATGAGCAATACATGCACAGTTCAGATCGTTCGTAAGAAAGCGTTAAAGCATAAACTGATAAAGCTTATATTTAAATTCACGATCCGAGGAATAAAAGATCGATGGAAACTGTTTCCTTCGAATTTATTAGCCGTGAAGAACACAATGCATTCGAACGTAATTTGGTTCTTGGACCCTCAACTGAGACCGGCTGCATGAATGTCGACGGATATTTACCGAATTCCAAATTTGCAAATTACAAACTTAATTCCTTCAATTAATTTAAAATCTTATAACTCAGCCACCTACCACTTCCAATGGTTTGCCTCAGTTCGTAGTGCTTGGTAATTTGTGGAGGAAAAGCTGACGAAGGCATATTGAGGTGAACGTTAAAACCAGGAGATTCGAAGGCGAAGCTCAATTGTATTGGAACGAAATTTACGATTGTACCCAATATCAAAATGTTAACCACGCCACTCTTTGAGAACTAAACTCGCTGCTCAATAACCCCTCCAAGAGAAATCTAAAACAAGTGGAACTCTAGCGATAAAACTACAGAGGAATGTTGATCACAAAACGCTCGAAGTCTCAGTTCCGATATTAGTTAAGACGACCTGTCTACTCGCTGTGTTTCCGAGAGGATCCCATTTCAAGTTTGAATTTGGTTGATTGACGCTCAAAGGTGCGTCAACCAATCACATAACGGCATTTTGAAGGTAAATATAAATAAAACCGTTTTACTCGACTCCAGTCTTTCGTCGATCCTTCTTTGTTTTGCCTAACCGACCCTTTCGCTACCCAGCTGTGAACACCCGTTTCATTAATAAAAATGATTTCTGGTATGTTTTCCTCCCTACGATATTGGAGCGACCGCGACTTCTGCAGCCCTCTGAAATCTGCTGGTATTGCAACTCATCACTTAATCTCTTATTTAATAAAAGCGGCATTTCGAGTGCTTTTATAGCGTTTAGTAGGTAAAAACGACCAACTTTGAGTCAGAGAAGCAAAACCTCGTTTTGTTTCTGCTGTGTGAGATCGAAAAACGCTTTAATCACAGACAGCTTAACCCAAGTCGAAGTAACGGAAAATATTCGCGTTGTAAAGAAATGACCAAAAATATTGCTTCTTCTCAAAGGTCTTTCGTTGTCCTCAGCCGATTTGCAGCATTGCGTGATACTCTACCTTCCCTCTAACTTAGCCGTCGGGGTTTTTTTGGTTGTTTTTTGTTTTGTTTTGTTTTGTTTTTTTTTTATCGGTATGATTTATTTCTTCAGCATCACTGGCCGTTTGCATTCGCGTGACCTCCGCTCAGCTCAGGCCTGTGCCATGGGGAAAAGGACGAGATGGCTAAGCAGGTTGGGTGTCCAGCGTCTAGCCAAGAGGCAGGTTCTCATTTTTAGCGCTGCGGCACGAGTATGTCATCAGCTGCGAAAAAGTATGAGGTCTTGAACAAAGCGAGCTGCTTAGAGGTCTGCAAGGAGTGTGGCACTCCATGCTTGCTCGCGTCAATCTAAATCTGTCAATAGCCCCAATCGTACTTTCCTTTATAAGTGTTATCAAATGGAACCCTTCTGTCACACTTTATCTGTGAATTGATATTTTATTTTCCCGTTCCGTAACATGCTTATCTGGTGGTTTTGGGTACGCCTCGAGGCATTTATCGCATCAAAGCTTAGAAAATAAGTAATAAAGCCGCGAGGGTCCTGGGGCGGAATAATGGGAGAACGTCGAAGGCTATCAAAAAAAACCACCCTCTTCGAAGGCGATCCAAAAGAAGCCATTAGCTTCGAAGACTATCCGTTTTCGGACGGAAGTACTTGTGAGGGTCTTGTGAGCAAGAAAAAGAAAGTTGGCTTGTACTTTCCAGTTGATTAGTCAATGTTTTCACTGATCCGATTATGCAGTTCGAGGTCGGGGTCGACGATAAGCCAATTTTGCACACAGATTATCAAACCACCATTTCCTACTCCAGAAAATACTGCTGTGGTGAATTCGAATTACGTGAGTAAACTGCTTGCCAGGACTAAGTCGGTAGTTGGCCAAACATTAAAGGTGTATCGGATAAAAAGCCACGTCAATCAAGTTCCCTCCTTAATGAAGTGGTCAGAATCATCATTTTTCGGTACAGAAGGATGGGTTTTGGACTGTGTCCGGTGCGCAGCCCAACTGATCCAGAATTTCCCACAATAAATTTTTCCGTCTCAGAATGAAATAATATTTTACTTCGAAGAAACAAAACAACAAGGAAAACGAGAACAATAGCACTATTACTGCTGCTGCTGTTGCTGCTGCTGTTGCTGCTGCTGCTGCTGTTGCTGCTGCTGCTGCTGCTGCTGCTACTACTACTACCAATACTACTAATATAGCCGAGCCTAAAAGCGGAGCTCTTGTTAGTTTATTTTTTAGCCCCTAACTCAATAACAATAATAAAAATAGTGAAATAGAGCCTTTGAATTTTCAAGTATATATGGTTTATGATACGTAATTTGAATAAAAGGGATGTTACAAGAGATTCGATCCCCTCGCAACAGCCCATATTTCATTTGTTTATAAAAACGGGAAAAAAGAGCTTAGAAACAAAAACAACCTCAGCCAGATCTAGATATTATCGTGACATGTTTATTAATCCCTACACAACCAACAATCTTCCACCTACAAAAACCAAGAGCAAAAGATCGCTTCATAGGAGGCGCCAAAATTTAATATCGTGTAACTGAAGCGTGTAGATCAAAGCTAATTTTTTAAGGGTTAGATAAACACACTGACGCAAAACAAAGGAACAAGATTTCTGTCGTATGAAAAAAAAAAAATGATAGCGTTAATAAGACACAAAACGTGTTGTCTCTCTTAGTAATCCGAGTCGTTTGGATCATAATACGGATATCCATTACAGCACCTCTCAGAGTCCGTGCCCGATCCTCCAGACTTTTTGGGGTCATCTGAACCATCCGAATTGAATCGATTGTCGTAAACATCGTCGACGTATTCCGAAGTTTCGAAATTGTTGTCGGAGTAGTCCGAACTTTCGGTTTCGCTCGAACAACCTGTGCTATCGTTCCTTCTGAGAGTTTTGGCAAATTTCTTTTTTGCTTTTCTTTGTATTAATTTTCTCCTTTCGGGGAAGTTTGAAGATCTATACAAGAGTAAAACAGAGATGAATGTATACTTAGCATAAACACTAAAAGCGAGACAAACCGATGAGAGGAAAGGACTTGAATACTCAGGAAATTTCAACAGTTAAACAAAGCAGTCAATAAACGGTGAAAAGCATTGCAATTTTAAATTAGCCTAGATTTCATTGGGATTCCTATGTCAATGCAGCATAACGTGAATTTGAAAACTTGGAAAATAATACATGTATGCATCGATTGGAGTGTTTTTTCTGGAGCCGAATCGTTTTCTTTGGGTTGAGATATCTTTCATTCGTGGAAATTGTTCTTGTTTGCTCTGAGAATTTTGTTCTCGCCCATGCATTAACGTTTTGCGGGAAAATCTTCTCAACCGTGAAAAGCCTCGAATACTGAGAATAATTCGGACAATTCACGACATAGAAAAATATTATTTACACGGTTTTTGTTATTACGGCCTTCTGAACTTTGAAGTCAACAAATATTCTTAGTACTTTAGCCGTCCCAGTTCTTGGTCATCGTTGAAGATACCCATTTAGTTAGATATGAAATAAGAAGTTCTAAACCTGAACGAACCAATTTGAAGTAACTTTAACCTTTCTCCAAATGAGGAATAACAAGAAAAATAAACATCAAAATCTTTTTCAAATTTGAGTATACACTAGAGTGCACTTCACCTGAATAAGTTGATCATATCTACGGCCTTGAAAGGATCGGTTTTCTTGGTTGTAACATCACTGCTTATATCGCCATTCTTTAAGGCACCAGTTTTAACACGTAAGGGAAAATACAGGACAAGGATCATCACCAACAAGCAATGAACGTCACCCATTTGACAGTGAGCTTTTTTGATCTCTTTATATAGCTAATGGAAAGGAACAAAACATGAAAAATGTTGAATAAAATGTAGAAGGTAAGTTCTAAGAATTGATTGATTATTTAACCGAGAGATTGCACTTCCTTGGGGTTTACCAGCAGGTAATAACCCACGCATTATGTCGAAGAACAACGAAAGAAGTATTTAAATCACGAGTTGAAGGCAAACGAGTTCGTCACACACTGTATATGCAGTTCCTCTACAACCAGTTCTCTTGCTGCAAAAGGCTCAAGTAAGGGTACTTATATATGTAGAAGCATCATATTGCAGTTACAGCGTCGTGCAGACGGAATTAAACGCTGAAGAAGAATATAAATCTGTGTTTCACATATTCAAACTAAAACACATAAACAAACAACACTGGTAATCAGTGAAATCAAAAGAATGAAATTGCGATATTCGCACGTGGGATCGTAACTCAAAAGCGAGCTTGGATTTAGAGTGGTAAACTACTGCAGAACTGTACCATGATTTTCACGAGAAGATAAGTCTAACAAACCTTGCTTTAGATAACGCTTGCACAAGCCAGAGCTACGAAGAGGAATTTCCTTATCGAATAATTACAGTAACCGTTTATTTACTAAGGCTTCGGTTGCCTGGAAGTGGAAATCCTCCGTGAAAACGCGTCCTTGAGTCTGACCAATCAGGGCAAATATTTCTGTAGGTCCCATTGCATGAATGTCACTTGCGAGAATTTAATAATGACAGGCTGAAATTCATGTTCAAAGTAAGATCTGGTTCACTCAAATTCTCAGCTGATAAACATAATCTGAGGGGCGGGGAAGCCAAAGCATGATCTTATGCGATTCGCAGAAAGTTTCTTTTTGTTAGTATACATCAACAAGACGGTAGTACAGTGTATCAGTGGTCGCGTCACATATTTCAGGGTCAGTTGACATTTTCTTGTCTTGTCAACAACGACAAAACGCCAATCTATCTCTGTCATTTCGGACATTCTTTTCTTTTTAACTGCGAAAGGTTCACGGGGTCTCCTGGGGATAGTCGCCCATCTTTAAAAAAGTTGGTTTCAGACTACACATATCGAGTTTCTAAGCCTCTTTTTAAAGCCTATTTTGATTACTGCAACAACCACCTTTTCTAATTAATTTTTCTTAGTTTTCGCCATTCTCAACAAACCCATTGATGAAACATACGTGCCCTTCAAATTGTATTTGCTCTCTGCTCCGGAATCATATTAAAGTGACGAGTGTCAGTTGATATTAAAAATAAATAAGGCTGGTTTGAAGCTGAAAAGACAATAACACAGTGTTTAGTAGAAATGAATAAATATATCACTAAAATGCAGGATTGAATCACCTTTGGATGAGTTCGATGTTGAGTCTTTAGTCGCTCATATGTATTCTGACATCTTGCTCTATCATATGTTCTTAACTAAGTTCTTGATTGTACAGCCTTTCTGTAATAATATTTCTAGTGCCTATTCCCAATTTCCACAGAATAGTCCGCAAATATGATTGAGTTATCAATCTCAATTTCCTTTGGAATCTTTTCCCTAATTAAAAGTAATTGCAATCTTGGAAGAAAAAGGAACCATCCACCCTATCAATCATATCAGGTCAATAACGATTAACGCCGGGAAGAGATTAACACGGGTAATGCTGACGTCTTAAACCTCGTACTCAGGTCAACCGCGTTGATGGCCATGTGAAGTCCAAGAACGCAGAATTGCTTTATATTTTAATGTAACCATACGTTAGAATAAGAGAACTAGGAGTCGCTGTCTTTTTTCCATACTTTTTTAGCTCCTATGTAAGATCGTTACTTTACGAAATTGCATAATCCACTGTCCCTTTTGACGGGATATCCAAAAACAGTTCCTAAGTAGGATGGGATGTTGTGTACCATTGACGATAACCAAAAGAAAATAAGAGTTCAGACAGCTGTAGTCAGGATGTTAGCTGACAAGTGATAATTTCACTAAAGTAAACTTCAGTCTTCTGCCACCCATGAAGTCAACGTTTTGTATACTTTCTATATCAAAAATTTCTTTTTATCTACAAAACTCATCTCCACATAGTCTTTTGCTATATTGCTTTAACTAAGAAGATCATACATAAACTAAAGGTTTGCATTTATGAAAGCCTCTTACGAAGAAGACTTCTTCTAAAGAGACTATCCACAGATAACTGAGGAGAAATTGACATATCGAAAGCGCTGACCCAGAAACCACCCTCTCAGTGCCATAACTTTCTCTTGTGGCCATATATTTTATTCAAACATGGCATGGTACATAACAATTTATGTAAGTTACGATAATAAAGAATTATAAATTATACTCTACTCTCGAATTTATTTTCTATTGAAGAGTTGGCTTCTAAATTCTACCTCTTCACATTGTATACAGGTATGGCTTTAGGCCAACAACGATTTCTAGCACTTAAAGCGTTTTTAAACAAGATTATATTGCAGACACCCTCGACTCGGAATCTTTCTAATACACGCAAACCTCCTTACAAGAGTCGATTAAAACACAAACCAACATTGCGGTTATAGAGGCACGAAAAAAAAAATGATGATTAGTACGTCGACGCGAAGAAAGGGAAAAGTGATCCAAATGATACCACGATCAACTCGTAGACATATTGCGCAGAATGTACTATATTTGATTATATATGCAGTGATTGCACAATGAGTGTACTAAGAAGCAGATGATCCTTTGATTCCAAGAATCAGAGTTGAGCCGTCATCGCCTCAAAAACTCGTCCCAAATTGATTCAACCTACTTAACAATCGATCAGCCATCTATGATAAGATACTGGCTCTCCCCAGACACCTGGTGCCGTACAAGCGCCACGAAATTTGCATATTGAGTCCCTACATCTCTCTTTTCTGAACTTCATATACCCGAGGATAAGCCTACTTCATAATTCAACTCAACTCAGATCCCTGAAGGGTTTTGCAGCTCAATCTCATAAGATAAGACTTGTTGTCGGATTTCGACTTACTGAAAATGTTTTCATGCACTTATTTTGTTTTCCTGTCTACTCAGCTTCATTTATTGTTCGGCTGAAAAGTGTTTAATCCAGGTCTATTCCTACTCTGCTGATAACATCTCGATGTTTGATTGGTTTAGATGTGACTCGTTAAGGAAAATTCAGCATAAGGATCAAAAGGAGCGAGAAGTTTCCTTTTATATCACCTTGCAACCATGGAGATTTTTGAAAGCTACACAGTTTTTCGAAACCTTGTACCTTGCTAAGTTTAGAACTTTCCTTTCCCCTCTTTTTTGACTTGTACCACGATCCTTTCCATCGGCACATTTAAGAACTTTTTTGCCATGGTAAAAAGGTAGCTTTCTAAACCATCTTCCATTTGACTGCCTCAAGGTTTTGCGAACAGTAGCTAAAAGTCCTATATCTAACATTTAATAGAAGAAAAAAATCACCTGTCTTAAGTTGCGCCACTTCTAACTTATGTCATTAATGTTTAGGGCTGTATATCGTAATTATATGACGATTCGCCGCACAAGAACGTTCGCCAACCATAAACGACCGCTCGCTCTGACGAAGGACTATCGCTTGAAACGTCTGCTCTTTGCGGTGGCCTATTTACATTATCGACTCAGTTGATAAAACTAAATTATATCGTAGATGAGGCTTGTCCTTTTTATGGTACCCAGATTATTTGTTATCTTATTTCTTAGCGAGTTTTACCGAAATGGACAGACACTGATGAACATTACGGTGAAAGATTCTTGCATTTGTTACAGTCTAAGTGTTTTAGAGAGTGATCCTCAAATGACACAATAGGCGATAAATGAGTGAAACCGAAAATAAGGCTCTGGTGAGGGGGTCAAGCAGCTCATCAGAGCCAATCATTCTGCAAGACCTCCTTTTTGGAAATTAAAAATATGCAAACATTCAGCTTAAGTCAGTGAAGGATGGAGGCAAATGAATCTCACCAGCGTCAAATCAATAAGCTTATAAACGGTCAACTGCTAAAGCTTGGAGGGCACATTGTACCGGTGACTATCACTTTCCCCGGTTGCCAGGCGCTACAACCCTTATTTGAACTTTCTCAGCTTGAGCTTAGAACTCAGAGATATATCAGGCTGGAAGAGGTTTCTTATCATGATTTGAAGGACCGAGATTATAGATCAAGCTGTACTCAAGTTTTACATTCTCCCCCAGATCTATGTAGCTTTGGTTCCCCTTGTAGAGTAGAGGGCTGACTCAATGACACATCTATTTAGGAGAATTAACTGAATTAAAAAAAAGAGGCTTCGATTATGAATCGGTGAGCTAGTGAAATAATCAGTCAGTTATGAAAGCCAAACTGATAAAGATGAAATACCCCGCACTAAGTTTTGAATTCGATTATGCTGCTTTCGCAGATCTTTACTCCTTTATTTCACCAAACGAATCATGTTTTTGCTCGAAACTTTAGCTTCCAATTTGATTCTCCTTAGGCTCTCAGTTTCGAAATTTTCAATTTTTGACGAGTCAATGTAAATCTAGTAAATTTACTATTGAGGTCTGTTACTCTCCCACAGTAATGAAAACCACAGCAACGCCACGTAAGTAAGAAATAATTTACAAGCATTGAGTTTTGTAGTGATGTTTGAATTTCACCGAATTCTGTCCTAGTGGCTATGCTGGGTTCGTTGTAATTGTGGAAGTAATTCAGATATTGAGGAAACTATATTCAAAGCTGTGCTTGGAGATACTTTAATAAATTATTAGGGTAATGATATACATCAAACAGGAACACCGCGTGCATTTAGGTCATGAGATAAAAGTTCTTGGGGAGGGAAGATAATGATCTGATTTTATCATATCACAGAAACTCATTAGGATGGAAATATAATCAAATAAAAAAATCAGTAAAAACAAGAAAAAAAAGCTTGTACGTCAATTCTTTCGCTCTTCGACCCCTAAATGTTAGTCAAAGGAATCACTCATTTTAAAATTCAAAATGATTCCATGTGGTTAGATCAATGGTTAGAGAAAGCCGTGTAGTTTTCAAGAGAAAATTAAATAAACTGTATGAGCAGAAGAGGTATGAAAAAGATGAAGTTAAACGAATTTGCAAGGTACCAAGGTGACATCTCTCCTAAGTAACAATTAGGCGCGAAATAATTTCCCAAAGAAACTCTGCATGGATCGAAGCCAGTTCACACAAAATGTTGGCAAACTAAGCTGGGAGTGTTTTGGTCCGAAAGTTCATGGTTGAGAAGAGAATTTCTCGAGAATATCTGCTGATAAAGCTATTCTCAGTTTCGGGGTAAATAAATTTCTCAGTTAATAATACACACGCAAAAAGTTCAACATACCCATCGGCTGAGAATTTGTTAATTAATCCCAAAAATTGCAGTAAGTCGAAATCAAGACCATAAAGTTGGAACCAAATTGATTGACAGGTGGGTTGCGAAAGCACAAAACAGAAAAAAATAGCGGGCAAGTGAGGCGCGAGCAACAATGCTCTAATTCAAAGTTTGATGCAGAATGCTAAAAACAAAAAACGAAAAACAAAAAAAAAACTGGTCAAGGGTCTGGCTTCCAAAATGGGCAAAGAAAGTATGAACCGGGGACCCAGCATTTAATTGTTGAAGAGTTTTACGCAACACTTTGTGCTGAAGACGAGGAAGACTAAGTGCATTATCGCTTTTGTTTAATGGTTCGTGCCGTCGACCTATACCTAACAGAGAGAGAGTACAAACGCCATGATACGAAATAAAAACAGCTAAAAAGCAAAACAGAGTATGTTATTAACTAGTAATCACAATATTTTTGATGCGAGCAATTTGGGATAAATCAGCACTTAAAAATGTTTTCATAGACCACAAATTTCACTCGCCCTACGGGCTCGTGCATTTTGGTAAGCCTTTGAAAAATTTACTTATGCTGATCCATCCCAGATCTTGATTGCACTCGAAATTATGTGATAACCTTTACTAATAACTATTCAGGAGGCATAATGCCCCTGCTACAAGCCAAAAGAAGGCTGCCTTCACTAAGTTAACTAGTTCAGACGAGTGGAGTGTTACACTGACGCAGGCGATAATTTGAACACACTAGTATTTTCGATTTTTTTTAGTAGACTCTTTTTATTACCACTCATTACTTGGTCTACTATACTGATTCTGAACTATTGCGAAACACCATGGCGGCCTTTGGAAATGCCTCCCTAAATCACCTCGAAATAACTCAAAGTAACAAGACGTCCTCTCCAAAACAGTGCTTTTCTGGAGTGAGTCAAGTGTCCATTGCAGTACATGTTTTCACTATTTTAGCATCCTTGATAGGAAACTCCCTTCTGATCGTCTCTTGCACGAGGAAAAAAGAATCGTGGCTGCTCTATATTATGAACATGGCTACATCCGACCTACTTGTGGCGATATTTTTACTTCCACGCTTCATTATAGATGAAATTACTGGGTCCGGTGCTTTCCTGGTTCACGGACTCGGAGGCACATTTTTGTGCAAAATGTGTAGTTTTCTGAGTGATATATCCCTGTCCGTGTCCACCCTTACCTTGGTGACGATGGCTGTTGAGCGCTTCCTAGCAGTGGTTAATCCTCTTCTGCACATTAGAACAACGAGCTCCCGCAAAAGACGTCGTCTTGTGATAGCTTTAACTTGGATCCTGGCTGCAGCACTTCACTTGCCGTATTTTTACACATTTAGACTGACGAGAGTAGCTATTGGTCAGGGTGACTACATCCAAATCTGCTTCCCAAGCTGGGAACCAGCTTTCGATGACAACACGGGACAAGTTTACAACATCTTTCTATTTACGACCGTTTTGATTCTACCACTACTCGTGATATCTATTTTGTACATTGCTGTCGCTTTGCGCGTTCGCAATAACAACAAGGGGAAATTTCAATTTAGAAAAGTTTCGAGACGAAGACAAGAATTCACCCGGAATTTACTCAAGATGGCCGTCGCTACCGTTGCAGCCTTTTCAGTATGTTGGACGATGTTTATTGTGATTGCCTTCATTAACATTTTCTCAACATCGCTGATTCTGACCTGTAACAAGAGCTATATGGTAGTGTCTTACATTGCGAACCTATTGGCAAGTTGCTATTGTGCAGTTAACCCATGGGTCTGCTTTATATTTATTCCAGGATTTTCTCGTGAATTGAGAGTTATAATACAAAACCAAAATTACAGAGGGTTCAACGCAAAAGACCGAAACAGCTCGCGGAAGTCACAAACAACCCACGTTGTCCTTCCTTTAGAAAGTCTTGTTAAGCAAGAAGTTCAAGAAAGGTATCATTTGTAATAACCATTGGTGCAAAGTGTGTTGTTACATAAATTTTCATGAGAAAATTAGAACAGTTCGTTATGTATGAATATTGGGTGCATGCAGTGCTTATCTTATTTACGTTAAAAGTTCTAATAAGCCCTCGGGAGGGCACAGAGCTTCTACGCAGGAGTTATTAGAGAGGAAAAGCGAGTTAATTTTCCTTAAAAACTCAGCGGGTGGCATAGTTGGAGGCATTGAGGAAGGATGTTTTTCCCACTTAAAACGGGCTTGAAGTATAAAGAAAATCCGAGCTAAAAGAGCCAAGAGCTAAAATTGATCGCTTCAGTTCAGCCTTTTCCTGTGGAGGTGACACATTTTAATATTGTATCTGTCATGCTAAAACAATGATAATTGAACTTAGGATCACTTAATTTATTACAAATAACAGTGCCACTAACTTCGGCATCGTTATCGATCTTGGAGAAGGAAACGTCTTGAATCACCTCTTAATCATGTTTATCACTTCCGTCTTCGACATCAATTTGGAAGTTCCTCCTTCATTCACCCCTCCAAAGATCATCAAATTAAACCAAGTATAAAATGATTACCTTTATCTATCTCATTCGAAATAGAGGAACAAACAATTGCACTGAAATCAAATAAATTTGTCCGCATTTGATATGAGGAAATTTTTTTTTCTCCAGACTCATGTAAATTAAAGAGCTAGCCAGCAGAGGGGCGAAAAAACCATTTCTTGGTGTGGAAGGAGGGTATATTAATTTTTAGGTGTTCCTACACCACCCTGATGCTAGTAAAGGAGACTTTAATGATTATGCCCTCGGCGATTCTTGGCCAAAGGTTCCCTGCTCTTAGCGGAAACATTTAACTTAATGATTGTGACGGACCTGGCCAAGTTTCAGGTTTCAGCGATTATTTGCTTTTGCTGTTTCACAATTAATAATTCAACTTCTGCGTTATAAAAAATGAATTGTACGTTCTGGGCGATTCAGCGGGCATCATATCAGTCATTTCCTTCCCAAGTTTCTGAGTGTGGATCTCACTAACAACATATATGTGAATCTTGATTGTTTCAGATCTAACCCGTGAAGTAAAATGCATGTACAGCTGTGACCGAACCAAAGCAGCAAGTAACGGATGGATGAGAATCACCTCTACCAGTTCCGGTGTACATCTTACTTTTTATTACGCTAGAGCCATGATGATTTGAAAAGAATGAGTAGTTCTTCAATTTTCGCTTTCCTCGTCTGGTTTTATCTTACTGTTACAAGGCTAAAGGTTAATCCTTTTTGATCGCTGGATCTTTTCGTTCCAGCCATTGTTTTAATATTTTTACCCTGTATGTACAAACTGAATTTTAAGATCATATTCTTAGATTCTCGAGTTGCAAAAGTGGTAGGTTCTTTGGAACATATACTTGAGATCAGAATCCTTGAAGGAAATGTAAAGACTTCAATTTGACTTTAACAGAACTCGATTCTTTGTTCGCTGAAAAAAGAGAAGCACTAGGAAGAAAATTTCACTTAAATTAAGAAATACACGTTGACATTTTTGCTGAACTGCTGATAATGACGAAATTTTCCTTAAGCTACACTGTTTAAAAACTGCCCGCGTCTCCATTAGAATAGATATGCTTGGAGACAAATTAAAACACATAGAAAATGAACAAGTGTATCTTGCTAAAGTAGCGCGTAGGACCTGGCGATTTTTGTTGACACTAACTTTAAGAACTTTTAACTTGTCTGCAGTGGCCAGGGTCAATGTTTCTGTCAAAAGCGTTTCTTCGTACTGCTGTAATTTTGGTGTTTAACGAGATATTGGATTGTAATTGGAAGCTTTGCTACATTTCCCTGGAAAAATATCATTTGCGGTGTTTGAGGGTAATTACATACATCGAAGAGGAACATCACGAGCATTCAGGTCTTGAGATACGACTCAAGGGGGAATGAAGATTATTATTTTATTTACCATAGCCCATAAACCTATCAGGAAAGAGTAGCTAACTCATAAAAATAGAAGAAAACCCCTTTCGCTTGTTCATACTGTTCTGCTCCCAGCTACTGATTCCAAGCTGGATATTACTCCAAGATCATGATATCAATGCTTTAATTCTTGAATAACTTCATGTGTTTAAAAAAAGTAGGCTTCGTACGTCGCGAAAAACACAAAATACTCGTACATTTATCATTGGATATTATCTGTTCCTCGAAGCGCATAGCTTCCCTAGTGCCTTGCTCTTTGATCGTCCGGGTGAGTGTAGTCCTGAAAAGGACTGTTGTCGGTAGTGGTGACTGAAGTTCGACAACCTGAGCGGAAGTCATCATCAGAGTCAGGATCACATGTTACCCCCCGGACTGAAACCATTTACTTACTAAGTAAACTGTTTTCAGAGCGAAGGTCGATGAGAACCTGGTACAGATCTTCAGTGACAAATATGCCGGAGAGTATTGCAGCCAAAAAACCATCTGTCACACATTTCAACACGCTAATTTGATTTTAGAGTACACTGTTAAGATAGTGGTTGCAAAAGAACTCCTACTTAATTACTGGTTGGAAAGGTAAACAAAAGATAAGAAATTGGCATGACATATTTAAATTTTGGGTTAAAATTTCGCCAAAGGCTCGATGTTTTTACCATCACTTACAGCGCTACATCTCAAATTCAGCATAACGTATGTGAGCAGCATTGACTTGTTAACATAACGATTTCCACCCTCAGACCACTCAACTTTTGTTGATTTGGCGTTGCTATTTTGCAAATGACGGCCAAGGATATTAAAAGCTTAAAACGCACCCCCTAAGCTTTTATTCTGCTGATAAGATCTTTTGTTTTTCCACATACCTTAAGCTGTCGTCGTCATGGTTTGCTGAAGGTCCCGACTAACCGTGGAGATTATAATTGACCTAAAGTCGATGGACGGAAAATAATGGGGACGAAAACGTGATGATGGTAATCTCGAAAAATTTAAAAGCAAAAGGTAAAAATCAACAAAGAAGCCGAAACGAATCGCGGATCCTGAACGTAGAAAAAAAAACCTGGAAAAAAGAAAACAGAATTCTGATCACGGAGAGCAAAAAGAATACGCAATCAATAGGGCAAAATTTCATTCATTTATGATAATAAGAATACAGGAAACATCTTTCGCTCGAAATGTGGCCGCAACGGGCAACATATTTTAGAGCGATTAGAAGGAATTTCGTTCATTGCCCTTGAATTTTTTTTTTTTTAGTTTCCGTGTAAGTGGTAAGTTGTAACTTGTCCCCTTTTTTCTTGCAGCAATGATAAAACGCTCTGTCATCTTGAATTAAGCTTTATACGAAGACTTTCAACGCCCATAGAACGTAAGGTTTCAAATCGGAGAATGTCGCCTTGGGAGAAGGACCGAAAACTCCCAAGTTTAAGCTAGGCCATATTTGGTTACGTGAAGCGCTTAGCCCAATCGGGCGTAAGGGAAGATATCTGGCGTATGAAAGGAATTTTCGAATATTTTTCACATCATTGAAGAAAATGAAAACATCAGTTCCATTTTCGAATGGGTGTAGCAAGGGATCCAGGTGTCATTGTCATTGATCCTTGCTGCGCTGAGTAATTTGTTTGTAAGCCACGCGCAAATAAATATTCACTACTGGGTGTAATTAACTTTTTCTAGTTCTTCCGGCGGATTGCCACGTTCGTTTCTTATCCAGCTAGTAATATCTCGATCCTTGATTGGTCCAGATCTGGCCCGTGAAGGAATATGCAGAACGAGAACCAAAGCAAGAAAATAGTGGTCGCGAACCATAAGACCCAGTTTCTGCTGGAAAGAAAAAAGCGAGGGAAAAGTAGGAAGTATTATGACCTAAGAAAAATCCTATTTTTTGGTACCAGCGGTTGATTCACGTGGGGTGGTTTGATTTTATCAACCAACATAACAGAGACACACAAATGTTCTTACTGTTGAACATTATATGAATATTTGTATGAATGCCATTTCTAATTTCTTTTACTTTGAATTAATTCTTCTGTTTCTTCCGCCAATAAATCTGAAAATTTTCCCTGAATCTAAGATGTGCGAGAAGCTTTAAAATCAAGTTCTGTCAGATCATCTCTTAAATAGAAATCCGGCAATAGCATGAATAACGAAGTAATAATAAAAAAGCGACATGCAAAGTAAAGCGAACAAAGGAATGAATAGCCGAAAAACTGAGAATAAGTAAAAGATTTAGATCAATTTATCAAATGATTAAAGAAACCTTACCAACATTATCTACCCAAGTTCGAACAGTTTATATCCATAAGAGCTGTTATAAGCAGCTTGCATTGACGAAACCACTTGTAGATTACGGCAGATTTCTTGGCACTGCATTATTTTTATTAACTTGGAGTTTTTTAAAACATGCTGGTATCGAAAAAACATCAGATAAGATTAAGGAGTTAAGAGAAGTGTTCACTTTTATTTTCCTTTAAATACTAGACGCGGGATATCTGGATTATAAACATGTTTCTTTAAAAGCACTTTTAGAAAGAGGTGAAGTACTACGTCGGCTAACAGATAAATAACCCTGCTTTTGATTCGCCACGGTGAATTTCGAAAATGTTGTGTCAGTGTTAAACTTCTAGGAGAGCTTGGAATCGAAATGTACGTTTTGGATTTCTTCTGGAAGGATCGATTTTCCATCATCTGCCCCGCGTCCATAATCAGCTAAGGCTAGTCAAAATAAGCTTCCCAAGTGAGCTTGGGCCGTATATTATTCTGCAAAATAAGAAAATTTCAGTATCTGTACCAGCTTCAATTCAACAGCCAACCAAACTCTCATTTATTTTATTTCATTGTACAAAATTACAGGAGAACCCCGAACCGATTAGACACAAGGATTTCATTTGAAGCTTTCCCAAAGGTATCTAAATGCTTCAAAACTTTATTATTAATGGCAGTAATAAAAAATATTCAATAGCCAAAAGACTATCAATCGACATCTGGTCTTAAGATTAGAGCCTTAGCGAGTCAAGAGCTGACCTGATTTTGTCATAACATTGTGTTCTTTGTTTGCGGATGCACTGATTGGGAAGAGAATCTGACCAACGTCAAAGAGAAACCTTTCACTCTCGTACGCTTAGTTCCCTCACTTCAAACTTCTTGATGCCCGTTTGACTGAAAGATCAATTTTTCTTTTCAAGGTGCACTTGTCAGTAACATTTTGAAATGTTCGAGTCTGAAGTTTCGAAATGGTTTCAATGACGCTTATATTTAGAGAGCTTGGTAAGATTTCCTCACATCCCATATTATTCTTAAACAAAGTCGTAGTCCTTAAGGTTGTTTTCGTCATATATTTATATTTTATATTTATCTAAGAACTGTATGAAGAAGGGGCCGTGCGGTGTTCCTAACAGATAACTCTAGACAGATAATGTTAGCAGTTGCAAATGGTTTGGGTGATTACAGCTACTGAAAATGATAAGAAAACTCCATGCAAGAAGGGAATGAAAAAAAGGTTTAAAAACTTGAAAAGACGTTTGTATCAAAATAATGTTTTTTAATTATTCTCATCTGAAAACCAGATGGTCTACAAAGTGCGGAAATGAGATTGTTAAAATCTGCCTCCGGTGGTTTCTGAGATGTGGGGAAGAGTATAAATAAATGAATGAAGAGGGAGTGAATTCAAGAAAAAAATTGATTCTGAAAGACCACCACAAATATTGCCCAAAAATATGTTTAGAGTATGTTGCTCTTCAAGACTAGGTTTACACTAAAGCAGATTTTTTAAATATTCTTGATCAATCCGGAATGTTTTGGTACTGGGTTCGTTTTGCCGATGTAGCAATAGACGAATCCACAACGAGAACATTGCTGTTCGACTACGCGGTCTTCGGAGATTTTGAATCCGGAATTAAAGTAAGAATTTTGCTCCCGAATGCCTTAGAATTAGAACGTTTAGTTGTGTAGACGATTTTAATATGTCAATGTAATATATTCTTTTAGCTTTCCTGTTAACGTTTTTCCTCAAAGCTTTTCTCCCTACCGTATTACAAAAATACCTTTCCTGTCCATATTTCAAGGCTGGTTTGGAACTAAACACTGTGGCTCGTTTTATAAAAGAAGATGCAGCGTGAGCAGCACCACAACGGCAAGGAAGTGAAACAAGTAGTTTATTATTAATACAAAGCTGTCGTTCCAAACTCTTCTGTTTTCTCTGTTGTTTCCTTTATCCAAGAACTGTATGCATAATTAAGAATGGGGTTGTATAGAAATCTTGCCTATTTTTCTGTCAAGACAATTTTAATATTGCAGCAACGTCTCGTTCGCCTCTCACCTGAATGTTTCATCTTCCTTACTCAAACACAGATCCATACAGCTAAGGTAAGTTCAAAACAGACTTTCAGGTGTAATGATACTCACATGAAGAATTGAAATCTCTGAATAAAAAGCTGAGCCGGTAACCATCATCTTGGAAGATGCCGTTTTCGTTTCACTCTCATAATTTTAGAGGTATTAACACATGCCGGAAACATCAAGTTGTAAAAGCAATGCACCTATTCTTGGAATCCTTTTTGGAATTTTTTTGAAAGCGTTACTTCTCATCATTCAAATTCGATTCTACAATTATTTCAACAACCTTTAGGAACATGCATGGAATCAAAAATGGTATCCATATCAATACTCGTTGGTGCCTTGTTTACACTTTACCTTGGGGAGAGCAATCTTCTCGCTAAAGATGTGATACAATGTCCTGCAAGAATCAGTCACAGCACGGCTGTGTTTTGTCCTTTGTTGATGACATATCTTCATCAAGTAATGCAGTTCCAGATTTTGGGTAAAAAGAAAGATTTCCGTATAAGATCATACTTTAATTTCTAATCATAAAACAAAGCCGTTTTCCCGGAGGCATTATCTTGGTCTTCGTCATGTTTTCATCCATCCAAGAACTGTAAGCACGTTATGGGTTTACATCTATATTCTCTTGGTTTACTCACCATGTTAAAAATCAACCATGAAAATATGCACCGCTTCGGTTCGAAATTTCACAACATTTCATCTCACTTATTTTTTAACATACAAAAATGAATGAACGCTGTGCTAATTTGGTTTCATTATTGTTTATTTTCTTGGCAAATAATTGGAACCGTTTGCCTTTCATTCCATATACAGCTATTTTTCTACTTCTACAGCACTGAATAATTTCCACGGTCTAAACATAGAAAATTATTTCTGTCACTTGGATGCTTAAAGTTACACTCGTATGCTAATTTTCATTCGCCTGGGACCAGCAAAGCTTCACTTCCTGAAATAAAGAGAACAATTTTTTATCAGTGGTTTGAAACTGACTCATTGCTCCTCTCGAAGTCATGTTAAGAACGTTTAGGCCTTCCAAATTTCCATAATCTTTCGAAATGAAATTGTCTTTATCTTTCTTTTAATAGAAGTTCGCTGAAGAGCCAAAATCTGCCATTTTTATGAGATTTAATGGCCATATTCTAGAAAACATGTGGAACGCGAACAGTGGACTCCCGATTTTTCGAGCCTCCATGGGAAATGAAAATGATTTGGAGTAATTGGGTTGACTGGGGGAAGGGGAACGATTTTAGTTCGAGTTATCCTAACTCGTTTCGCATTTAGTAATGATTTTTTCTTCAATTCAAGATAGATTTCAATCTATAGCACAAAGTTAGCTTTAATAGCCCGAAACATAAAATTATATAGAATTAAATTGCTAATAAAGTACAACGATAGGGACGTTGATGATTACGATGATTATGATGGTGATGGTGATGGTGATGATGGTGATGGTGATGATGGTGATGGTGGTAATATCAAGTAGTGACGACAGATAGTTACCACTGGGTTAATGACAATCATTTATGGAAGTAGAAGCTTTCTGTGCGGTGGTTTTTCCACTTGGACAAGGTTCGCATTTCGTGGCGCGAAATTTTGGCTGGTACGTTCCAATTGGGCACATCAGACAGTTGATAACTCCAGATTTTTCTTTCTTTGCATACTCTCCTGGCTCACAGATTTCTAAGTGCACAAATTCAAAATAAATATATTGTCTCGCCGGGCCGACATGGCTCCGTCGTGAAAATGCTTCTCTTTGAATCTACTTTTTAAATTGAATTAGGATATTACCATTCCCTTTGGCTAAGGTGACCAGTACTAAGTAATTCAGCAGGTTTAACCCTTAAAATCTGCAATGCCTATTTTAATCGCTGGTACCGTAAGAACACATTGCTTTTTTCTATAAAACATATTCTTTGCTGCGCATTCTTTGGAAATACTTAGTTGGCTTCTGTTCATAGTCAGAGAATTTCAATTAGCAGAATAGAATTGTTCCCCATACCTATTGTGTCTCTGGAATAATTCAGTCTTAAGAAACTGCCCAAAGTTCTAATTAATTACGAGAGGCAACCCTTTCCAGACCCTTCTGGCTAGAGGCAGTTGAAAAACTATCACGAGCTATTACCTACTCTCATGTTATCGTTGGAAGGGTCAATCAAAGAGTGAGGGGTTTTTCGTTTCTTAGTAGAAATTACCATACATTTTTGTCTCTTTTTACTATCCGAAGAGGACAATAAAATTGCAAAACAATATTGAATATTTGTAATATTCAAACTGAACCTGATCTGATCATAAAATCATTCACGTACCAAAACATTCTATGAAACTCTTGGAATGGCCTCCAAAGCTCCATCTTCCTGCTGGGCACGGCTCACACGAAAATTGTCCGGTGCGATTTTGAAAGGATCCTTCCGCACAGTTCTGGCAAGTGTGGGTGTCCTTGTTATAGAACGTACCGGCGTTGCACTCGACTGAGGTTATAAAACACTTAATCAAAACTATAACAAAATTATCAAACGCGATTTGAGCACTAATGGGGTAGTTTACGCGTCATGCTTGTACTGAACAGTGTAATAGAACAGTTAAAGGGACAGTTAACATGTTACGCTCGTGTAAGTGGATAGAACGCGTCAAGTGCGTGCGCTGTTGTCTCGCATTTCGCCGAGTTCACTGATGGTTTTTTTTTTTTTACTTTCGTGTCGTCCAATTCTGTTTGTAATAATTCTAGTGATTAAATTCTGTGAATCACTCTTATGATTACAGACCGAAATGGACTCCACTCGGTCCTAGTACCATTGTCAATATTACTGATAAAGTTCCCTAAACTTACAAAGTACTTCGAGTTTGTGATGCATTTTTAAAATATTAGTTAATAAACGTATCTGAATCGTAAGACTACAGGTTTGCCATCACATAAGAACATTAATGACAGAGGTAATGACTGCAAAGAGCAAAAAGAAATTTAGGGTACCCAACCAAGGTCATTTAAGGTTCATTCATCCCCTCCATTGCCGTAAAATATAGCGGTATGTTGAGCTTTGGATAAGAGCTGAAGGAATTGTCTGGACGATCATTTTTTTTAGGCAATAGAAAGCTTATAAGGCTTTTAATGAATCTAAGGTTTTATGAATCTCTTGCCAACTAAAAATGAAATACTTTTACAATTATCTGAAATCTTCCTCATAGCTTCTCGTAGTGCTAAAAGAAGGATATTTCAAAACCCCAAAACTTCCCGTGTAGCTTATAGCATGAGTACGAAAATGCTTTTTGGTTTGTTACTTACTGCAGACAGTCCTCTCCAATTCTGAGCTATCACCAGGTACAACCTTAATCACTTTACCGGCTGGGCAAGCAGCTGAACTGACAGCTGCTGATATTTGCATTCCGGGCATCTGTGCATCGTTTGCAAAATCCCCCCTCAAATACGATTCCAAACTGTCCAGATCTTTCATTATCTTAGCGATTCTATGAAGAGGTACCAGACGAATCAAATAGATATATTAATAAATCAAATAAAAAATAAAAAAAGGCTGTAATGTGAATATGAAAGTGATCTTCACAGTAATGAATGAAAGATGAGATGAGTGGTGAAAATGAATTTTCCTTCATGTATTCCATTTCATTCGAATGTGATCATAAAGAGAAGGAACAAATGAGTAAATACTTGGGTAGAATAACAAATTTAAAATTGCTCGACAGGAACGGTAGCTCACGGAAAGATTTTATCATTTGATAGGAGACTGACCCTTATACGTGGTTTGGACAGCATGAAGGACTAACATAACGTGGTAGCTTCTTATGTTTAGGAAGCATTCATTCAGAAAATTTTCTAAAAAGACCTAATTGATATAAGTTACCAGAATAAATATTTCTACATACTTAGGGGCTTCTTCCTTCGGATCTGACGAGGCCTTCATATCCTTGATTACAAAATCAAATGTGATGACGCGTTGTCCACCTGCGCTTCTCTTTCTGGAGTTCTGTCCGCAGTACACTTTCACGTTTTCAACCACACAGTCCTGGCCTTGACTGACGTCGCACAAGGCGTAGTTAGCCAGGGGACTATTTTGCACGGCATTCAAGAAGTTCAGGCGAATTCGTGCCAATGCTTCCTGCTCGTTATCTTCGCAAGAACCAGTGTAGAAAGTGAAGTTTTTCTTGGCAGCGTTCACATTTTGTTCAGCTGTTGAAAAATAATTGCAATAAAAGGTCGTCATTAAAGGAAGCGTGGAAGTAATTGTCACAATGGAACCTATCTAGAATAATGTTTATGGATTGTCTCTGTTAGAGGAAGTCTTTTAGAGTCCTTAGCACATGACTCGAAACCTCTTCGTTACAATAAGTGAAATATAACCATGACCAAACCAACGAGGTCTTTCACCAACTACCCTTATAAAATGTTCATGAAGACTGAGAAGTGCATAACTTAAGTCTTTCAAGCACAAGTTCCACAATCCAAAACAATCTATTGAAAATTCAAGTTTCGGCTTTGCCACGCCCTGTAATACATTATTTAAGTATTCAGTCTTTTTATCCTCTGTTCATGCAAGCAGCGACTAAGAGAAAAAGGCGAGATGATGTTAAGGTGCTTATGGTTTAGCTGGAGGAAATGAGGGGACAGAGAGGGACAATCAGAGCGTTGGCAGGGAAATGCTAAAATCATCTCTAGAGTAACTTCAAATTCATTTTGAGACGCCGGAAAACAGCAATCTGTTCACCTGGGGGCTCACACCGTAGTTTCTTTCCTGAGAAATATCGCTTCCATTTTTTCTAAATAGCTGAATATGTATTCTCCAATCTGAAGGCCAAAATACTATTTTCATTATTTTCATTCAAAGGATGAGCTTAGTCTTCTTGTGGACTTCTTGAAAGCAGCCGACTTCCGTTTAAAAGATTGTATGAATATCGTATGTGGAACCAACTAATCCCAATCAAGGCCTGGATCATCAGCCCTTTGTTCGTTCCGTTTGCTCACTGCCCTGAGCTCTAAAGGCGTTAAACGCCCTGGTAGATGAATCAGCACACTAACTTACGCGTCCAATCAGGCCAAAGCGGCTGACCATCCAGGCCTGTACCATCAGCCGACTTTCCTTTCCGCTCCTTCATTTTATATAATCTCTACCTAATTTCCTCTTAAACGCTAAGATAGATTAATCATCAAAATAACTTACGCGAGCAATCAGGCCACGGTCGTTGACCATCGGGTACTGGGATATGCTGTATTCCATAAAAAAGCTTGGTCCACACTCCATCCGATCGACACCAGTAGGTATTTGGTGTTGTTGGATCTGAAAATCCGTATCCCTGTTTACATTGAATCACGCAAATCATTTCATATTTCACACCGTTAGAATCCGTTGTCTTTTTGTTGCAGGCTCGTATTCCATACGCCGGAGCATCATAATACTTGCATGGTACCGCTAATGGAATGGAAAAAAGACAGGTGAATAAGTTCACATAAGGCATTATAGAAGAAAATAATGAATGAATTTAACAATCAAGAAACATATAAGTACATTAGAAAATAAATGACTTCATGAAAAAGAAAAAGCAACAATCATCGCTAGATACGATCTTTAGTTCACTTGCACATAATTTTTCTTAATTACCCTGAAATTTCTCGCTAAATTGTTTAAAACGAATGCAAGCTACCTCTTTAGAGCTGGGAATAATTTATTCACAATCACTTTGTAGTTTCATTAAATCATGATTTCTGTCAAATTGGCGATGACTTTTATAAATATACGGAGGTTTTATTAATCCATATGGATGGTACTAACTCAGCTATTACTCATTGCTTAACCCCTCAAACTTTCTTTTGTCAAATTTGCTAACCTAAAATGTGCCAAGTATACTTTTTCACATTAAAACTTACGGCCAACTTCCACTGTAAATTCACATTTAGCCTTATTTCCTGCCCTGTCGGAGGCCTCGTAAACCACTGGATATATACCCCACGGGAACTCAACTCCCGGATTTCTATTGCTGGAAATTAGAAGCTGAACTGGGGGCTTGTCAAGGTTGTCTTCGAATCTAGGATACTCCCACGTGACCCGCACTGCATTTTCGCTTTCCCTTTTGATGTCGCTCGGACAAAAATCAACACGAGGTCGTTCAGTATCTGTAGGCGAAAAAACATACAAAGGAGGTCGTCAAGAACGCATTTCAGAACCTCTCTGGCTTTTTGAGTCACAATAATTGTTTCTTTGAAAGCAAAACATTTGACGCAGAATTGACGTTTCAGTAACGCAGAAAAGGTAGAACAACAAGAAAGAATCATTGGCGATTGATAAAAAGAAAATTATCTCATTTTATACATTAAGTAAACTCATGTGTTATGATTGACGGCTATAATAACTTTGCTAATTCCTTAGTTGTACTGGCAAAAAATTAAGTTGGTGCATGTCAGAACACTTTTCATCTAAACTGTTGTTAGACACTTGCTTTCTTTTTTCTTAATTTCGTTAATTTCGGTGACACCTTCGATCAGCTTCATACACTATTTATTGTTCGCTTGAATGAGAACCCAACATTTTGCAAGCGGGTAAGATAAACTTTATACAATTACTTAGGGTTAACTACCCCAAGAAAATCACTGACCTGATACTGTTATTTGAAGTGTGCATTTCGATTCCAAACCTGCTGCATCTCTTGCAGTATACACCACTTGGTGAGGTGTTGATTGAGCTATGAAGTCTTTACTTTCAGCACCTACGCTTGTGGTGATCGTCGGCTGCTGACCGCTGTTGTCGCTGGCGGCGGCTTTGGGTAGGCAAACTTTGGCGGTTGCTTTGCCAAGATCAGTAGACACAGAAATCGAACTTGGACAAATAATGGTGGGAGGTCGAACGTCTTGCAATTGCGAATTGAAAAAAAAAAAAAAAAAAAAAAAAAAGAATACAAGAAAATTATCGAAATTCCTGTCATCTATCCAATAACTAATCTCATACGCCAGTAGCTCATTAGCATACGCCTAGAAACTGTAGCAGGTGAAAAAAAAAAAACAGAAGCAAAAACAATTTATGTGATATGCTGAAATGTACACGCCTTTTGATTGGTTCTTACTAATAATATATTAGAGGAAAGGCGGATACATGCAATAGATCACAGAATACGTCAAAATGCAGTAAGAGCATTAGTGACGTATCTACCTGCGCCTCATGAGCCACTTTTTAGCTCTCACCACATTTCCACGTCACTTGTTATCTATAGCTAAACAGACCCACGGCAATTAGGAATTTATTTATTAGATAGCGAAAGGACTGAAAACAACTGCCAACGTGATTCAGTAGGTGTCTCCACAGACCTTTAACCCAACTCGTTCATGCTCGCTATTATAGCACCATACCTTTACAGTATGAATTCCAGGGCGTGGACCACTGACCGTTTCCCTGACATGTGCGCTGGGACGGGCCTTCCAGCTGAAAGCCATTGACAACGTCACATCGAAGGAGACAAACTGACCTGCATACTTGTGGGTTAGCTCGACAATCATCTCGATCCCAGCTCCCGTGTACCGGATTTCCAAGAGCAGGACAAGTGACAACTAAGTGAAGAAAAGGAGATTGTTTTGCGAAAATCTTTGTCGCCTTTCTGAGAAAGAATACTGCCTTAATAACGAAGGATATATATAACGAAGGATATATTTCATTAGAAAACTTCCTTTTGCTGATCTAGCTTGCTCTTAGATGAATATTTAAAGCGAACAATCGATGTTGTTGCTTCCAGTACTAAACCGTACGGAGAAGTGAAGCGATACTTGTGTACTTGTGGCCTTCTTACGGACATCTGGCTGATGTACCCAAAATAGCAATTTAAGGTAATTAACGATCGTCATAAACTTCGTTTTAATTTTTCGACCCTTTCACTCCCAAGATCTCTTTGCAATTCTCCTTATTGTCTGCCATATCATCCTTAGGATATGAGCTTGAATAATTTGGAATTGGCTCAACCCATAATCTCCTAATTGCTATTTTTCGTTATTCTCATCAATGGTCTTCTTGATACAAGGATAAATTCTGTCTTAGTTACTCCTAGGATTTAAAAGGTTACAGAAATTGTAAAGAAACTGTAAATAATGGTTGAAGTTGAAGGTAAATGTCACATACGACTACGGTTTTTCATCCTTGAGCTGAGTTATTACGAACTATAATAGATCAAAAGGTCAGATCAAATAGGAAAACTTTTTCACTTCATTGAACTGAATAAGTAGTGTGTATGTTATATAAACAAAAAGGACATAGGGGAAGGGTAGAATTCAGCACCTTTGGCAATCCGAGGTTAGGTGGACTGACGTGTAAGAGTAGTATTGTACTCTTTTATTTGAAAATGTTAATAATTGACAAGAAGCTTAAAAGTAAAAAGTTGCATTTCCATGACTGGGATTGTGTGGCATAAACGTTTTCACGATAATTTTAAGATTCTCATTTCTCTGATAATTTGCGCAAACCTTACGCATTTTTTCCATAATTTGGTACTTGAAAGATGTTATGTGGCTATGCTAACTATTTTATTTAGTTACAAATTAGAGTTTTGCATCTCTATTCGAAAGTAAACATTATCCAAAAATGGCTCACAATGTAACTTCTGACTCTTACCTTTTTCTCTATCTTCTGATTGAGGAGACGGACAGGACTGTGGTCCAATACCATTGCAATTGTCTTGTCTTTCAGTATATTGCCAAGTAAGACTGTAGCTCCTGGTACGGCGCTGGGAGGCGCAATGTCCACCGACAGGAGATGAAAGATCCGCCCAATTGGTCCATCCACCAAGGGAACAAGTCGCATACTTGCATGAGCCTGGATGAGAGGACAGCAAATGATAATGATAATTATTTTTCAGCTCTTTTCAGGTATTTTTTCTATTTTGTTTATTATTTGTTTAATGATTCTTATTTTTTAAGATTTTTTCACATAGAATCCCGTCCCAGGATCTTGCCTATATTCAGTTAACCTTTTTCGACATGTATTCAATCCTGCTGAGACCAGGCAACGCACAAACATGCGTGGCCATTTCCTAAAATCCATTATGCAGCTTTAAATCTTAGCAAGGGCAGAAGATTGTTCCATTGTAACAATGGAATCTGCTGGGCAGTAAAGACTGAAGTGCAAAATCTCAGGCTCCTTTCCTTGCTCCGGCAGCTTAATTCATCACAATTAAATGTCATCAATCGAGGTATCCATATTAACCCAGTGGCTGGCTCCGATGTGTTAGGGTGCTTTCCTAGAAATTACTTGAAAAACCAAGATACTGCTATATTAACCTACGAACGCCGTATATTTGACTTACACCAGTTTCTGTAGTTGTACTCTCGGTTTCCACAAATGCTTGAGATACCATGGCAGTTGTTGTCCCTAATGTCGTATCTGGTGTGTTGATTGTAGTCGCGATAACGACTCTGACGTTTGCATGTCCCTTGGGGAACCGATCCAGACCAGCCGGACCATGCGTGGAACGGACAGTAATAAGCATTTTTACACGAACCTGCGGAGTAAAATAAAGAGAATGGCAAAAGTTATACATAAACTTCGATGGATAATTCAAGTTGAGCCGAGTTTTCAAGATTACTTAAGATAGCACTTTGCATGGAGATACCGTCTATCGTTTGTGCGTTTTTCTCTCTTGCTTCTTCACCCAGTTAGGAAACTAAGTCGCCCTTAGTATTTACCGTTGCCTATTCACTTTGTCCCAGGTTAGCTTATTTATCCGGCTAATAATGGTCCTTTCTAGTCCACGAGATTAATTTTGTAGTAAGTTAACGCAGCACGAGCGGCCATAAAATATCCAACGAGATTGTACTTAACCAACATGATTCTTTAGAAAATAGGAGTCATCTCTTAAAGTATTCCTTTAACTAGCTTAATTCAACGCATATACGGTGGCATGAATGAAGTTTCCGGCATGGACTAATTCGGACGAAATGAGAGTGTTAAGATCAATTATCAAACAAAAAAAAAGAAAAAGAATGATGTTAATGATAATAGTAATAACAGTAGTGATAATAATGATGTTATTATTATTACTAATATAAAAAAATAATAATTAAATAATAATTATAACTAAAATGATACAATAATAGTGATCAGATTTAATCAGACTGCAACTTTTATATTTCTCTTAATGGAGGTGAGTAAAATTTTTATCTTTACTTTACTGCCATGATAAGAAAAAATACAACTTTTTAAGAAAAGATAATTCCGATTACGATTTTACTTAATTTTTTACTGTAAACAGACGAAGGAAAATTATTATTGACGCAATTTACCTCAGGTTTTACGTTATTCCAAACACAGCCGTTTATGAATCTTTGCGTTTTGCTTCTGGTGTCATTCATTAATCTCACTTGGGTCAACATATCATCTAATTACAAAATTCTAAAGATCTTAAACAAAACTATTATTTTTTTTCAGCCTAAGGGAAATTCGTGTTTTGACTTAATGCAGATTTACGTGGCTCTAGTCAATCAAATTTCATCGGAAAAAAAAATTAGTTTCTTTCTTACAGCCTTGCTGAGTGACACGCCATATCACGGTTATATTTACTTTTGCTTCACAGGTGCAAAATAAAAAATGCATCGAAACTATGCCCTATTTGAAGAAACAGTAAATGGTTGATTTTACTCAAGCAGAATATTACAATGAAATCTTTGCAATGGATTTCCTAAAATAAAGCCACGATATGATATTGATATTAATTTTATCTGTTGCTTGGCTTACTGTTCTTTGCCGTAAAATAATCTATTGAATAGCGATTTATAAACGAGGAATTAGCTTTGAATTTAAAACCTTTCTTTCCCTATACAATTCTAATAGAGTGATCTGTTGGTAAAAAGAGTTGTCTTCGGAGAAAAAAGGACTTCATGTACTCATTCAATATAGAAAACCACAGCAAAATGTTAAAGGCCTCAGGTTTTAAAAAGATAAATTGTCGCCTTTTGGTTCTTTAAACAGATACTATCAGTATATCTATGTGGCCTAAAAACTAATTAAGTCAACGGAATGCGAGTGATCGCTTGGAAATAAAAACTACAAGTAGCACTTCAAAGTATAGATATCAAGAATTTAAACCCAATTCTATTTTACTAATTAGACTAAAAGGTTAAGAAACAATATGAGTTTAGAATTTATGGCCATGAGATCAATGTAAGAACCAACAGAACACAGCAAAAAATACGAGATATTTAGGAATTTTTCAAAGCCTTATGTTCCTAATTCTTAAACATGGTTATATTGATCTCTTAGAGAGAGGGTCTCGATAGGGTTAACTAATGGTCGTAAAACAGCCAAAAAATGTAACCGTTAGGCAACCGAAAAGTTAACACTTTACGAATTACACTTACATAGTGTTCTGTATTGAGTACTCGGACTACAATGCGATGGAGACGGACAAGGAGTCTTGCCATTATGAGTGGTAGTAATATGGTGAGCATTACGATGTTGCCTCCGGCATTGTCCTTGGGGAAGCGAAGGACCCCAATCGTTTCTCCATTGGTGTGCACAAGTGGTCCATGAGCATGGAGATGGCCCTCCGCCGCCGCCACAGGAAAACACAAATTCAAGGGTATTGGCAAGCATAAGAAGCTTCAAGACCTTAGACACCGCCATGGTGTCTTACAGCGCTCAAGACTGCGCAATCACCGAAATATTTTGTTTTCTTATCAGCTTTTGTTTGGATTGACGGACGAATTACAGATACTCGGGTTTATGAATGTACACAGCTGGAATGAGAAATGATGCTATTGTCAACTAACCTTGAAATTACATCTTTAGGAGGCGATTCATTGAAATAATTTTATTCTAAACGAGTTACTTCAAAAGGGTTTAGTGTATCTTGACTAATGGTTGAATAAAATGAATAGGGAGAAAAATCTAAGGGCGGATATCTGTTCTTGTCCTACATAGAAAAGAGCATGTAAGAACTGCTCAGGTAAGGAGGAATATTTCGCCTGCACCTGTCATAGCATTAAGGATGCTTCAGGGATGTAACGTCCTGTTTTAGAATATAGAGATATATAATAGATATCTTTCTGCATGGTACATGAAAGAGGAAGCATCAATCATAGTTATGAAGTAGTATGATTTCGTGAAAGCTTTTGTAATACATAGAGTTTTAAATACTTAGGCAAGCAACCAAAGTTTCCATTCAATCAGTACGTCATTGATGGATTGCAAAGAAGACTCTATAGCGTAATTATATATTTCGAGACCTTAACGTTTTAATAATGGTCGTTCTCCTAGATTTTAAATCTAATTGATTGGGAAAAAGCAATAAGCCACAACGATCAATTTTTTTAATGCATTTACTGAAAATGTGACAACCTCCCAGTAAGTCCTCGAGAACATAGTTGTTTTTGCCGACGTATTTGTTAGCAATGGAGGACGATTGTCAGCGGTGCACTTCACAAGTTCGTGTGAGCGTCCGCGCGTGCATCCCACATATGTTGCATCACACCCTGTTAACGGTTCGTGTTAGCGTCCGCGCGTGCATCCTACATATGTTGCATCACACCCTGTTAACGAATTGTAATCCATGTATTTAAAAGTAAGATTTTGACTTAATTCAGGAACTTGGGTCGGATTATTTACCTCACTTTCAGAGGTCTTTAAGTTTTTTTCGAGCCGTCGTGATCCTTGAGGATCGACAAAGACTGCTGGTCAGGGAACTTTGTTCCATGTTTGGCCTTGAGCCTTTATTTTGAAACAGCGAAATTTTAAAGCGTAGACGGTTGTGCGGTCTCCAAAGATAGACAGCCTTCTGTTTCATCATTGAATTGATCAGCTGTTCAGGGTATAATTTATTCTTGGGAAGAATCTCTCCATTCAGTCACCGCGGCGCTTCCTTTAAGGAATGAAGCACAGAAAAAGACGATGGTGAAGGGCTATCAAGCTTAGTGTTCAATACGCATCGTTTGCGGCGATTTTGAACGATACCTTGATAATGCAACAATAAGCCAGTGTTGGTAGGCTTCACGTAGATGTTGATCTCTTTTATGAGGCGATCGACTGGATAGCTAGAGACCAATTAAGGGTAGTATGCCATTTCTTCCAACTCCCTCGGTAACTACAACTGAAAGGTGAGCTTTTAGTGGAATGATAGCTAAGAAAGTAGTTGATGTTGCTTCGTCCGGCAGTAACACACCGGTGGCGGAAATTTCATTCTTATACCCGGCCTTCTTTAGTAGAAAATGGGTAGTTTTTTTCGTGCTGATGGTTTTCTTCCGTCAATGGTAGACATTAATAGGTTACTAATAGTGCGTGCGAGGAACCCGTAGCAACACCGTTAATCTTTCCGTAGAAGGTGAACTTGATTTGAAAAAGAAGCCATATTTAGGATCTTTTGAGGTTTAAGCTGTATCTTGTGTTGAGCCAATTGTTGATGAAAGCTCGCTTAGCGAGGAGCTTCGGTGTTTAGTCCGAAGGTAGGTCAGTGAACATGGTGGAAACCACTGCTACAACACAGCCGGACCAGTTAACAAACCAGACTTAAACTTACTAACTGAACAATCCCGTCTTTTCATTCAAATAATTTATACTTGTTTTCTCGTCACCATATTCCCACCAATAGCATAGCTTCATTTTCTGCATATAAACCCACACACAACCCACAATTCCTCCAATCGCTCAGCCTTCAACTCAGTTGTTAACTCTAATTTACCTGTTATACTCACCCACCGACGCCGCACCACAGTTTCTGTAGAAACTTACCACCTCCCCTCAATTTCTCGTCTAAGACTAGGATGAATACTCCCTCTCTGGGTATCGAAAGACTCCGTCAATATGACTGAACACAGATTGTTAACGTTCCTTCATTTCTCTGAGTTAAACGTAAGTTTTTGAGATGCGGAACAGTGCCCTTGGCTACAACACCTTACTAAGGCTTAGCCGTAGACAACGTTTATCAAAATCTGCATTTTTGTTTTTTCTCGAAAACTTCGTAATTATTAGGCTCTCGTTGTGACAGTGCAATAAGTATATATATCATAGACTTTTCTTAGCTTTGAAATATCATTTCGTAAGGGATAGAAAGCTCACTTACACTTTGTCCTTTTCTGTGATAAAGAGAAACAAGGAATCTTAGGAGGACAATAGAAACTTCCGTGATGAGTTGTATAGGAATAGTGCGCAGAGCGTTTTTGTGTAATGCAATCGCCCGGTGGAATGTTTGATGGACTCCAGTCGTTTCTCCACTCGTATCCATTACAGGTTTTCCAAGAACATGGTCTAGTAGGCATATAAGCAATAGCGAGGCTGTTACCAAGAAAAATCAGGCTAAGAGCTTGTAAAAGAGACATTGCGCTTTTGAAGAGGTTCCTATCCCAACTCAAAGATATTATGGCCGGGTGGTGAACAATGAAATGCAACGTAGCAAAGTCTTCATGATAAATTAGGACGTATGGGCAATTCAGTGTTTCAGAGTTTACCCAGCTGACGCAAAATACTGAATCCATGAATAGGATATTTACTCTTCTTGACTTTTATGCAGTCTATGCAGGCTAGGGATACAACGAGTTCAAAAATACTGTATAGTTGATTATAACGTTTTTTTCCAATCGACGGCGCACGAACTGGATTTAAAACAGTTTTGGTTAACTAATGTTGACCTGATTGTAAGATATTTGCTAATTACCCTTACAACATGAGAAATTTGGCGTCATCACTTAGTAGAGAGGTAAATTTAAGAGATTGATTCATTCTCAATTGGGGTCAATTAAGAATGTTTATCTTGTGCTTTAGCACTTCTTCATTTTCCTCATTTGCATGAATAAACTGCTCTTACGTCTCCTACCAAAACCTCAACACAGTACGATTTTCTTAAGGAAGAAAAAAAGAGCTCTAACAATAATGATTTCCATGCTGTTTTCGAAACTTTGTCAAACTGAGTAGACTAGGCTGTTGCGGAAACTTAACCGGAAACCTGTTAGATTTACACAAAAAAAATCATAAAATTATGTAAGTCTTTGTCTTGCTAACATAATTTTAATTACTTATAGGTTGCACTTTTTGATGTAACAGTCGCCTCCGGGCTGATTCTTTTTCGGAGAATTGTGTGCTCATTTTGGTAAGTCTTGGTTTGAAAAATTTCCGTATGATCTTGTGCTGTTCCAAACGAAACATTACTCCCAGGGGTGAACTATTGTTTTAGTCGTTGTCTTTCTTTATCAATGAAATGTATGCTCTCTGAGGTATGGGGTTTTATTACCATCTAATAAGTACAAGAAAATTTCGGTGACCGTATTTTTTGAATATTTAAGTCAATTTCAAAAAAACGAATATTCGTAATAAGTTTTGGAGTGTATTGTTGTTTAAAACAACTAATAAGGTATAAATCATCAGACAGATACAAACACTATTAAGACTATCTCTAAATAACAACAAGAGATTATGTTTGCTGGGGCCTGTTACGCTTGGCGAAAATAAATGCGACACAACAACTTGTAGGCGTCCAGATACCTTGTGTTCTCGTAAACAACGATGTTTGCACGAGGATCTATCCAGCGACGATTCGAAGTTATTGCTTCTTACAGGATAGCCTCAAAATCCTTAGCTATAAAATAAACTTGACAAAAAAAGGCGAAGAAAAATTGCAAACGACTCTCAACCAATTCACAAGGCATGGGAAACTGTGCCCAAGGTATATTGTCAGCGGCGTTATAGACAGTAGTTAAATTAAACGAATCGTACAATATTATAATCTCTTGATAACAAGTAATCCAGTTAGCCTTCCTTAAAGAGATATCTTCTTCAACTACTGTTGGAGAGCATAATCCCTGAACCTTAACTTAACCTGAGCACTCTACTGACTTCAGTCACCGCTGACACAAACTCACAGTTAATTCTGCCATCATAAAATCCGTTTTTAAATCTCACAGCAAAGATTTACGACCATAATATCTCCTTACAGCCTCTCCAAACGGTAGGTATATACGTACCGACGACAACCAATAGAAATCAAGTAAAAATTTAAAAAAAGCCTGCCGAAAAAAAAAAAACAAACAAAAATAAACCAAAAAAAAAGTCGAGTGAATTACATAATTATTCTTCGTAACTATTCATTTGTTATTTTCTCAACTCCACAATTACTCCACACTTATCAACAATAGAAGTTGATTCGGAGTTTTGGAAATTCATTCTCTTTGTACTCCAGCCGCAGTATTATGAAACCATGATTTCGGTCCAGTATTGTCACATCTACATGGTTATAATACAACTTGGAATAATCTAGAAGTTACATCGTTATAGGTACTCTCCATAAAACCAAAAGAAAAAAATCCCTCACGTTGGTATCGATAGTAAATTAAACATATCTCCTAAATATTTGTTTCCCTTATTTTTTTCTGCAAAACAGTTTGACCTTTAAGAAAAACTGACATAAAAAATTATCAAAGAGAACGCTTGGTTACTTTGATAAAATACACTGCACATGTACACCCGCAAACAAAACAAAGCAAAAAAAAAAACAAAACAAAACAAAAAGGAAAACAAAAAACAAAAAACTTAAAAATCCAAACTAACAAAACAAATGAGTACAAAACTAAATAAATAAACAAACGAAAAGAAAAATTTCTGCTCGAGCATATTTTATCCTTGGTTATTACAAGAGGTTACGATTCATGAAAACCATCGCCCCTTTCAATGAACTGGTATTATTACATTAATTGCAAGTGACAAAACTGGAATTTATTGGCATGAATTAAACATTTAGCCCAGAAATCTGTTAACGAACTAGACTTCACCCAATCGACGGTCAAATTTCTTCTCTTTGTACCTTGATGACGACTTTTACTGTCTCGTGTTAGCGCAAAGTCAGGCCTAAAATTAATTTTACTGATACCGAACACAAATAAAAATATGAACTAAGAATATAGCCACCTGTAATCCCTACGTGCTCAACGTATTTCCACCAGAAGAGAAGTTAAGATGTTTTCCCGAAAAATTAACCTTCCCATAAGATAGGGAAAGCAGAATTGAACAATCATCATCATAGTCTAGATAATGCATATTGAAGAAATCAGCTCAATCTTCGTCTACTCCAATACTTTTAAAGAAATGCTGTCCGAAAACGTGCAAAAGCTGTCTGAAAAATGCAAATGTCAATGCCGGATTAATATTGAATTACGATTTCTAAGTAGAGGGTGATTTTGGATGCTGGTGCAAATTTCTTGAGTAATTCAACACTTTGCGATTCTGAAGCAAGGTGTGTTTTGTTCGATGACGATCATCCGCTCTTCTGGAAATCTAACGCATGAAAGTTTGATGATTAGCGCACGTTCGAATTGAGGCGAAAAGAGGCAGTTGTGTTTAAGAACTGTGAAATTCAAACCAAGTCATCACCTCTTTCTTTTAATTTGAAGAGTATGAAATTTCACTTTAACAAAAAATTCGCCATCGGGGAAAATGTCCTTTTTGACAATTTTTGTGAAATTGGCCCATAAAACAAACTGATATTCACGTCAATTTTATACTGTAAAAGTGGATCATTTCTAAACACGAAGGTACACACTGTAAAGTACTTACATATACTTCTCTTCTGATCGAGATTTGCACAAGGAACCGTAGGAGGACATATGAGATTGCCTTTCAACTCAGTGTAAGAATGGTGTGCTTTGCGATTTTGCGTTATACATTTCCCCTGTGGAATACTTGTTGGGCTCCAGTCGTTTTTCCATTCGTGCCCTTTACACACTTTCCAAGAACACGGCCTTCGAATTACTCTGGTGATTTTTTTGAAGAAAGCATGAGTGAGGCTGTTTCCGAGCACAAGCACGACCAACACTTTTAAAGGATCCATTACGATTTATCTGGCAGAGCTTCTTATTTTGACTACAAAATTTTCCGTGACTAATGAACAAAGAAATCAGTTGGCGTCGCGCGTGCATGACGTACGCAAGATACATCTCTCTTCACGTGATTCAGCATTTCAGAGTTTAAACAGCTGATGCGGAGGATTAATTTGGTTTTCCTCTTTGCCGTTGCCTTTTTCTTCTCGCTGAATCGTTTAGTCTTACATTCTATCATGATATTGCAGTCTATACTTATATGCTAACATCGGAAGGTTAATGAAAAGGATTTTTATGTTGTCGTAGAAAAAAGCTCATAATTTGTTTAAATAAGTATTTCAGTGAGTAAATAAGTCACGTCTACTGCAGTACCTTGTTTTAAATTGGGAACAAAAAATGAGAATTCATCTTTTATTTTTAGCTCTCTCCAAATGTCGATATAGCTAAAGTTAGCCTTAAAGTTTCCTAAGTAATCTTATGTGACAAAAATGATAACAACTTTTTGAGAATATCTGTTTTTTTTAAACCATTGCCAAGGAAACAAAGCAGAGAGCGCGGAAGCCACGCTCTAACAAAGGATTGGTGAGTAAGTGCGTGATATTGAGGTTATTATTTTTTTCTTTAATTAAATGTTCACTGATAGTAGAGTGAAAGTCTAAAGTCTTTTGTAATTCGACATTGTATAAAATCGGTGAAAGTCAAACGATAAACCCTTATCATTTAATTTTTTCGATAAAATCCTGCCGAACAGCTGAGGAAACGTTCGGCGTTTTATAAGTACAGTTTTTATGTTATAGTAAAATATTAAGTGAGAACAAGTGAACAAATTATATCTCATTTTACAAACACATTACGATTTACGAGAAAAGTAGTTTTCTGATGCTTCTTTCCTCTATCAGTGATTTTGAGTCACGTATTGTCATGTTGTGTCTACTAATACTCTCATTTAGTGGTCACACATTAAAATGATGCATTACTTACACACGGTCCTTTTCTACATCTAGGGAAAATATTTAACTGGTGGAGGACATACCTAGGCAAACTTGATCTTAAGAGATTTATATGAATGATGTGCATTACGCTGTTGTTTTATGCACTTTCCTTGAGAGACCCTAGGGCTCTAGTCATCTTTCTATTCATAGCCACGGCACATTTTTCATGTGCAAGATTTCTTGTTCGGGAGCAAGACGGTTCCAAGGGTGTCTCCGAGAACGAGAACGCTTATTCAATTAAAAAATGCCATATGTCTATTATCCATTATTGGTTTTAAGTCAATGCCAGAAATTCACTAATTCGTATCAACAGGTTGTAATGTCACTGAAATGACCAAAAGAGTGGTTCCCATGGAGATTTTGAAGAACGAATTTATACTTTGAAGAGTTTGCCTTATCCGAAGGTTGTCCAATTTCTTCAGTAATAAACTTATTTCGATGATTAACTACAGAAGCCTGTATAGTGATCGAGATTTACATATTTCGAGTAACGTAAATCATCTAATCGCAGACAACGTGAATGGTTCATAATGACATGATGATGACATGGCACTGTACCTGATCGACTACTCTTCACCTAATATTAAGTAAACGTATGAAGCAATAGATTATTTCATAAGGTTAAATCACCACATTTAGTATAGTAAAAATATAATGACGCATAATCTTTACAAGAAAAAAGTAACATAAGAACATGGATGGAAAATTGCAAATTCTAGGAAATCATCTAGTAACTGTATCAGTTTGGATATCGCGACTCCTTTTTGATAGAAAAAAAAACTTACGGCTTAGAGGAATCAAACTTGCCCTTGCTCTTCGAGGCAAAAAAGTTAGCGAAAGTAGCGGCCTCTTTAGAACTTTAAATATATCAAAAGTAATCCGTCAGAAGAAGTAAAAAATTATTCGTCTATAAATTTTTCCTCAGAGGAAACTGGTGGCAAACATCATAAGTCGGTACACTTTTCAGCGATAGCGAAATGGAGCAGGTCATACCTAGCTGATGACCTGTGTATCATGTCTTTCAATATATGCAAGTTAGCACTACAGGTAGCCTATTAGTGACTTTACAGGTCAAACTAAAGCTTTGGTTACCGTTCATCCTATGGAAACATAGCATTATTTATTCATCGCAGACGAATTTTGAAAGTGACAATCTTCATGTGCACGGTGAAGAGTTTGTTTTTCGAACGTAACATTTTGAAAGCTCACTCAGTTTCCTGGGACAACAGATCCAAATGATCTTCGCTCTATGTGTTTCACTTTTCCAGCTTGTTCTGGTGGCAACCGGTGACGCTGGTAACAAACTTGGTAAGATGAAATACCTCTTAGTGATTTTTCTGTTTTCGACTGCTAGGCCGTAAACTCCTTTGTTGTTTCAAGCCTTGTATTTTCGAGAACAAGCTGCTTCAAGCTAGTTCAAGCCAGTTCCGTTTCTGAAAGACATACAAATAGATCTTTGAAAAACCTTCAAGTGTGTTTATTTCTTAAAATGGCCTAAAGATTTTCATATCTTTTAAGTCCATTTTCCCGTTATATGCCTGGTGACCAGGCCTGTAGCAGGTCTCTTCTCTTAAGTGTCAAGGTCATATTTCAAAGTTCGTTAATCGTTGCAAAAATGTTTTTTATCTTAAAGGTTACGATAGCCTGGGTTGTTGGAATCTTCCAGAAAATGACACGTCAAAAGTAATGAGTTTAGAGGGTCATCATAGCGGATTAGAAGGACTATACTGGGACAGGTGATAAATTCTAACCTATTTTCTGGAATCCTTGTTGACGTGTCTCCTTAATTGAAGGGTTTTTACTTCTTTGTGCTTTGTAAGCGATGTTGAAGAATCATTCCATCGCCCCAACAAATAAAATAAAAACTGCCTTGAAATAACTATTTCCGCGCTTGAAACGGTTACACGCATTACTTTGATTTTAAATTTGTAACCTGTGATGTCAAGCGGACATAGCATGCCAGCAAGAGTTATCTGAGTGATGTCTACGGGTCTTTTCAAAACGGTCAGTCGTGAAGTGTTTTATCAGGTACACAACGTGTCTATTGCAAAACGCAATGACTGCAATTTGGTTCTTCGTAATTTTTTCAACAGCTAGAGTCACTGTCTCCTGGTTTAATGTTGAACATACTGCAAATTTAGGTCATTGCAGATAATTTGTAAACAAACAAAAGGGCACAAACTGCCAACTGACATCATCTCTGAAAAGAAAAGAGTATATGGAAATATTTTTTACATTACAGTAATATTCAGTCTCTTGCAAATATAAATAAACGATAATCTCAAGAAAAATTCTAGCCCTGGCGTCAAAAGTCCTTAGGAAGACTTAATCGTTGGTCAAATTACTTGGTCAGCTGGTCATTGCGCTCTTTTCTCTCCAGAGTTGATTCCGTTACAAAATGTGCCGAAGTCGCGCAGGACAAAGAATACAGATATTTCGCAGTTCGTAATGGCGGCGAATGTGTGGCGGGTCCCAGGCTTCAAGAGAGTTTTAAAGAGCATGGAGAGTCGCTGGAATGTTTTGAAGGAGAAGGAGGCCACGAAGCTATTAACGTCTACAAAATAAGAGGTTGATGTGAATAAAACGAAGCAAAACAAAAACAAGAACATAATAATAAATAAAATAGAAGAAACGTACCGATTACGAAGCACCGAGCCTGCTTGGAAATTGCATCATATTCAAAGCACATAGGAAACTTTAGGATCTAATGAGAATATTAGTTTACATCTTTTTCATAGTATCATTGACTTAACCTTAAACAAGTGCGGCAGAAGACCAGCAAAGGACTAATTCCTTTCATTGATTGAAAAAAAATGGTCATTTTGCAATAAAACTGTTTTTTTTAAATAAAAAATATGTTAAGACTTGCTTTGCTTTGTTCACTTATTTTATTGCTTGTTTTTTCTGTCTTTTACAGGGAAAATCGCTTCAGCAGAGGACTTTGAGGGTGATATTCTTCTAACCAAGTTGCAGAGAGCCATGACAAGTCCTTTCCATCAAGACGTAGCGGCTGCCGACGTGTGGGAGAAAGCAAGTTTTCTCTGGCCAGAGAGAACTGTGCCCTATTACATTCCATCTGACCTCGGTGAGAACGGAACAGTAAAAAATAAATGATATACTAGCTTAAGTGTGAGTTCTTCCTCTCATGTAAAAATTCGTCGTGTTCACATCACCATTTACAACGAAGATCAATTCATATAATAACAGGCTATTTTCCAGGATACGTGAGTTGCATCGATTTCTCGACTTATTCTCCGTCCAGTGCTATCATTAAAGTGCACAATGACGATGTCCACATACCCTGTGAGCCTATTAATTGCGCATAAATGTCATTATACTTTAACAAAGGTTGGGGTCTCACGGTAATTTCGACCTCAGCTTTTTGATGAGGCCGGTAAATATCAACCGGTATGCTTCATCTCAGGTTTTTTTGGCTATCTTTCACAGATTGACATCATCTGATAGCCTTATCCTTAAAATTTTTGTTTTAAATGGTCAACAGTTGGACATAATTTAGCTGATAGATTTCACCACGGTATACGACACTGGCTTGAACAGACCTGCGTCAAGTTCGTTCCAAAGAAAGCTGGTCACAGAGACTGGGTGGAGTTATACAGGGAGAAGGACCCTCGGAGCCGTAGGTAGCTGAAGCATTTTAAAGACCTCGTTAGGATTATGAAAGAACTCACTCTAGATTTTTAAACGCGAAGGCAAATACTGTTCTACCGTTTGAATAATTAGGAAATTGTAAGACGTGTGTGGAAAGAAAATGATATCCAATTGATTTTTTTATGCAGATGCGCATCTTCTATTGGTCGAATTGGTAGTTACCAACCAATTAAGTTGGGAGATCATTGCCCACCTGGCAGTGTCATTCATGAAGTGGGACACGCCCTTGGCTTATGGCACACCCAGTCTAGACCCGACAGAGACAAATACGTACAAATACTTTGGGATAATATTCTACCAGGTAGGATATAAATTGAATTTAAGGTTCCTAACCAACCAAACATTATTGCAAGTGACTAATAATCAACTATCAAACAAACAAGGAAAAGTACCAATAAAAAAAGCAACAGGATTCCCTTTTTCAAGGACCCAAAAATCTTGGTTATTTTTTTATTTTTATCTCGCTCGTGCAGGTAGATCAGACCAATTCAAGAAGTATTACCATGGCTCCCAGGACACGTTAAAGGTCAAATACGATTACATGAGTATTATGCACTACGGAAAAGATTACTTTGCAAAGCTGAACCATAACCGAAGATATTACCTGACTACAATAAAGACCAAGGATCCAAAGTATCAGGACAAGATTGGCCAAAGAAAATGTCCCACAACAAGTGATATCTTGATGATTAATACCATGTATGGATGTCCAGGTTAGTAACGTAACTAATATGTTACTGCGTCTCAATATTTCAAAATTGTTTACATTCGTCAGGTTATTATGCCATATATAACGTAGATATTTCAGTAATACCTATGCCATAAATCACTGGACGGGTCCTAACTAAGTTTTCAAACGCTCCTTTGTGGCATGGAAGGGCAAAGGAGTAACAACGGGAACAACCAAAGTGGTTAGAACTAGGAACAACTTTTGTGTTGGTATCAAAAGGTTTGGTTTCTTATGCTTATCACATGTAATTTCTTATCTCTGTAACTCCAAAAGATTATCCATACATGTGGCACACGGGAAAATGGGATGACTGCTCTATTCCATGTGGCTCCGGCAATCAGACGAGAGACGTGTATTGTGCCAAGAGTGACGGGAATCGAACATCCTCAGAATATTGCAGTGAAACGAAGTTACCGGCAAAATATCGCAGATGTTACGGAAAACAGTGTGGTAACTTTTATATTTTACTTCTCATTTGTAACATATTCATTAAATGAATGAATTAAGAGAGACTAATGAAGTGGGTGAGTAAAAAAATGAGGATGAATGGATGATTGGGTAAATGGATGGTTGTATGGACGGATGGATGAATGATGGATGGCTGGATGGATGAACGCTTGGTTGAACAGATTGGTTGACAGAGAGAGGGCAGATCGGGTGGGGGGATTGATGGATTGATCTATGGATTGGTGAATTGAAAGATGGTTTTCGGTCAAGTTCAAATGCAGCTGTTGCTAATTTTTAGGCAAATCCTTAAATGATTATAACAACTTAAGGACTACATGCCTCTTAAGTAAATAACTAATAGGAAAAAAAATTGAGTTGAGGAGAATTTTTGATGAATTTATCCATTAACTGAGACACCAATACTTTTTAACAGAGTAGGAAAGTAGTTTTTAGCCAGCAGTAAATGAGTTTGAATCGGCTGGCCAGGCAATTTATCATCTGAGTAGGTCCCACGGTTAGTCAGTGAGTCAGTTATGGACCCTCTGGCAAACAACCATTAGTTACCTATTCACTAGGCAAGTAGACACCCTTACGCTATTATGTTGTTTTATGTATTCATCCACACAAATTCACTTGGTTGTCATGATTTGTCGATTATCCCTTTTTCTACAGATTCCTGTCCAAAGGGCTGGATTTCTTATCACGATGCCTGTTATCAAATAAACTTGGCCAGAACAAGTCTGCAGGACGCAAGTGATAAATGTTTAGATCAAGGGGCAGGGATCCTAACATTGAGAAGTACAGAGGAAGAAACTTTTTTGAGAGCAGAACTGGAGAAAAAGCAGCTTAACAATATATTTTATTGGCTAGGTAAAAAAAAAATAGTCATAGAAGGATTTCAATTACGTTTAGACCACAGAGTTATTTATGGAAATGATGTATCTGCTGGCTTTAGTAAATATATTTAAGCGAGGTCGATGGCGATCTGAAAAAAGGGGAAGGAGAAAAAACAATAAAACCAAAAATTTGTGCAACTCAGACAAACACAAGAAATAGAAGCGGAAGACTGATAAAGCGCAAATAAGACGATTAGTTAAAACAAAACACGAAGACTGACAGAAAATAATACGAATGATTGCTTGATAGTTGTTGTAAATCATCTGTTCAAAACAGCCCACCACGTACAAGTCTATGTGAAAAATAAAATTTATTCATTTAATTTCGTTTTCTACACACAGGTGCAAAGTACAGCCCTAGTAGAGGCAATTTCATCTGGCCTGATGATACAGATGTCGTTTACTCTGCTTGGAATCCAGGAGAGCCTCGCTTTGGATTGGACTGTACCCTGATGCTAAACCGAAAAGGCTGGGGCTGTGATCGATGTGATATGGATCGCAGCTATATTTGTAAGAAAGGTATGTCACACCAGTATTGTGCGTTATGAATTAAAGGCTGTCTGATTTTTTCGCTTGATACAAAGCATAAATTCACCATCATCGAGAACGCCACGATAAGAGATCTTTTATGCGCAAAACGAAGGGAACCCTCCGAGCTATCTTTCCTTCTTATTCTTATTATTACACGCACGATACTATCGTTCATGAGCCCTCGGATGAGGTAACGGATGAAGCTTTCTTCCACTCACTGCCGTGGTTTACTCTTCTACTTCATTTCTTCCTTACGCTCTTTGCTCTCATGGTCTATTCCCGCTACGTATATTTGTTTCCCTTCCTAAGCCCCAAATACCGATGGCAAAATATTTATGGTGGACCACAATTGACCCACCGTCCTCTATCTCCTGTTATGGATGAGTACGTTTACTCTAATATGAAGGAAACTTGGTAACGAATTCTTAGTCTCCATAATACTACAGAGGTAAATTTGACAGCTGTCTACATATCAAACAAAAATAAAATTGTTATGCATAACTAATGATTCACTCATTCTCGTCATACAGAACTAAAAAATTACAAAAGGAGCGAAGTGGAGATAAAGAAAGAGAAGAAGGAAAACTATCAGTGGCGTGCAGAAGAATGGGGTGATTGTTCTGTCTCCTGCGGTGGAGGGAAACGAAATAGAAAGACCCTGTGTTTTGGAGTGGACGAACAGAATGAGGTGGACGAATCTTTTTGCGAGGGTAAGGCTATTTCTTATCATATCTGACTATGTACCAGGATTAAAAGTTGTATATTTACGGTCATGGCAGCAATGGCAAAGTAGGTGTCAAACTGAAAAAATAACTTTCAGAGCAAAAACCGTTTATAAAAGAAAAGTTTTTATGATTTGTTCTCATCAAGGATCGATCTAAATATGCGAGGCAAAAAATTCCCTATAACAAGAGTTTTGCAAAAAAACGATCACGGTAATTTGCGCAATTTTTGATGATCAGCTCTCTTAAAAATGGACCGACCTTTGCGCACTGAGGGCAATTTCGCTCAGAAAAAAATATTTTGCAATATTTCGAAAAAGCAAGGTTTTTTTTTATTACTTTTAGACTAAGACAGATTTATGGGCAAAATGTGAAAGAAATCGATCCTTTGGAACCGAAATGCGACGAACCGCTTATAGAGAAAGATTGCGTCTTAAAATATATCCATACTTTGTAGAGAATCCACCGCCTTTAGCGTGGGAAGACTGCAGCGTTAACTCATGCCCCACTCAATACAAATGGCACGTAGAGGATTGGGGGGATTGCAGCAAAAGCTGTGGAGGTGGAATTCAGCGGCGAAAGAAGATTTGTGCTGGGAAGGATATGATTTCTACCTCCTGGAAACTGTGTAAAGAAGAGCCTCCAATCACCAGAAAGAGGTATGGAAATGACAATTTAGTTATATCTTTATTGTAAAAATTAAGATTGATAATAACCAAATCTGTGGAAAATTTTTATTGATTGAATGATTGCATCACTCTGATTGTTCTTGGACACATTTATTTTGGAAAGAAGTTTCGCTCGGTGAACTTGTGTTAAATGATGTAGAAAGGAATTATTAGACCCGAACTTCTTTGATTATCATAGAGATCTAAGCCTGTATATTATACAGAAAGTTAATTTCTCTCCAATTTGTCATTTTTATTACAAGATAATTTTCAAGAATTTGTTATGGAGATTATGCTTAGGTGCATCCTTTTCTTTTCATTAAATTAGGTGCAACACTAATTCTTGTCCAAGAAGAAACACCAATGTTTCAGTGGCACCCGTTTGGAGGGTGAGTAAAAATAAAGAAAAATATACGCCCCTTTTCAAAAACGTCGCAATTTGAAAAAAAAATGAAATATATACGCCTTTTGATCTCTTATCAAACAAGTGTCTTTTTTTGATGAGAAAACAAAAGATATATAATACGTATTCATATATATATATATATATATCAAAAAGCAAAGCCTTGACTGTGATCTATTCTGTTATAAAGCACAAAGGAAACGGCTAGATCAGGAAATAAATGTGGAGTGTTTCTCCCCACTTCTTGACTCAGGAACAGAATTGGCTAGTTGCAACATTAAACTTGTAGTCGAAGGACCTACTGATCGCGTTTTGAATACGAATCCATAAAAGTTCGCGTGTTTCGTTCGTCATTCGAAATTCCATAGGAAAGATACTTCCCGCCCGTTGCATTTTGAAAGAACTTTCGACTAACATTTCTTCTTTAAAGGTGAGCTCGTGGAGCAGATGCTCCAGGACTTGTGGGCATGGTCATCAGATAAGAAGAGTGTTTTGTTCCAAGAGTGACAACAAGCCACTGAATGAGACAGCTTGCGCTGGGCGAGCAAAGCCTCTTTCTTTACGACGATGCTCTGCTACGAATTGCAGTCTAAAGAAAGGTATAATCTCACTTTAAAATTGGCTTCTGAGTGTATCGCTTTCTTTGTGAATGTGCATATAGTTAATGATTAATGTAATATAGTTATAGTTGTAATATATAGTTAATGATTGGTAAACAGCAGAGTGGGAAAGAGGAATTTTCAAATGCCACCGTGGATTCATCCAAAATCTTAGTCGGGGTAAGCCTGCTTTAGACCCTCGCTATTCAAAATACTTTTCACACTATTAAACACACCCTGAGAGATGAACTGAAATGGTCTGGGCTATTCCTTGTTTTATCTTATTGATCATTTGGTATAATCTCTGAATTTCTTGAACAAAGCTCGAGTTTGCTCTGATGGTCATGTGATGTGCAAGATTTGGGCAAAGCAGGGAAGCTGCAAGACAAGCAAGTGGGTTCGGACAAAGTGCCGCCGCAAATGCCATACATGCTGATCATCTGGATCTCAAGAGCGTATGACAATGTATTGAGAGCGTTGGCTCACTAAATCGAAATAATCCACCATAAGTGAGACTGTAATCTCAGAGGTCCTCTGTTATACTACTATGGACCCATTGCCGGGTAAACGCATGCAAGATATCGTAATTCTGCTAAGAACTAATTGTTCGGGTCAGCGAAATGTGGCTGCTTGGGGTACTTAATATGGGCAGAAGATAGTTCTATTTGATATACTAGAGCAGTTTTATATGACATCGCATTAAGTTGTAAGTCAATCACGATGATTATATTTTCATATAACTGAGTCACAAGGATTAAAACATTCCTTCTGATTTTAGAGCTAAAAATATACATATCTGAATACCGTCGACTGTTCAAATAATTCAAAGATTCTTAAATACACTATATAAATATTTATCAGGCTACCAATTCATCAATTATTGCCCAGTGATAAGTTTCTGCTTCAAAGCTCCTGTTAGCAGACTAAAGTATGTTAGAAATTGAGCGATCTAAGCAAAGAAATCAATCCTCCATATTAGTTAAGGAAAACTGTTTTGTCATTACCTTTCTCCGCCCTTATTAGAACGATCAAACTTTCGAAATATAACTCGGTGATATAACGGAAGAAAACGGAGTAATAATTTACTTTTTTGACGTACTCAAGTTCTTATATTAAGACTAGTAAGGAGCTTCTTTCATTAAACATTTTGATGATTATCAGAATAACTGGGGGTTTGAAAACGAAAGAGCTAATTCAATAAAGTTACATGGGGTTCCTGTGCAACGTGATCATAAGATGACATTTTTTCTGTCCAGTTCTAAGTTTTCCCTGTTCCAGGGTATATAAAATAAGCCCCATTCGTACATAACATTTTCTGAGTGAAATACTAGTGTTTCGTGAGGTCAATTCCCCCATTCAAAGCTCAGCCACACTGTCACTTAACCACTCAGTTGAATTTTCTCCTACTCGATTATGAAACGAGCTGTACTTCTCGTCACGGCTAATCATACTGAGGTGGAGTATTCGCCCGATCCAGTCCATTCTCCAGTGGAAGCCGAACTGCCAGAAACACACGAAGAGCTTGGGGGACTGGGCGTGCTTGACGTGCTACCCTCAAAATGGTAAGGTTGCTGCATGATCCACACGATTTCTGAGGAGGGAAGCCCAAAGTCCTTAGCAGTTTTCTTATCACATCTCTTGTTGCTATTTTGGCTTTTCAACGTGTCAGCAGGAACTTTTTCCTTAGCTTCATTCTCTTCTTGATCCTTGAGAGTTTTAACGATAAAATGAAGTCTCGGCTCATCACTGTAAGAAACTTTCTCAGCGCTTATTCTGCCATTCTCGTCCACGGATAGGTACCAACCCTTACCGTCTGCGTCTGAGTGACACGTGCGAAAAATATTGTAAAAGTTTTTTCCAAAGAACTCTCGAAATACGCATTCTTTTCTCTCAGCTTCCTGAAGGTAAATGGAAAGAAACGTAATAGTTCAGGAAATCGCTATGGGTGTCTAATAAGTGGCGAGTCCTCAATAGTTTTTTTTAAAATAACACCTCTAAAATCTTTTCCAACCGTAACTATCCTAGGTGCTTTTTAAGTTGTTCTTCACCTTTTGCTGTTTTTTTCTTTTTTTTTTTTTACTTAGCGAATCATTGTTCCCAAATTCTGTTTGCTTAAATTAATTTATTTGCATGAAATGATTCCAACGAATCAGTAAATGCAATAGATGGTTATAGATTTTAAAAAGTAGGAAACATAGGTAAAAGATAAAAGTTTCTATGAAATAACTTTAATTCAGGATTATTAAAAATATTTGGCCCTCTGCTCCAGAAAACGGGCTGATGCCTCAGATAATCTCAGCTTTAAGCACACCAGTTTCATTGTTACTGATCATGACTCCTCGTGTCATGAGAGGGATATGAATCAAAACTGCAGAAACATCTTAAGCAAAACAAGAATAAATTCAAAAGCAAATTTGAGAAAAAAAAGTAGAAATTTATAAAAGTACAACAAAACAAGCCAACGAATGAACGAATAAAACAGAAAACCACTAACAATCCAAGATTAAAACTGCTTGATAAAACAAACGGTCAGCGGCTTCTCTGCCGAAAGTTATTTGACTTGACTCACCGTAGCAAAGATTTTCCCTTTGTTGTCTACTGCCAGATATTTTTTAGCCTTCAGTCCCCAGATGGCGATGAGGTCAGGTCCAATAGATAGAAACTGCAAAACCGCTGAGGGAAAAGACATTTTATAAGATATGTATCAAATGATGAAGACAATTGTGATATTACGGGCTTTGTTTTGTTTTGTTTTTTTTCGGGGAGGGGGGAAGGAGTGTTGTGATGGAGATTCTTACTCAGCAGCGGGGTTCACGCTGATACTCGGTCACGACAGCTAAATTTTTAACATTGTTGACCTAAAAATGGATTGCCCTTTCCTAAATCATTCCATGTGCTCCTACAAAGTGGTCGCATTAAAACACCGCATTCCTAAAAATAGCTTGTTATGGAACAGAAAGGTGCTTTGGTTCAAAGAGGTAAACAATTTTATGGTTCATTGATAATTTACCTTATCTTTCGCTAAACCTCATTTATTACCGATTCTCTTGCCTTTCATGTACCTTTAGGGTGAACTTTAAGTATGCCATACTCCTCACTCGGGTAACGATCACGTACGGACTGAAGTAGTACTAAGATTGGCAGCTGACTTTTTACCGCGTTACAAAAAGGCAATAATGCATCAGTGATTAAAATTTGCACTGTAGTTCTTTTATAAGCCAATCCTTAGGCTGGTAGTGAAAAGTAACTTTGCTTGTCCGAACGGATCTTTATGATGCCAACCACAGATCACTTAAAGAGCTGAAGTCGATTGCATTTTGAGTTATGTTCTCATGCAGGATTACTCTTTCCTGTTAAAAGATGCTTTAGACACAGTCATTGCAGACACGTTTACACAAACCTGTGCCATTGGAAGTTTTTTCTTTTTTTCTTGACCATAAATCTGTTTTTTTTCTTTCAATTTGTTGAAAATCTACAACTAAGTATCATACTCGACAGATATTTCTTTAGCATGAAAATAACTTCATTTACAATATCAATAGATTACGCAGAACGCTCATTTATATACGTCCAAACAAAATCTTAATCTCACTTTACTTATATAAAAAATAATTCCAAGATATTCAGTATTAATTCTTTGAAAACATAGAGTCAAAATAGAGTATAAACATAATGAATATGCCGTAAAGCGGTATCTTTCTTGTTGAATATTAAAACAAAACAACGAATATCTTTAGTTGCAAACATACGGTGGAAAATTCATTTCGTGCTGAACTCGTAAACATTAAAGATACTGAATGAATCATGTTTTTCTTTGAAACACAGTCATTTTTATGCAGGCAAAATTTGGTATTTTCAACGCAAGATGTATACTTTTCATTTGCCTTCCTATAGCTTGTAAATGTCGCTAACCACAGATTAATAAAAGTGTTTTATTCTTGTAGACCAAGAATAACATTTGGGCTAAAAAGTTATTCGAAGAACATTCCCCTTCGTTCTAAAAAGCAAAATTGAAAGGTATTCATAAAGAATGAAATATTAATTTTGATTTATGTAGGCAAAAGGAGTAAAGTCGCAATAATATTTCAAATGTTCAGTGTTTACTGCATTCGTAATATTGGAATATTTAGCCTCACCAGAAGAGTTTGTAATTATTGATTCATTGCGGACCCTGGCTTCTTGTCAGAATTTCGCAAATATAGGCTTCAAATTATATTGGGAAGCAATATTCGATTCCCAAAATAACATTAAAAGCAGCATAATATATGTTCAACAAAATTCTATCATCTATGAATAAATTTTCCTCACCGTTTAAACAGCTTTCGTCGCTAGTGCCTGTCACCTCGCCAGTTGCGTTAATCGCGATGTAAAATCCGTTTTTTGCATACAGCTGTCGTTTCCGCGTGTATTTTTGGAGCGAGGAAAAAGTCAGAGAAGACTTTGGACCAGCCATATCGAATCCTACCTCGAAAATTTACACGCAGTCTTTACTTGTCAGTCATAACGACCTGCGAGGAAGATTCGTGATGGATACCGCCATCAACCAAAATATAAAATAATGATGAATTAACGTATGCGAAATTGTTTCCGTTTCATATGACTGTGGCCAATGAAACGACTGGAAATTTGAGTGACTACTCGAGATACAAAGGTTTTATTGTTTCCTCGCTTCGTGGTAAACCGCTATTGTTTTGGTTCTTTTCTTGCTGTTAACATTAAGACTCTCAATGATCGTTATTGTAAAGTGATCACCTGTGCGAACGAAGCAGCCAAGTAACCTACCTAAATGTAAACAATTCAGGATGTGAATAACTCAGTGACGGAGAAGGACAGCTGCACGACGACGAAAACCGAACCAATTTGTTGAACTTTGATCAGCTCGCAGAATACAAAAATAAGATCATTAGTCTACAAAGTACACAGCATAAATAATCTGGCATGTAAGTGTTTGGACCTTTTTAAATCCTACGCATTGGATTCTCGATGAAGAGTACTTGGCATGAGGTCTGGTAGATGGAGATTTTTGCTTGAAAATATTCTGGGTTAGACCATAAGAATAACAGGCCTTGTTTGACCAAGGAATAATTCAGAATCGTCACACCAAACCAGGCTAGTAATAGTGACTAATATAGTTACAATTTGCTATGCAAATTTATAATTTTAAAGGTGAAGCGAGCTGTGTGCAGACACTGACACATCTTGTGATAGCCACTGAAGCCTATCGAGCCTCCATTCGAGAATACTAAAGAGTGGATACCTAGATATTTTTTATGCAGCGTGACAGGTTTAATGGAGGTTTTAGATGCTTTTTCGATCGCCGCATTCCCAAAGACGAATTCAAATTTTAAGGTCGTAAGCTAGAGTTAGACTATTTGAAGAAAGGTAATTATCGCTCTAACTTTTGATTATTTTTCTGAAACATCATCCATTCTCTCGGATCATGTCTGACACGAAAACTAATTACTTCATGTTCGCATTCACTATGTTGTTAAATACTCAACGCCTTTCATATTCGTCAAGCTACTATGGAGACCTTTATTCAATTATTACAGATCCCAGTGTGCGCTGCCATTTTCTGCGATAAGGCTTCGATATCGAGTTAACCCAATTGGTGGGCATTTTTCAAAAATCTCAGGTAACACCATTCCATGGGGGGCTTCGTGATAAAATTTGGTTGGCTCGTTATTTTTTGAGATGGGATGCAATGAAGCATTAACATAACTGGGTGTGGTATTTGCAAAATTTGGTGCCATAATGACAGCACTGTTTTGCTCCCATTGACATTACTGAAAATTTAGTTCTATCGGTCTGGTATTGAGGAAGAAATGTAAAATGTTGTGTAAGATCCGCCGAAACAGATCCTCGTCGCATTTGATGCGCAGCATAAAATTTGGTTTTAAAACATTCTTTAGGTGTAATATATCACTTCTTTCACCGTCATCAACTTTTTCCGTTCCTTAGATGTTGTCTCTGATCCTGAAAAAATTGTATTCCGCATTTTAACATAAAATTAAAAGATAATATTAGTAATTTCCCATTTTCAATTTCCCATTTAATTTTCCCATCCCCCAATCCCGCTTTTATTAACATCCTCACTACCTGAGAAACACCATCGAAAATAGAGGAATTATTTTTAAACAGAAAGTGTAATTTTATTCAGCAAAATATCAGTATGCAAAATGCGAAGGTTACTGGCTGAAAGGTTATACAATAACAAAGGCAAAGCTTACTATATCGTTTGCGTAAAACTAAACTAAAGAGCGCGAAACCCGAAGCTTGTCATTTAAATCAGCCTCCTCTGACATCAGCTACGCTTCGGGCAATAACAAAGAATACTAATTATCCTTAGCATAATCAAACCTATGAAGTAGAAATTAAAGGTGCTCCCCCCTCACTGTCGAAAAACATAAAGGAAATGATGGATTCCTTTTATATCAGCGCTCTGCTTTAGAACAAAAAAAACCCCTTGTATAACAGGGGTATTAAAAATTGGAAAATGGAATCCGCTACATTATTACATCTTCGATCACGAAATAGTTTTTACTGCTCAGCTAAATTAACTAAAGGCTGTTTAAATAAGACAAAAATTTTAAAAATGATATAAAAGTGGAAAGCCTTGCTAACTGAAAAATCAAATAACTTTGCACTCTATAAATGGCAGCAAAGTGGTTCTTATGTCATTTCCAATAGGTCCTAATGGGATGACGTCTTTCGCAGCTAACTGTTACAAATTTTAGCCATTTTTCGGCCTAACGATTAAACTCCTTTCTTTGCGATTAAAAGAAAAGCTTCAACGGTTATTTTTAAGACTAACGGTTTAAGTTTGCCATTTTTAAACTCCTAACTACTCACTTTGTGGCTATTTTACAGCTTGAGGTTAACCCCATTGAGACCTCTTTCAAGAGCTACGATGAAGAAAAAAAAAATTTCGTCTTTATAGAGGCCATTTTAAAAATAAAACACCTTTATCGCTCACTATTTTCCAGCTCTCTTAAAGATGCCAATCTCCTGGTATCGTTCGGGGCCGCCTGCCATTTCGATTTCCTGGTAGTGGCCATAATCATTCAGTTTGCCGATTTCCTGGTAATCAGAAACCATGTTGACGACGTCTTTTTCCTGGTTGAGAGCTCCTCCATTGGAAAAGTGCAACTTCTCGTAATTACTGGAGTCTTTCCAGATACCCAACTCTCCGTAAGTGACAATGTTCTCTTTAGACTGCGCTTTATTTAATTCGTATATCTCTGGATTGGGAAAAGGAACATCAGCAGGCATTCTGTTTGAAAAATGCTGGCCGTGAAGTCTCTTTCGACGTTGGAAGTGGCGAACGATACAAATGCTGACGAGCACAAGGGCAAATATTACGACACAGGAAGCGCCAATGGTGAGTGGATAAGGAATCTTCACTTTTGCATCCTCCGTTGGATCTTAAAAAAGTATGATGTACGGATTTAGTAAATAGAGAAATATCATGAGAAATATTCATAAATCAATGAATTAATTGTGACTGCCACTGTTACTGCTACTGCTACTGCTAGTGCTACTGCGACTGCTACTGCGACTGCTACTGCGACTGCTACTGCGACTGCTACTGCGACTACGACTGCGACTGCGACTGCGACTGCGACTGCGGCTGCTACTGCGACTGAGACTGCGACTGTGACTGCGACTGCTACTTCTACTGCCACTGCCACTGACACTGAGGCTGTTATTGCCGTTTTTAGTACTTCTACTGCTACTAATGTTCTGCTATTGGTACTACTACAGTTACAGTTACAGTTACAGTTACAGCTACAGCTCCTGCTACTGTTACTATTGCTGTCACTATTTGTAGTGCTAGTAGTCATCCCTCCGTCTTCGGAAGACGATGGGGTAGCGTTCGTTGGATTTGTTTTTTGCATCTTCGCGAGTAGTTGTGGAGTCTGACACGCGAATTGCAGTCTCTTCTGCAGGTGTTTTAAGTGAAAAAAGACGCTTACTAAGGTTGCTGATAAAATGCCTTCCTTCAGCGTCTCTTTTCAGGAAGATGTTCAGTCCTCGTCCCCTCAGTTTCAAATACGCCCTGTCTGTGCCTTCTGCACATGTTTCCCACGCGTTTGTGTTGATGTTGCAGGCTTTCAAGTCTCTTTCACACATACTTGCATCATAAGCGTGGGCGCCCTGTCGGTCTTGAGCCCTCTATCAGCTCACCAAACAGAAGATCTTGATGGATGCGGCCTGAGTGCATTCTCTTCACGTGGCTCAGTTATCGGAGGCGCCTGAAGTGGAGAATGGAGTTTACCCTGTTCGCGTTCGCGCATTCTTAAACTTATGTTGCTCTTAGCCTACGTGTAGCCCTACCCCTCCCCCTCCAAGTAGAAACGGAAGCGAGGGAATGTCCACGAAAACCTGACACGAATCATGTCATAGGGGTTGCTCACCATTTACAAAAAAAATCCGGAAATTGAAGAGAAAGGAGAAACTGATCGGCAAAGGTTTGCTCTTTCTGATAGCCCAGTTGAGACGTCAGCTGTGTATCAAATGAAAGAAAACACGTTGCAGAAAGTTTACAATTATTTTCGCGGGAGAATAAAATATAGCGTAAAACTTGACGGCCATTCGATTTTGGACACAAATTAGCGATTTTAAGTCTGCTCACCATTTAAATACAAGGAGCAGCTATGTGTTAGGAATATTTCCAGAATTGGAGACGAATAAGAGCAACATGAACGCTGGTACACATCCCCCATTTGCTATGAACCCGCCATATTTGTTGCTGTTGAAGCGATTGCGCTCAGCCAAAAGCCAAGAGGCCTAAAACTAGTACAAAACTCAAGAAACTTCTTAATGGTAAACGAATTTCCATTTGGAATTTCCCAACCGGAAAACGGGACTACCTTTTCAGAATATTTGTGTGCCCCGGGAATTTTCCAGTGGTACGAACCGAAAAAACGTTTACCATTTACATCCCAACCGGAATTTCCGGGAATTTGTGGTAAATGGTAAACAACCAGGAATTCTCTCCGAAAAAATATATGACGACTTTATTTTGATTCACCCTTTTTGTCGATTTTTTCGTGAATTCTGATTGGCTAGAGTTAGTAGTTTTCTTTTATACCAACGAACAAGATGGTGAAGAAACGCCTTCACTGTCAACTTTACGGACAACCGCGATCTACGACAAGGTTTTAAGGCAAGATTGCGCGACTTTTGAGATAGAGAAATTTCTAGAAGAACGACTCAAAGCCACAGAGATGTTTTTTCTAAGGCGACGATGTCTCTCTTTCTTTACCAACTGACTGTGTAAAATCTTCAATATATCAAGCCGCGTCAGCGTTCGATGGCTTCTCTTATCTAGAAGAAACCGTTCACCATGTTTATTTTGCCCCCGTTAAAGCTCTCATGAAGACCAGGTTCACTATGTCAAAGGACTTGGGCTAAGACAATTGTGCGCCCTCAACTTTCGGTCTCTTTGTGAACGGTGTTGCTAAGCTAAGAAATTTAAGCTTTGTCTCTTGCAGCGATCTTTTCGACTGAGAAATGAGTCACTCTTTTTTCACACCTGGAGC